TGGTTCTCCTGAGCCACAAAAAAAGGGGTGCGCTCAAACGACACGCCCAGACCTGCCATCGACCAGTCGTTTTCGTTTGTCCACACAGACTTATAATAAACCCATCCTGCTAATACAGGGGGAAACTGGAAACCCCTCCAAAAGCGATCAATCTCCGCTAAACAAGGGACACCCCCCATGAATCAACCAGAGCTTATTCATCCGGAACCCCCCATCACCGGATAAGGAAAGGCCTGGTTCTTGAGGCTTGCTCAAAGGAAACCATCTCGATCTCTTGGCCGAACCAACGGGGTCACCATTAAACCATTGGGTTGCGGCTGGGATTCCCAGTTTCGTTTGGTTCAACCTGCAATTGGGCACGTCCGCTGGATTCTCCGCCTGGCTTTCCCCGCCGAGGTCCAACCAGCTTGCCACAGACGGAGAAAAAAAACAGAACGCGGAGGTGTGGGACCTTCCAGCCCCCCAGATCCTGAGACGGCAACCCTTCAGGCAAAGAGCTTCAATGCTTTGCCGGCGTGAGAAACATTTGATCCCTGCCGCAGAAAAAGATCGAAATCGAGAAAGCCGGAAGGACTCGATCAGTTGCCGGCCTGTAATTGAACCCAACAGCTAGAGACAAGAGCAAAGGCAAATGGGGTTTGTCGAAAAAATAGAGGACTTTCTTGGCATCCCTACAAGGCGGCACGCACAGCACCGACGGAACTGTCCAAAGAAGGGCCACACTTTTGACACCACCACCAAGAAAAAGAAAGAAGAACAAGCATGTGTCAAAATGCGGGGACCCTGAAAATGGGGGCTGTGTTTCTCTTTCTAGTTCCCCAAAGAACCACCCCGAAATGGGATGCCCTCGAAAAACAAAAAATATGGACACCCAAAAAAACTTTGGCCAAAATATGGGTTCCTTTTGCTTTCCTTTTGGTTTAACCATCTTCACTGGGGCTCTGTTTCCTTCGAGACCATGGAGAAAACGGAAAAAAATCAACCCCCCGATTTTCGGGGGCCTTCCTCAGGGTCGGGTCGATCGAGCCAGGCCTCTCTTGCAGCTCCAGCAGCTCGCTGGGGGTCACCTTGAAGCGCCCCATAAGAACCGGTTTGGCCCATGACGGCACTAGGGGACATGACAGCACTAGGGGACACTTCCATTTCTATTCTGAACCCAGGGATCCGAAGTTCTTGGCAGAAAACCATCGGAAATGTTCAGGGGGAAACAGAGATCGGTTTTTGAAAAGAACGGTGGTTGAAGAGAAGGGGGAATCAACCCCTAAAACACTGCACACCCGTACTTCATCAACAGCTCATGGCGTTTCACGCTTCTGATCTCCTCAGGGGTCAGCCAAAATCCAAATGACTTTGCCAATCCAGCGGATCTGTGTAGCCATCCTCAGTCTTGTGCGACGTGAGTAGCACAGAGAGATGACTGCTCCGAGCGTGTTGAACACATTGGTCATCATCTTCGACAACATGGGCTCCCTCTCTCGTAGAAATGAACCAAACGGCAACAATAATCTGCGTTTTGCTGGTTGAGGCAAACGAGAATGCAACACCAAAAAGTGTCGGACAAAACAAAACACATGGAAAGTCAAGGCAACTGCCCAAAAAACACAACTCCCCCACCCCCTCCCCCGCCCCGTTCCCTGATTCCTGGGGCACCGGACGCCCTCCCATCCAGAGATCTCCACCTCGTCCTATCGCAATGTTGATTTGTTGCCTTTCGATTTGCGTGTGCTTTGTGCTTGTCTCTTTGTGCATCAAGTATTCTTCCACTAATCGGTATGTCTCCAAAACAAGGGATCCCTCCGAGTGGTGTGCTTCCGTCTGCAAGGACGCTTTTCCAACATCCGAACTGGGATCTGCTCGTTGTGTTTGTTTCTCCACCCTTGCTCCGTGTCGTCGCGGGTCTTCCTATACCCCCTTTTTTGCCTGCAGAAACTCGCTGGCGCATGGCTCGAAAGGAAAACCCACCCGTCTGGAGGTGTCTCGTTTGATTTGCGCGTTTCGGCCAAGGTTCCCGGTTTTGAGAGCCCCTGGTATGTTAGCAATTAGAATCAGTCCTTTGCTGGACAAAGACATGTCCACATACCGGGAAGCGAGACAGTCCTGAGTCGGCATATAGAACTTGAAGGGACTTCGAAAACATAGTCACTCACCAAGTACCAGTAGAACCCGTTACATGTAGCCGCAGCATCATGTGCTCGCAGCAGCCTGCGACGCTGAAGGGCGTGCAGCAGTAGCACACACCTCTTGCGTGCTGCGCGGCAAGCTGCGCATCTGCGCCAATCTCAGTAGAGGCCTGCTTCAAACCTGCCCTCAAAGGAGTTTCCATTCATGATAGGCCCAATTGCACAACCCAAAAAAACGTGGCTTGGTCCTTCTGGAGCTGTCACATCTGGGCCACTAGTGCGCGGGGTGGGGGCAGTCTGTGCTTACTTGACCCAAGATGGATGGGTCGCAAGCCCATTCACTGGAACATCCTGCGCACATGCTTCAGACCTCAACCCTCAAGAACCAAAGGGGAAGCTGAGACTCCAAGTCGGATACACAAATTATATAGATAGATAGGTTAGATATAAACGCTGTACCCTTGCGTCTTTCCCTTGGACCCCTATTCTACTTTTCCTGCCATCGTTCCGGCATCGTTCCCGTCTGAAACCAAGCCAAAACAGGCCTCCTGTGTGGAGTACGGGGCGGGCTAAGCCCCAGACCGCCCCTAGCTCAGCTTTTGCAGCACAAAGAATTGATACATTTGCTTGATTCCGCTCCATGTCTAATGAAGATTAGCATGTAACACAATATCAACAGAGACCCCAGTTTGAGAAAACAGATTCCCATGAATGGATTGCTTCCCCAACCCAATCCCCACCTCCCCCCCACCTCCCATTTAACCCCCAACCATAATCCCTTGTCAAGGGCAGGAGGTGTGGAGTTTGTGTAGCGCACATATAAGGCGTATATACGACCTTACGAGATTATCTTGTTTTGTTGCTAGCTATCCCTCCAAGACCCATCTTCTTCTTTTCCTCATGGCTTCCTTTACCACCACTAAGGGGTCAAAAGGAGAGACGAGCCACCCGTAGCACGCTCCTCGCTCTCCGCGGAGGAGGTGGCAGACATGGTCTCGCTGGCATCGCCTGCAAACGGGCACAACCACCTCCTTTGGTGTTTAAAGCTAACTTCTTGTAGGCTTAAAGGGACGGGCTCATATTTTCATGAACCTCCAGCGCGCAGTATGGGGGGGAGGTCCATGGAGTATGGCGGGGGTCTATGCTTGGATAAGCCCAAGCCAAGCATAAGCGCCCTCAACAAGGCCTCATCCCCCCCCTTCGCATAACTCCTGAAGACCATGACTGATGGAAGGGGAGTGGGGTGGGGGGATCTTCCCATTCCATTTACCTAATTTAACATTCCCCACAACAGGGACAAGTTTGAACCATACATGAGTGTGCCTTTTCTTGAGTTGGTACCCTCGTTTTGGGGTGGTGAAGGAGAGACCAAAGAGACACTAACCATTTGGACAACTGGGCCGGTCGGTCATTCATTTTTTGAATAAAACCTTAGCGAACACGGTAAAAGACAAGAGGTGCGCACCGCCCCAAAAGGGCAGCCAAGGCTGGCTCGTAATTTTGGTGAGCGTGCCCTTGTTTGGGGTGGTTCTGAAGGAACCTAACAGAAAACCCACTAGTTTAGCGGTCCCCCTTTAAACAGACGAGCCACATGTCTTGTTTGGGTCGGTCTCAAAACAGGAATCTACCGTCAACTTAGGATTTTCTTGGGGGGGGTGGTTGTAGGTTGTAAAGTGGCACAAGTAAAGGTAAAACAGCCATGCTGGGGGTCTGAACAGGGAATGCATGTTTTTGGCGGATTCGGTTGTGAAGTGGCAGGGTTGTCTTGTTGATTCCGGTACCATGTTTAGAACCAGTTGGATCACTTCAAATAGGCCGAGATTTGGGTTGGTTGGAACAAACACCCAACCGAAGGCAAACCGCAACACTTTTCACATGGAGACTTTGCGGGGGTCCTCCTATATCCTTTAACTTGGTGAATTGAGTGGTGCAGGATTCGTCCACAGTACAATTGTGACCAGAAAACTAAGCAAACATTTCCGTTTTCTCATGTCGTGAGCCGTGAGCCCCCTGGAAAACATTTCTGCATCCCCTGATTGTTGTTGACACTCCTGGATCTTCGCAGCCTTTCTCCGGAGCTACCGGATCATCACAAGGCTAGAGTTGCGCTTAGGTCGATGTTTTGCTGGTTTAAAGGAGAACCTAAAGGAAAAAAACAAACGCACTTTGGGCCTCCAAGAGGTCGCCCCCCAATTTCCAGAGCTGAGTGGATCCCACTTGCCCTATAGTATGTAACCAGCCACTTTCACTTTGGCTTTTTTAAGGGTGGTTCCCTTCGCTACGTACTATGCAGGGACATGGAACCACTGGGTTGCGCAAGAAGCTCTTGTCACAAACTGAGGGACCCTCAATTTGGCAAGCGGCATTGAGGGCCTCAACAAGGTCCATGTGTTGCAATATGCGGCAATGGATGGTTTGTCACTTGCAGAATCAAACAACACTTTACAAGGGCTATCAAAAGGGTGCCCTTTAATTGGTCACACTAAGAAATGCCGCTTACGGGTATGACTTGGGTTCCTTGAGAGTCTGGCTGTTGCCATGGGTTTACCAATCAGCAAAAACCTGTTCTCCGACAAATCGGTTCAAATGTGAGGTATTCCGATCGGCAACCCCAATCCCAAAAAATTACCGACTCAAAAGCAGCCCCAATTTGTAGACACGGCCATTTCCCCTCTAGGCTTGTTTTAAAGTGAGATTCCTTTGGGTACGATGATGTCGCGGGAAAAACAGAGAATATTTGCAAACGCCAAGATTTGCAAGGGAAGTCGGCAGGCTGGAGTCTGGCGATTGCCTTTTCAAACCATCCGGAACAACCCTTTGCTTCTGGGCATTAGCCCGATTTTTTACGTGATGCACTTGAATAGTCCTCCCCAGATTAGCAGTAGACTACGCAAAGTTGACAAACTTGACACCTTTTAAAATTAAAGCCATCCCAAAAAAGGCACTGAGCCTCCAAAACACATCTCTAACCTCCAAACCACCCAATGCAAGCCACCCTCTTTGAAAGAAGCTGACAAATGGCGGTATCCGATGGCCCACGGGCTGATTTGGTCCCCAGTTCCAGCGAGCCTGCTGAAGAACCCTGAGCTTTGCCCCAACCGATAATCAGATGTTTGATTCTGGTGTAGAAAAGTCCTCGCCCCCAATCAACCGTGTCGGGACTTTCTGATGCTGATCCCATGAACAAAACAAATACCAATACTAATACTACCACTATTACTACTGCTACTGCTACTGCTACTGCTACTGCTACAGCGACTACGACTACGACTACTACTACTGCTGCTACTGCTACTGCTACTGCTTCTTCTACTGCTACTGCTACTGCTACTGCTTCTGCTAGCTACTGCTGCTACTGCTACTGCTACTGCTGCTGCTACTACGACAACTGCTACTACTACTACTGCTACTGCTGCTGCTACTGCTACTGCTACTGCTACTGCTACTGCTACCTGCTGCTGCTTCTGCTACTGCTACTGCTACTGCTACTGCTACTGCTACTGCTACTGCTACTGCTACTGCTGCTGCTGCTGCTGCTGCTACTACGACTACTGCTACTACTGCTACTGCTACTGCTACTGCTACGGCTACTGCTACTGCTACTGCTACTGCTACTGCTACTGCTACTGCTACTGCTACGACTACTACTACTACTACTACTACTGCTGCTACTGCTACTGCTACTGCTACTGCTACTGCTACTGCTACTGCTACTGCTACTGCTACTGCTACTACGACTACGACTACTACTACTACTACTGCTGCTGCTGCTACTGCTACTGCTACTGCTGCTGCTACTTCTACTGCTACTGCTTCTGCTACTGCTACTGCTACTGCTACTACGACTACTACTGCTACTGCTACTGCTACTGCTACTGCTACTGCTTCTGCTACTGCTACTGCTACTGCTACTGCTACTGCTACTGCTACTGCTACTGCTACTGCTACTGCTTCTGCTACTGCTACTGCTACTGCTACTGCTACTGCTACTGCTACTGCTACTGCTACTGCTACTACTACTGCTACTGCTACTGCTACTGCTACTGCTACTACGACTACTGCTACTACTACTGCTACTGCTACTGCTACTGCTACTGCTACTGCTACTGCTACTGCTACTGCTACTGCTACTGCTACTGCTACTACTGCTACTGCTACTGCTACTGCTACTGCTACTACTACTACGACTACGACTACTACTACTGCTACTGCTGCTACTGCTACTGCTACTACTGCTACTGCTACCGCTACTGCTACTGCTACTACTACTACTACTACTACTACTACTACTACTACTAGTAGTAGTAATAGTAATAATAATGATGGCAATAATTAAAGGACCGGATAACCCCACATGCTATGTTTTTCCCAAGGATGTGAGTTCAAATGTCCACACACATGTACCGTGCGCAAGTGGTTGTGCTGCAAGCTTGTGGCAGGGCTCATGAACATCGCGGAGACAACTAGCATGCGTTCTGTCACCTCATCCCGCAAACAACTGCGCGAACCTTTTTTTACCTTTCTTGCTGCGCTGACCGAAGGCTTCAGCGACAGCGACATCGCGCGGTCTTCGTGAGTGGGCTTCCTGTTCGAGCTGCTTGAAATCGTTGCTAAGTCACACATGCACAGCAAACACGACAACCAAGCGGTACAAGCTCCGAGAAGTCTTGAGAAAACATGTGGATCACTCGGCGCTCTGCGATCCACGTGGATCTGCGATGCGCCAGACACAGACAGCCTGTGGGTCAGTCGCCATCGCATGCCTTGCAGCAAATGGCTTGAGTCCAAAGGGCAGTGGCGACAGACTGCTGCGGCCACGGCGAAGTAAAGTAGTAAGCAGTCAATGGAGAAGTGATCCTGGGCGCTAGGCTAAGAATGACTGAAAGCAGCTTTGTGCCAAGGTCCCAAGGCGCCTCGGCATGTTCTTCGGCTACATGGTGTTCAGTCAAAACTCAAATTGTCACTGAGGTCGAGACACGCGCAAGTCAGCAGGTCCGAGTCAATGGCCATCGTATGCCAGCAAATGGCTCCAGACCCAGATGCACAGAATGCTGCGCCTGCCACGACTTCGGCAATGGCATCTCCACACCCAGATGCACAGAATGCAGCGCCTGCCACGACTTCGGCAACGGCATCGCCAAAGTGCTGCGCCTGCCACGATTTCGCACGCCCCCCGCCGCGCGCGCGACAACATCCTGTCCCTCTAGACAGCTGCCGAATGCGACCCCTGCCACACAAACACACACCCAGATGCACAGAATGCTGCGCCTGCCACGACTTCGGCAACGGCATCGCCAAAGTGCTGCGCCTGCCACGATTTCGCAACGGCATCGCCAAAGTGCTGCGCCTGCCACGATTTCGCACGCCCCCCGCCGCGCGCGCGACAACATCCTGTCCCTCTAGACAGCTGCCGAATGCGACCCCTGCCACACAAACACACACCCAGATGCACAGAATGCTGCGCCTGCCACGACTTCGGCAACGGCATGCCAAAGTGCTGCGCCTGCCACGATTTCGCAACGGCATCGCCAAAGTGCTGCGCCTGCCACGATTTCGCACGCCCCCCGCCGCGCGCGCGACAACATCCTGTCCCTCTAGACAGCTGCCGAATGCGACCCCTGCCACACAAACACACACCCAGATGCACAGAATGCTGCGCCTGCCACGACTTCGGCAACGGCATCGCCAAAGTGCTGCGCCTGCCACGATTTCGCAACGGCATCGCCAAAGTGCTGCGCCTGCCACGATTTCGCACGCCCCCCGCCGCGCGCGCGACAACATCCTGTCCCTCTAGACAGCTGCCGAATGCGACCCCTGCCACACAAACACACACCCAGATGCACAGAATGCTGCGCCTGCCACGACTTCGGCAACGGCATCGCCAAAGTGCTGCGCCTGCCACGATTTCGCAACGGCATCGCCAAAGTGCTGCGCCTGCCACGATTTCGCACGCCCCCCGCCGCGCGCGCGACAACATCCTGTCCCTCTAGACAGCTGCCGAATGCGACCCCTGCCACACAAACACACACCCAGATGCACAGAATGCTGCGCCAAAGTGCTGCGCCTGCCACGATTTCGCACGCCCCCCGCCGCGCGCGCGACAACATCCTGTCCCTCTAGACAGCTGCCGAATGCGACCCCTGCCACACAAACACACACCCAGATGCACAGAATGCTGCGCCTGCCACGACTTCGGCAACGGCATCGCCAAAGTGCTGCGCCTGCCACGATTTCGCAACGGCATCGCCAAAGTGCTGCGCCTGCCACGATTTCGCACGCCCCCCGCCGCGCGCGCGACAACATCCTGTCCCTCTAGACAGCTGCCGAATGCGACCCCTGCCACACAAACACACACCCAGATGCACAGAATGCTGCGCCTGCCACGACTTCGGCAACGGCATCGCCAAAGTGCTGCGCCTGCCACGATTTCGCAACGGCATCGCCAAAGTGCTGCGCCTGCCACGATTTCGCACGCCCCCCGCCGCGCGCGCGACAACATCCTGTCCCTCTAGTGAGTGTGAGTGAGTGAGTGTGAGTGAGTGAGTGAGTGAGCGAGTGAGTGAGTGAGTGAGTGAATGAGAGTGAGTGAATGAGAGTGAGTGTGAGTGAGTGAGTGTGAGTGAGCGTGAGTGAGTGAGTGTGAGTGAGCGTGAGTGAGTGAGTGTGAGTGAGTGTGAGTGAGTGAGTGTGAGTGAGTGTGAGTGAGTGAGTGTGAGTGAGTGTGAGTGACTGAGTGAGTGAGTGAGTGAGCGAGTGTGAGTGAGTGAGTGTGAGTTGAGTGAGTGTGAGTTGAGTGAGTGAGAGTGAGTGAGTGAGTGAGACGGAGACGAGCGGGAGGAGGAGGAGGAGGAGACGCGGCGCGCGGACGACGAGCGGAAAAAGTAAGAACCCCACACAAAGATGTGGGGAAAAATAATAACAACAATAACAATAATAATCATCATGTTGTTGCCAATGATAGCTATAGACATGAATACCTAGTATATGCATTGTAAATACAGACAGTTTCTTTTGCAAGAGCCTGAGTTGGGGTTTGCGCCTTTTGGTTCTCTCTGGTGAAGCGACTCCCTTCTGCTTCAGAAAAAAACAACCAACCTGCCCATTAATCACAACAAAAACCATGGGAGTGAGGCAACTCCCGCCTAGACCTCGGTCGCGGTCCAGCTGCTCTGCTAGGTCCTGTCGACTTGCGAGTCACGAAAGAATTCCCTCCTCGGGGGTTCTAGAAAACTGCAAAGCTGATCATCCCCTTTGGGGTATGTTAAAACCCATATAGTAGGTAACCGGCCATGTTCCTTTTGGCTTTTAATGGGTGGTTTTCCTTGGCTACGTACTTTAGAGGGACATGGAATCATTGGGGAAAAGGTATTGGCTCAGTGGATGTCCATACAAGAACCGGCACCCCGTTCTTATTTCTTGTTGGTTGATTTTAACGGGACATTTGTCACTGATTTTCACACATCCCCACAGGTAGGTTGGGAACCCGTACAGTTTAAGAGAATACATGGTCTCGCGATGACAGCAGGGGCACCAAGCGAGCTGACCGATTCGGGGGTAAAACGGAGAATCGATTTCCATGAAGGTGCCTGATGTGGCTTATGTGGGATCATAACCCCCATTATATACGGATCCTTGATGTAGATTCCAGGTAAGTTTATCCTTTAAAGGGGAAAAGGGAACCCCACTGTCCTTTTGGCGTCCCTCGGAGAAAACAAAAAAAACACAACAATCTCGGTACCCTCAAAACAACGTAGACCCTATGACATAAGGGGCATGTATACTGAGGTTTTCCAGGAACCCAGTACTAATTCCCCTGCACTTCGTCCAGCAATTCGATGTGTTTGGTAAAACTTTGCCGGGTGCGTTCTCCCGCCGAAAAAACAAAACACTCGGAGTGTCCCCCATGGGATCCGCGCGCCGGCTGAAGCTCAAGGTTCCCTTCTCGATATTGGACGTGTGGTTTCAACGGGGCTACTTTTACTCGGCGCGTTTGGCGCTTTGGATGTGAAGCTCACGGGGCAATGGGAGATTTTTTTAAGCTCAGCTCCAGGCCACAGGGCTCAAGGGGAAGCTGTTTCAATACCCATCCTTGTGATAAGCTTAGCCAAAGGAATCAAGGGGGAAGGATTATTGTTTCAAGCCCTCTGAAGAGAAGCCATCTTTTTTCGCCCTCCTTTGAAAAGGACAATCCTTTGAAGCGATGCGAGGGGGGAATTTCCCGGGACGCTGGTAAAGCCGGGGCAGATCGCCTTTTGCAGGGACAAAGGCAATACTGAAACCACGGATGTCTGTGTTTGAAGCCCAGATGGCACCACACCATCAGAAGGTGAGACATAGGTGTGAGTTCAAACAAGGAATGTTTCACTGGATTCAATCAGGAGCAAATTGAGCCTGTTGGACCCCGAAAGGTACAGGTTGCTGGCCAGGGTCACGATCCACACCAGTGTTTTGGCTGCTTTTATCACTCCTTTTGTTTTGCCACAGTATCTTCTTGTGTCGTGGTTTACAAGCAACAAAACAGTTTAAACACGGACCTCACATGTCGCCCTATTTGGCATGCACTGTTTGCGGGGGAGAACAAAAAAAGCGTGCTGGTGTTCTGGGCCACTTTCTGAGAAGTTCCCCTGATGGAAAGGGAGGGTGTGGCTAGCTTGGGCCTGTTTTGCCAACTAGTCAGGCTCCAAGCTGGCGATTTCCACGTGTGGTATTTTTTCAGAAAAGTCAACAGGACACCAATCATTTTAGGCCCCAATTTGGAGAAGCGGCCTTCGACCTCCCAGGTCGACCTTTTGGGGTGAATTTCGCGTGCGCCCCCCGGCATGCGAACCAAAATCCACTCCGCGAACCGCCCGACTCCGCTCCTTGACCGTAGGAAAATCCAGGAGCAGCGTGGCCTCGAATCCGACTCGGCAAAAATGATAAATCTGCACGACTGGGAAAAAGGCACGACTAGCCCGTGGTGGGTGTTATCATCCTTTTATGGAAATGCGGGCAATAGTGCTGTGTACTTTACCCTGGGAACTAAATCAATTGCTCGGATAGGAACTTATAGCTATTTTCACTGAGTGAATTCGAAGAATTCACAATCGGACAATTCCCAAGGGAATAAATTCCTTATGTTAAGATTCTAAGGGACATTCTACATAATAACATATCGGTATAATAACATATCCTTATAATTCATGAACAATTCCCTGACAATGCTTAGAATTGCTATTCTAAAATTCTACTGGATGGCATAAACCTATTATGTTTCACGATCGGAAATTAGGAAAACGGGCCTTCACGGCTGAGCTCGGTTGAGTTTACTTCCAGGTGAGCTCGTCGTAAAACAGCAAGCTCGATCGACGCATGAAACAAACATGCGAACATGTGTGGTACGGTCAAAGGTCAAACCTCGCTTGAACGTGGGCCATGGTTCCCTGGATCGAAATCCCAACGCGTCCGCAGGGGTTCGTGACCTCCTTTGAATACCAAAGCTCGGTTGGTGGGCCTCAAACATGTTGCCAGTCATCATTTAAAGTGTGCCTTAGGCCATTTTTGCAGTGGAACCTTTGGGGTTCATCCACTGCGGGAGAACCAATACTCACCAAAGTGAGGGGATCGGCCAAACGTCCAAACGGCCACTGACATGACCATGGGTCAAAACCCCGTACATCCAGGCATCCCAATCTCCACTAAAATAGAAAATGGGTGCACCGATCCCAAAATGGTATCCCATGGGTTTTGAATGGCCACATTCCCAAGAATAAAGTCCATGGACTCCAGAAAGTGAGCAGATGCGCCCTTGGGAGTGTGTTAGGCAAAAAGCCATTTTAGAGGGGCCCCCCTCATTCTGTACGGGTTATTTTCGAGAGCCGCCTGGCTTTGGGGTGTCTCAAAATAGGGTCCTCTCAAATGGTTGGTTTCAAGCTGTTTCCATTTTCAATACCAACCAAAAAGGGGGTCCAAAATCCGTGTTGCAAAGCTCCTGATTCCTTCAGAGAGTCACCCTTGTACCCCCTTTGACCATGGTGCTGAATGCATGTGCATCGACAAAAAGCTTGCGGCTTGCATCATCGTCCCATGACGCCGAAGCCTCGGTGAAGGCTTGGGGACCCTCGAAGCCTAGGCCCTCCAGATTTGAGAGCTTAGAATAAGTTGGCACCAACTGTTTTTTTCTCTCTGTGGTCTATTTCAGTAGAAAAATCCGAAAAAATCTCCCAACCCAAAAGAAGGAAACGGGAGAGAAAGGGCACCAATTGCTCAAGAAACCCCAGAAACTGCACCGCCTCTTAGCCCGGCCCAGGCTCCCCCGCCGGGAGGTTCAGGTGGAAGCTGCTGCTCAGGCGGTTCCGCACCCGCACCAACTCCAGCCTCCGGTTGCACCCAATCGCTCGGACGGCGAGGCGCGAGGAATCCGGCGGTGTCTTTCACCAAAATAGCCGGCCGATCGATACACACCACTGGTACCAGGGAACTCCCAATTCTAGCGGAAACATCCGTTTGGAGGGGCCACCTTAAAAGAGGTGTACGCGAAAATTCGCGTCCAATCAGGCTGAGGTTTCTAGGGCGGGTGTGGGTCCCTGGAGTGGGACGACAGATCTTCGCATGAAAACGCCTCCCCTTTGGACAGCCTTGGAACCCGGTTCCCCGAGCTGCAGGACAGCACGAATTCCCACCCCTTTGACTTAGTTCCACAAAGCGAATCGACCGGATCTGACCTTGCGGCATTTACAGTTTTGGTGCATGTTTAGCCAAGGTCCCAACAAGTCAGCCATTTATTTCTGGGCCCTTCGGGGCATCTGAGTTGAACATCTTGAAAAGATGGCATCGGTTTCAAGCTGGCACTTGGATGCCTTGATGGGAAGGCCTTGTGGTTGCAAGAGAGCATGTAGGAGGGTCAAGGTTTGGCACCATCTGAGAAATCTTTGCCGGTTGCTAAGATCTTGATGCTGGTAAAGGTACTTCCTCGAATCCAAGTTGTTGTTTTTTCCACGTCCAAGTTCTGGAAATCACCGAGCCTCATGGCAGAGCTCAGTCGCTTTGTTGGGGCCCCGATGTGCAGAGGGATCACCCCTTTAGCTTAAGGCTCCTCTAGGTTTCTGAGCAAGTCAAATCTAATGACCGATGTCGGCACTGAATCCAGGTAGCTCAACCAAACAAATGCCCCCCCCCCCGGCCGACTTTTCGTTGTAAGAATACAAAGGACATCTTTTCGTGATGGTTTCCCCTCAAATAAGCACCACCCAACAAAAGGCCCCCAGTTTGCACGAACGCACCATGCAAACCAAAGTTCCTCATATGTCCCCTTTAAGCATCACTCAAAAAGATATGCAATCACAATTGGCCCAGGATTCATCCAGAGCACCATATTAATTTGAGCGCATGAGTTCATTCCCCACTAACGGGGCTTGTCACCCCTGATTGTACGGTCCTCCATAAAAATCCGGAGTTGACATTGGGCCAGCTTCAGTACAATTCCCTGGATTTGGCGTTCCAAAAGTCTAAGGCAAGGGCGAATCCATGCCATAGTCGTAGAAGCCCTTGTGGAGGTCCCCACGGTCCAGCCTCATTCTCCAGGCTCTTGGTTGATTCACTGAGCACGCGAGGTTCAGTCACCAAAAAAGGAGCTGGCGAAGGCAAATACAATTCGCCAAAGTTGCAACTGTCTGTCTCACCGTTGTGGAAATGAGAGGATGCACAAGGAGACCAAAACCATCTTGCACCCCTTTCAAACCAAAATTCGTCTGCACAGCATGGGGACGACAACCTCATCTCACTGAACCTACGTCGGGTCAAACACCACCTGTTTTGCAAAGCTTCCCCAAAGCCCTCTCCAGAACCAGGCACCTTCATATTCAACCTGATGGTCGCTCGCGTCACCAGGCTCCTGTCCCTGCACTGCGCACGCCGCTGGCGATATGAACAGGCCAGGCCCTTGAAGCCCTCTGCACGCAGTATCACCAATTTTCATGTTCTTGAAGATCCCCTACAGAACAACAAATAACGGGCCAAGTGATAATGTTCATGACAAGTAAATGTCTGAACTTCCCTAACAAACAAATTAACAACAAACAAACAAACAAACAAGCAAGCAAGCAAGCAAGCAAGCAAGCAAGCAAGCAAGCAAGCAAGCAAGCAAGCAAGCAAGCAAGCAAGCAAGCAAGCAAGCAAGCAAGCAAGCAAGCAAGCAAGCAAGCAAGCAAGCAAGCAAGCAAACAAAAAGCATTAACACGTCCCAAATGGGGCCAGCACTACCTTCACTCACACACTCTCACTCAATGGGAAGCTATCTCATGAACAAGTAGATGTCCGAACCCTTTGAATAAGTTTAAATCCCGCACCCCCAGCCCCACACACTCACAACCCTCCCCCCCCTTCAATCTCCATCCCCTTCCATTCCCTTCCCTTACACCCCTCAATTTTCCCTTAACCTCCCAACCCCCAACCCTTTAATTCCCCAACCCCCTCGCCCAAACCCCCTCCCCAAACCCCCTCCCCAACCCAACCCCCCAACCCCCCAGCCCCCAGCCCCACACGTAGCGCGAGCAAACTGCGAACTGCGGGGGCGCGGCGTGTAGCCGAGCTCCTCCATGACCTGGGCCAGCACCTCCAAGCTGGGGATCTCCACTTTGGCCTTCACCTCGCGGCGCGCGGCTCGCGCCGAGCTCGTTCGGGAGGGTTCAGCCGACACGGCGGGTGGGGGGGAGGGGTGGGGAGGGGGGTGGGGAGGGGGGTGGGGAGGGGGGTGGGGTGGGGGGGGGAGGAGGGGAGGTGGGGGGAGGTGGGGGAGGGGTGGGGGGGAGGGGGGGGGAGGGGGGGTGGGGAGGGGGTAGGGAAGGGGGTGGTGGGAGGGGGGTGGGGAGGGGGGTGGGGAGGGGGGTGGGGAGGGGGTGGGGAGGGGGGGTGGGGGGGGGGTGGGGAGGGGGGTGCTGGAAAAAGAAGAAAAACAACTCGGAGGGTGACTCAAGACGCTTTTAAGCCCTCTGTCTCAAAGAGAACTGAATCTTCCGGAAAGTGAAGGCAGCGAGTTTCCAAGAATAGAGGGGGGGGGGGGTTCCTAACATCTCCAAAGCCCGGAAAGGCGAACAAAAATCGTTGGAAACCAACGATTCCCTTCGGACAGGCGAGGAAGTGCTTTGAGCAGCAACCTTACGGGGGTGCAATTGGATGGGGCCCCCCCGAAAATATCGAAGCGAGGCGCGGGCTACCAGTGACTTCCTACGGCGAAGCTTCTTATTGTGACGTCAAAAGGCCGGACCCGGTCTTCAACGGCCGGTTCCCCAGATCTGAAACTCCTTGTTGGGGTCTCTAAGGAAGCCGAAACCACCCCAAAACATGGGGAAATTATTTTTGACACATGCCCTTTTTGGGATCCTTCTGTCAATTTGCAGGTTTCCAACTAACATCATCCGGGTCAAGTCAAAGTGTATTATTGGTGGGAAAGACCCTTGTAGGTCATTCGCGTCCTTTGTTTCCCTCCAACACATGATTCGCGCGGCGTTGCGCCACGTGGAAGAACTGTCAATTTACCAAACCTGAACCTGTTGCCCTCTTTCCAACAATCCAAGGTCAGAGCTTACGGAGATCGAGTAGTCTTTCGAAACCGGATGGGCGAAATCCAGTTCGCACCTAAGAAACCAGCGGGGCCTATTGTTTGTTGGTGCTTAAAGTTCTCTTGGATATCTACTATACAGGGGCATGGAATCGCCGGGAAACGCAAAGGCCCCGGAAAAGGTTCAAGGCCGCAGTCCAAACTAGATGTCCCCCTTTGCAGGCCCAAAGAGTCGTCAAGAGCAGTCCAAAGCCTGACTTCAGAACTGGACCACCCAGGCGCCATGATGTCGGCTTGCTCGTTGTTCCCCCCAAATGAGATCGCTTTACACGCTGAAAAAAACACAAAACGATACATGATGTCGTTTGCTGTTGCTACTCCCCATATGAGTTCGAATTTACCCAAACAACGGAAAACATATATATATATATATATATACACATACTATACACATACATATATATATATATACACACCTATATTTATATATATATATATATATGTATCCAAGTCGTTGCGTGCTCTCGAGCCCATGGGCCTGCACCAGCTCGGTGTCTTTGCTCAAGTCCTTGATGCCGTACTTGATCAGCACGCCCACCTCGGGCCAAATTCCCCCCCCCCCCCCGCCCACCTGACCCTATTTCTGGTGGGAAGAATCACCCCCTTACCAAGTTCCCGAAAATTCCCCGCTTGAAGCATCACCCCAAAGGATCGTCCTTTGCAAATGGGTATGGAAACAGCTTCCCCTTGATGGGTGGTTTGGAGACCTGGACATCGCAAGCGCCAGTTTCTGGCAACCAAACGCAACACCTGCTGAAATCAAGGCATGTAGCAGCGGTCTTAACAACAATCATGTTTCTGCCCAATGATTTCCAACTGTTTCCTGCTTGATGTTTGCAGTTCACTTTGCAATCTGCCATTCAATCTGTTCGCATCAATTCTGCTCTTCTTTGCTCAACCCGCAACCCGCTGTGGTCCTTTCGGGAGTTTGGCATTCCAACCTGAAACCTCCAAATATCAGGGCGCCTTGACACGTTGTTTGGTTCTACAAACATTGTTATAATCTAGGTCCTCCAGATTTGAGAGGTTAGAATAAGGGTACCAACTTTTTTTGGGTAGTCTATTTTAGTAGAGGGTCCCCCAAAAAAGGGTAAAGGGGCACTACTGGGGGACCTAGGTTTCGTGGGAAGAATCACCTGGATCGCCAGTTGCTCGTTTTTTTTCTCCCCGTGCACTTTACCCCAAAAACCAGCAACCGTGACTGAAAAAAGCAGCAACTTGGCTATCTAGGCACCTCTCCTTGGCCCTTTTGCGGTGCGTTTCACTTGCGATATTAGGAAGCATGTAGAGAAGGAACCCAAGGCACTCAAAAAGATATGGAACCCAAAAACTCCCTTGAAAATGGGGCCCCAAGGGTACCAAGGGTACCAGTTCCATAGAAAGGATGGAGAGTCCACCCAAAACATGTTCCCACGGGCGTCAATGGAGCGAACAACCCAGGGCTCACCTCCCTTTCTGAAGTTGGCCATCCCTGCCAGCCTCAAGAATCGAGGCTAAAACAGGAGCAAGCAACTCTGGGCTCAAACCATCTTGAGTCACATCAATACCTGGTACCAAAAATCGCAATCAAAACCTAGTACTATAGGGTCACCTGTTTGTGGCTGGGGCTGTTACTGACCTTCATCTAGCCGGGCTTTGATTGTGGTTCTGTTGCTTGTGCCAGCTCCTTTCAGTTCGGTGTGACTCGGAAAACGGTTCGAGGAGTCCGTTGAGCAAACGTCAGGAAACCACAGGCTTACGAAAGCCCGACAAAAAGATGGCGGATTCTGGGCCATGTGGATGGACACAATCGATGGACACAATCCTGCACCACTAAGAAACCCAGAAATGATGATTCCCCTGCAAATACCAAAGAACGGTGGTTTCCCATGGTTTCAAAGTGGTGCGAAGTGGATGTCGTCCATCCACAGTAGTCCTCTCCCCCAGAAAGAAACCGCGTTTCAGGTCTGATTCCATGGCCACGGGCTTCTCTGAAGCTCAGGTGATATCCCCAGCATGCGGTGCTTTTTTCACCCCGCAGCCCCAGCAGAACCTGGTGGAACCCTGGTGCAACCCTGGTGGAACCTTTCCTCAGGGCCGCCCCGGACCACCCCGGAGCCTATCTGGGCTGAGACCCCAAAGCTTTCAGCTGTTGGGGGGAAAAAAACAAAGCACCAGGCATGTTCGCCCGTGTTTCGTCTGCCCACATAGGCAGACCCCTAAAAAGAGCTAAAAGGGGAGAGAAAGGGGAGAGAAAGGGGAGAGAAAGTCAAGGCCCACTGAGTTCTCTCCAGTTCCGGCCGCATGGATGGCTTGCCTTTTTGCTGGGGGAGCCATGCAAAGGCCTTGTTTCCGGCGGGGTGTAAGGGGCAACCAAAGGGAAAACCCTTTGGCCATCTTGGGAGTCCGATTCCTCACAGACACCCAGTTAAAGGGATCCCCTGAGGTTTGTGAAAAGCCCTCGAAGGATAGGTGAGGAAAAGAACCAGTGATCAAGCTTCCCTCGAAAAGGGTGGTTTGGGTTTGGTGGTTGAGGGGTTCGGAGGTGCTTCAAATGGAGCGCCAAACCCAAAGGCGGCCATCTCCATTTTGGAGCCCCGGCCCCCTCGTTCTCCTTGTCCTCCGGACGGAAGTCCGGGACGATCCGCACCACCTGCGTATCGTCGGTTTGACGGCTACCTGAACTACCCACTGCAAGAAACAGTTGCACCTCGTTTGACTTTTGAGTGACCTGTTTTAAGGGCTGCCCTCAGATCCCCCGCTGAAAGGTTGACTTTTAGTGGGTTAACTTTTAGTGGGTTAAATTCGGAAACTACCACTACACACTAAGCTAAAAGGCTAAGTTGAACCGGATGGCTGGGTTCCTAAAGCCACCAAGTTTCAAGGCGGGTCGAAAGAGAACCCGGAAAGGGCACCGCCCCCGGTCGAGCGCACCTCTGCCCCGTAGCTGGTATGGAAGTCCACGATGGGATCCACCTCAGATACGAAGGGGCTCCTAGAAGCTTGGCCAAAGGCAAAGGGAAACCAAAGGAAACCCGAAAAAGAAGACGGCCAAACCCATTTTCTGAAGTCCCCTGGAAAAAGTGTGCAAATATCTCCAGTCATAGATTGCCTTTAACACCAGGGGAAATAAGCAACACATATTATTTTCAGCAAATGGAAAACCTCCAAGGCCGCCAGCACATCAAAGTCCAGTGAGCCACGGCTCCAGGGATCGTGCTCACAGGGACCGAGGCACGGTGGATGCTGCTGCCATGTCGCAAGTAAACCAACCAGAAACCATGGTTGAATTTACATTGGGCTTCCCACTTGTTCCCGACCTGGCAATAGGGCATCCGTATGTCCTAAATAGAATATGGGCCAAATGAACCAGGTAAAAGGCGATCATTGGGGTGACATTGGATAGCGAAGTGTAACGCCTACCCGCCCTACCCAAACCTTAGACCCAGAAAAAAAACGGTTTGGTGGAAAGCCTTCTTAGGTGTCCTTCTTTGGGTGGGTTAAAGGGGGCTGGGGACTTCCTGGGCTTGCACCCCAATTGAGGGTCTCTTGAGGTGCAAACTGGGCTATCCTCAGATCCCCTGCTACAAGTTTAACTTTTAATCTGTTAGATCACTTTCCCTCGAAACCCTAAAAAGCTTAAAAAAAAGGGGATGGCTGGGAACTCCCCAAGACAATCCATATTCATCAGCTGGGATGGATGAAACCCGATTTGAGTGGCTGATGCACCGCCGTGCTGCTCCGCCTGCTCTTTGTGAAATTGAGTGAGCCCCTCCCTCGGAAAACCGCAAAAGCTGCGACCAAAGCTCATATGATCCCAACATCCTGTCTCCGAATAGGGAGCCCGATTCATTCTGGTGGCAGTTTAAAGGAAACCAAGCAACACACCACCAACCTTCCCTCTCTCTCGCTCTCTCGGGCCACTAAGCAGCACGCGATGCGGCCAGCCTTGTGATCATCCACCTGAGTTCAAGGGGCTCGGGCAAAGCTAGACAAGGGCAAGAGTGTCAAAATGGGTCACCGATGAGGGCATGAAAGTGGCTAGGGGTCTTCTGTGATCTAACTTGGTGCAGAGATGGGAGGTGTGTCAAAATCGGGATTTGGACCCCCAACATGGGTTTCCGCATGCCCCCAACGCAAACCAACCTGAAAAGGGTACCATCCACAACAGAAACACATTCCCGTTGACGCACAGGTGGACCAAAGCCCCAAGGGCCGTGGTTTCTGGGGAAATCGGCCATGGTTATCTGCCAGGACTACCGATCCACAGCGGGAAACACATCTCCAACCCTTGATAGAATGGCTGTGGTTGTCCAAAATTGGGTAACCCCAAAATGGAAGCATGGTAAATGGAAACATGGACTAAAAGCTGTGGTCCATATCCTGGTTTAATTTTGACCCATACCCGAATGTCTCTCGTATCACACTCGGTTGAATATGAGGAACTATGTGTAACCTGTCTCTGTCCCCTCTGGCCTGTGATTGATAGGTAACATGGCGACTGCTGGCTCCTCAAGGAGTCTTTCCTGGAATTGTCTTACTCAAAGAAACCAAACCGGGGTGCAAGCCTGGAATCACGTGCCTTCCACTGAGCTGTGACTTCTGAACCACCTCAAGGTCTTCGCCCCACACCCTCAGACCAAAAAAGCGGGCGGAGTACTTGAATACAACTTGCAATCGCAGGCTGGCTAGGGCAATTGTAAACCCTTGTCATCGTTTCGAGCTATTCGGCAAAACACACATAAAACGCGAGTAAACTAACAAAGACCGGCAACACACTGGGCAAGTTGCAGCCTTTTGCCGCCTTCGGGGCCAACCTTTGGGCCGCCTTCGCGGGGAGAAAGCCCTTCCTGGTCCTTTCAGCTCCCAGCGTACTGCTGCATGGTGCCCTTGCCCCCCTTGAAGTCCCGGCACCGCGTCACCTGCAAGCGGCGGCGCGGTGCGACTCACGCGGAGGTGACACCCCACACCGCGAAATGGGCTCATTTTTTATTTATTATTTTTGTTGTTGTTTCACTTGCAGGTGGTCGTCAAAATTAGGGGCCCTCTTTGGTATCCCCTTTGAAAGGCGGCACCCAAGGGGCGGCACCTTGGGCCCCCAAGTCTCCCGTGTGAGTCACTCGGCCAGGGGTCAGAGGTCAGGTCCCAAGTTCCAAAGAGTGCGGCTTCAAGATTGGCACTTAGGCCGATTGAACCTGAAATACGTGGGTCCTTCATCACAAACACAAATGCAGAAGTACCCCTATAACAGGCCAGCATGTCACCAAAAAGGTCTCCGAAGAGGAATCGGGACACATAGGTATGTCGCAAACTGGAAGACCTCCACTTTTCCCTCATTTTGAGACACACCCGTGCTTCGGACACGCTAGGTGGGTACATGCCAAACCAGCATGGAAGCTGACAAAAGGTATCTTTCAAGGCTTTTCTCGTTCCTGAAAAACGCCTTCCCCGCTAGCACGGTCCCGGACATCGATAGGAATTCATCTTCCAGGCCCCGGTGCAATTCTTGAGCCACCTACCAACTGGTGCCAAGAGGATTTTGTCCACGGAGATTCTTAAGAATTTCACCCAGGCAGATTTTGTCCACAGAGACTGTTGCTCTAGGGCTTGATGCCACATTCTTCTCAACCATCGTTCTTTCAGCCGTTTTCCCTGGTATTCCGGAGGTTTTCTAGAAAGAAGAAGGATCCCTAGAAAGAACGGACATGGAAGGTACCCCTACAGTTCAGACTTTCCACTGGTGGACTGTGTCTAGGTTCTCCAGTAGAGAGGCTAGAATAAGGGCACCCTTTTCTCTGTAGTCTATTTTAGTAGGGGACCCTCCCTCAAAAAAGGGTGAAAGGGCACTACTCAAGGACCTAGTTGTGAAAAACATGCTCGAAACATGACAGTCCACCCCCCCCTCCCCCGCCCCAATGACGAAGTCCACGGTCGGGTCGAGGCGGGCCAGGTGGAGCCTTGGATTCGAGCGCTCCAACAAGATCAAGGCTCGAAATTTCCGCCTCCGGTCACTTTCAGGGTACTCTGAAACTGCTCAAAAAAGAAACCGTTTTTTCCCGAAAGCATGGCGAAGGGTTCTTCCGCTGGGTTCACTTGAGTTGTTCTCATGAGAGTCATTACAAGGTGTCATTGCAAGGAATCATCATCATGAAAGTCATTGCAAGGAGTCATTGCAAGGAGTCATTGCAAGGAGTCATTGCAAGGAGTCATTGCAAGGAGTCATTGCAAGGAGTCATTGCAAGGAGTCATTGCAAGGAGTCATTGCAAGGAGTCATTGCAAGGAGTCATTGCAAGGAGTCATTGCAAGGAGTCATTGCAAGGAGTCATTGCAAGGAGTCATTGCAAGGAGTCATTGCAAGGAGTCATTGCAAGGAGTCATTGCAAGGAGTCATTGCAAGGAGTCATTGCAAGGAGTCATTGCAAGGAGTCATTGCAAGGAGTCATTGCATCATGGCAAGGATTGCAACTTGCACTTGACTCCTTGCACTTGCAACTTGCACTTGACTCCTTGCACTTGCAAACTTGACTCCATGCACTTGCAACTTGCACTTGACTCCATGCACTTGGCTCCTTGCACTTGGCTCCTTGCACTTGGCCTCCTTGCACTTGCAACTTGCACTTAACTCCGTGCACTTGCGACTTGCACTTGACTCCATGCACTTGGCTCCTTGCAACTTGCAATGGCTCTCATGACTCCTTGCAATGACTCCTTGCAATGACTCCTTGCAATGACTCCTTGCAATGACTCCTTGACTCCTTGCAATGAATGACTCCTTGCAATGACTCCTTGCAATGACTCCTTGCAATGACTCCTTGCAATGACAATCCTTGCAATGACTCCTTGCAATGACTCCTTGCAATGACTCCTTGCAATGACTCCTTGCAATGACTCCTTGCAATGACTCCTTGAAACAAGCAAGGAGTCAAGTGCAAGTTGCAAGTGCAAGGAGTCAAGTGCAATTGACTTGCGAGGAGTTAAAATCTCTTCTTAGGGCGGCGGGGTAGTGCCGACGACACTACACGAAAATCGACCCTCTGCGGGGATCGGCGTGGTCGAGGTGCAAACCCATGTTTTTTGCGATTTCTCGGCGGCGCGTGGAGGTGCAAAAACCCATGGTTTTTCTGCGGGGATTGGTCTAACCCAGTTCCCGCGCGACCCTCTGCGGGGATCGGCGTGCGACCCTCTGCGGGGAGGAGGTGCAAACTCGAGGTTTTTTTTGATGTTTAACCTGCTCGCGCGACCCTCTGCGGGGATCGGCGTGGTCGAGGTGCAAAAACCCATGGATTTTTTTTGCGATTTCTGCGGTGCTCGCGCGACCCTCTGCGGGGATCGGCGTGGTCGAGGTGCAAAAACTCGAGGTTTTTGCGATGTTTAACCTGCTCGCGCGACCCTCTGCGGGGATCGGCGTGGTCGAGGTGCAAAAACCCAGGTTTTTTGCGATTTCTGCGGTGCTCGCGCAACCCTCTGCGGGAATCGGCGTGGTGGAGGTGCAAAAACTCGAGGTTTTTGCGACTTTTGTTGTTCGAACTGGTCCTCGGGAGTTGTCTCGTGGTTCGCGCGCCTGCTCCCGGAACCGGCGGGTCGCGGGTTCGATTCCTCCCTGGTCCGCGGGCGGGCGTCGCAAGATGCAACTTGCATTTTAAAGCAACTTGCGCAGAGCAACTTGCGCAGAGCAAGTTGCACAGAGCAACTTGCGCAGACCAACTTGCACCGACCAGTTTGCGCAGAGCGCCTTGCCTAGAGCAACTTGCGCAGAGCAACTTACGCAGAGCAACTTGCACAGAGCAACTTGCACAGAGCAGCTTGCACAGAGCAACTTGCAGGGAGCGCAATTTGCACAGAGCAACTTGCAGGGAGCCACTTGCAGGGACCAACTTGCCGGAGCAACTTGCGCGGAGCAACTTGCGCAGAGCAACTTGCACAGTGCAACTTGCGTAGAGCAACTTGCGCAGACCAACTTGCACCGACCAGTTTGCGCAGAGCACCTTGCCTGGTGCTGTCTCGCGCTTGCTTCACGAATGCTTCGTGTAGGGAAAAAGAACGCATCCTGCAGCGTTGGGCCGACCTCGCTTGCGATGTTCTGCTTTCGGGCCAACCGTGGTCTAGTTTTTTTATATCCAAATCACCTATCTAGATCTGCTCACTTACCGCCAAACTCGGACAGGAGAAGCTCCGACGCCTGTGGGACCCCAGGCGACGCCTGTGGGACCCCCAGGCCCAGGCTATGATGTGGGCCTTTGACACCACGAGTTCCATAGGTTCGCCACTTACCTAGATGAGTGGCTCGTCTTTTTCGGACGGGTACCTGTTTTGCGCTGATTTCAAGAGGGAGGCCAAAGCAGACCGAAGCCCATGTTTGGGGTCGCGACGTTTTTTTCCTAGGAGTGTTTTTTCCTAGGAGTGGCTCACTGCTAGGGGTGGCTTACTGGTGGACAGTGGCCAAGTGTGTAACTGTGGCAGTGGAAGCCAAGCTCGCTGCTAGGAGTGGCTTACGGGTCGAGATTTAATTTGGGATTTGTTTGCTTTATTTTGGGATTTTTTTGTTTTCCGTCCTGGCAACTAAAAAGCCGCAATTTACAGCACTTTCTCGCGAAATGTACGCATTTTGCGCTAGTCCGTCAACATCATCAGAATCGTTTTCAACATCCCCAGCATCACCATCAAAGCGAGGGCCTTGGCTTCCTGCATCTTCAGCATCATCAGTTCCTCTGCGGAGGATTCAAATACGGGCAACCTAATCCCTGTAAAACACATAAAACGCATGATGATTGAAAAAGTGATGATTCAATTAGGGGTGCAGCAAATTTTAATCTCTGCCCAAAATCCAAAAATAGCGGGTGATGATTCAATTATTAGCTAAAAAGCAGTGGGGGGGCTGCTGCCACCCCCCCATGATGATTGAAAGAAGTGATGATTCAATTAGGGGGCATTTTAATCTCTGCCCAAAATCCAAAAAGTAGCGGGGGGGTTTGGGGGGGGGGGGGCGGCAGCCCTCGATCAAAAAAGTGATGATTCAATTAGGGGCAAAAAAATCTAAAAGCAGCGGGGGTGGGGGGGGGCAGCCCCGCGCGGGGGGTGGGGGGGGGGGGGCGGCAGCCCCCCCCATGATGCAAAAAATCTAAAAAATGGCGGGGGGGTTGGGGGGGGGGGCAGCCACCCCCATGATGATTGAAAAAGTGGATCGAAAAATTAGGGGCAAATAATCTAAAAAGTAGCTGTCGCATGATGATCGAAAAAGTGATGATTCAACTAGGCGGGGGCGCCAGAGAGGAACTTGCGATGCTGAGGATGCAGGAAGCCAAGGCCAAAAACCAGCTGGGAAAGCAGAGGATGCGAAAAGCCAAAAGCCACAAAGCCAAAAAGCCACCTGCCGCAGCAGAACTGGCAATGCAGAGGATGCGAACCGAGAGGAACTGTGAATGCAGAGGATACGAAATGAAAAGCCACAAAAGCCACAAAAACCCACGTAAAAGCCACAAAAGCCAAAAAGCCGAAAAGCCACCCACCCTGAAAAACAAAAAATCATATATATATATATATATATATATATATTTAAAAAAAAACAACGCGAAAACAATCCTAAAATATGGCCCTCCGTGGCTTACTGGTGGACAGTGGCCGCCAAGTGTGCAACCAACCAACCGACCGACCGACCGACCGACCGACCGACTTACCAACCAACCAACCAACCAACCAACCAACCAACCAACCAACCAACCAACCAACCAACCAACCAACCAACCAACCAACCAACCAACCAACCAACCGGTACTGGAGCCCTTGCTAAGCTGCGAGCCACTCCTAGGACAAAAAAAAAAACAGTCGCCTCCCATGTTTGGGGTTGTGAGACAAAGCCAGAGTCCATCTGGCCCAGACAAGTGGGTAAGACTTCTGAGGTGGAAACTCTGCTAACTGGGTATGGGTCAAAATTAAACCACCAGGCGTGCCGCAGGTTCATTCCTTGCTTCCATTTGACAGGGTTCCATTTTGGGTACCTATTTTTGATCCACAGCCACCTGTTCACATTTACCAAAATAATCCTATTGAGAACTTGTTCCCCGCTTGTTCCAAGCGGGGAACAAAACGTAGTTGAGTAAAACTCGTTTTCCAAGCTCGGGAAACGAATTGTTGGAATCGGAATGCCGAACGGGTGAACCACCCATTTTGGGAGGTTCTGTATCCTTCGGAGACAATCCTAGGTCCTCCAGTAGAGAGCTTAGAATAAGGGTATTGTTTTTCTACCGCGTCTATTTTAGTAGGGGAACCCTCCCCCAAAAAGGGGGACCTAGCAATCACATCCCTACATGACCCAACAGAACGAACTTTGTATCTCAAGCTGGTCCTATTCCTTTCTTGGGATATCGGCGAGAGTGAGACCGTCAGGCCCTAGACCTCCAGTGCATTCCTCGGCCAAAGGGGCACCCTGACTTGAAAGGTACCCCTCCCTTTGAACATGCACAAACCAGACCTTCAGTGAATTTCAAAGGGATGCAGACTCCTTTCAAAACAAACAACAGTTGCAAGAAGGCACAAAACTACGTATTTTTGCTGGTCCCACGCAAACTTGGGGACCGAGTGCAGTCCGGTGCCGAGTGAAACCATCGGGACCTCCGATTCCACCAATCGTTAGCTTCAAATTGTGTCCACCACGGACACATCAACCTTGAAGAGGGAGTTTGCCCCTGAAAATGAATCTGGAGTTCCTCTTTAATGGAAAACCAACCGTGGCCTTGTTAATCCTAGGTTCTCCTCGGTGAATCTGGGGTTGTCTAAGACTGGGGGAAGCTTCCAAATGAGTGGTTTCCATTGGTTTCGGTTTAAGCCAACCCCACAAAGAGGACTCTCATTCCAGACTCCTCAGAGCTGATCTGTTTCGTTGCTGGCGATTGATCTTCCCACCCCACCCCCTCCCCCACACGAGCAAGCCAAACTGATTGTACAAACAGAGCCAGACTGGGCCAGACGTTGACCTGCCAAAAGTTAGGTTGTTGCTGCATGTTCGGAAACATGGCCACACTATGTCGAACCATGCTCCAGGCGAGAAGACAGGACAAGAGGAAATAACGATGGAAAACAACAAAGGCAAAAGGTTACGAAAGGTTTTACTTGCATGGTTCTAAGGGGAAGTTGAAACCTACTTACTAAGTCCTGCTGGGAAAATAAATGGCCCTGGCAGGTGATGAAACAACCAGGTCAACCAGGAATCGCCATCCGCTTTCTTCCAAAACAACCGGATGGGCGAAATCCGCTCCACCACTTCGAAACCAGGGTTGAAACCATATCCGTTTGTTGGTATTGTCAGGAGTCACAAATCATTCCGTTGGGTTTCTGAACGCTGTTGCATGGACTTCGCAGCCGTCCACATGAATAAAAAAGATTCGAAACCAAGCAACACCATATCTTTTGTTGGTGTTTTTCAGGGGAATCATCTCATTCCGATATGACCAAAAGGTTTCGAAGGGGCAGTAGCCGCCAGCTGCGAATCCGCGAGTCGAATCGGCAGATCAGTTGCCGGGGCCCAGGCGCGAAAGATCTCAACTCCGAGCCGATGCCCATGTTGCTCACCTACGGGAATCGAGCGAGCCCGACCCATTGGTCTGGATAAATGTCGATGTGGAAGACCTGTTTTACACTTGGTTGGAGACATATTGGGGGTTCCTGCGATTTTTGAAGTCCTCAAGTTGACATGGGGTTGTCCTATTTGGAAATGGCACATCCATCTTGGGGGTCCCAAATTTTGCCTACTCCACGTACTCACATTCCATTCGGAACCAGGCTGAGTCATGTCCTGAGAATGAACCTCAAACGATGATTGTCCAAAACTGCTGGAAGGCCATCTGCGTCCGCCAGCTTCTCAAGAGCTTCCAGATTGCTGGCAACGTGCAGCGGCCGTCTATAGGTCGGACGTCTAAGGAAAGATTATAAAAACGTATCCGTAGTTCGGACGTCCATTGATTAAAAAAGAAATGTGTTTGATTTAGAAATACTAACTCTGGCGCCGACATTTTGATCAAAATCACAAAAACACTTCCCCGACACCAAGGAGAGGTTGCTGTCTGTAGTGACTGGCCTGGAAGGTCCGCGTGTCACAAGCCAGCTTCAGATCTGCGCTGGTGCCTGTCAGCATAGTCTGGTTGTACTCGCCGAACTGGAATGTGCCAGACCCGTTTTCCTCTGGCTCAAGGAGCCACATTCCATTCGCGGGCTGAGTCATGTTCCAAGAATGAACCTCACGCGATGATATACTTGGCAAATTAACGTGGAACTCCTAAACATGGGGGTGTCTTTTGTTGAGTGCCCAACAAATTGTGGTTTATAGGGAAAACCACAAATTTATCAGGGGTCCCCCAAAAAAGGTCGATTCAGATCCTTCGTGAATTTGCACGGGATGAAGACTTGAATAAAAGCCACATCCCGTGGGGGCCCCTACACGACTCCCCAAAGACAGGGGCCCATCCAGGTCAGTTTCTATCCCAACTACACCCGGGATAAATGATCATTCATTCACGAACCCGAAAATGAGGGCAAAGGCCCTCATGTATCAAAACTTCAGAAGGGGATTTTCGTTTGTGAGAGGACGTTCAAATTTCACTTTGCGCAGAACCATGTGCGTTGTCTAACCTCCAACGCACCGAGTTTCTTCTGATTTCCCTCATGCATACAAAACTGGGCTGCCCCCAGATCCCCTGCTGAAAGTTTAACTTTTAGTGGGTGAAACGGAAACTACCACTAAACCCAAAGGCCTAAAAGGCGAAGGTGGCTTCCCCCAAAAAGGAGCCAAACCTGGCGAAGCCATGGCCCCTACCTCGGGGTCCGTGGCAATGGCGACCAGCTGCAGGATCCGCCCAGCCTGAGACTTTCGCGCGACAGACAGGCCACCAGGAACATTTCACAGCCAAAAAGGTCCAGAAGTTGAGGTCTAGAAATTCCACCATCTGGGGAAGCTGCGATGCACAGTGCATAAGTATGTGTATATATATAATTATATATATATATATATAAATATTAATGTACATGTATAAGGAAACCCGAAGAGGACCTGCGTGGGAGACCTCGATTTTTTAGCCCATCGGTGAGCTCGCCATATTTGTGATCCATGCCACTTGGCCAAATGAGTGAAGGCCCAGCCTGCAAAACTCGTTCGTTGGAGAAAACGCACAAAACAGAAGTGTGCTTTTGAGAAAATGGATGGCCCTGGTAGATTATGAAGCCAAATCAATCCACAAAAACATCTATTTTCTACAAAAGAAAACAACCAAATGGACACCGGCTGATGTGGATGGACAAAATGTGTTCCACCAACTCGAAACCAGGCGAACCAGAACGCTGGTTGGTATGTCATTCCGCTGGGTTGGCTTCTGAACCGTACGAAATGGATTTCGCAACCATCCAAGTATGGCAGAAACCACAAGAAGACCAAAAAGGGCAAAGAGGGGAGTGAAGCCTGATTTAACAAAACCTCGTAACCGCGGATGAACCTGCCGCAGTGGGGGGTAGCGGGTGTTTCCACCCAAAAGGAAAGAACACCCCTTCCCCCTATTTTACTCATCCTGGGTTTTCATACCCCCAAAGAAGTCCGATCGTGAATGGACTTCGGGCGACCCTGGTGTGCCAAAACAAGTCATTTCAGACCAACTTCCAGCCAAACCCGAAAAACATCTGGCCGCCCCAAAAAGCAAGGGACACTCCCACCGCAAGTTCACGGCAGGAGCCCAAACAGGAAAGCTATGCAAACCCTCGGTGCACCCGGTCCAAGGAAATCGTCAACACACCACGGCTGTGTCTCTTGCCGGTGGACCTCCCAAAGTGGCATGGTTCTCGGTTTGCTGCCCCAATAGAAAACCATCCCATCTGGCTCCCCCTTCACATGAGGCCTACTCTTTTCAAACCATCCACATTGCCATGGGTCAAAAGACCGTACGCCCAGTGAACATCCCCATCCCCACTAAAATAGACTAAAACGAGTGGGTGCACCTATCCCAAAAGGGTACCATTGGTTTTGAACCACAGCCATGTCTTGGATTGGAGAATCTCCTTTGGGGGGACCCGCAAGGTTTGGGTTTCAGCGGATCATCTCAGCGGTTGTTGTCGAAATACCCTGTCCATTTGGGCGAAGCCCGACCCCGAAATGGGAAATCAGGGCACTGGTTGTCTCGGCGGGTGGTTTCCCATGCCGAACCAAACCAAAATCTTTATTTCCCAACCAAACATCTTACTCAACCAAAGCTTCCCAAAATGAAACCGCCCTTTTTGGGCTGCCATTTTAAACACCTTCCAACCCAAAGAAATCCACCCAGAGTGAAGCCACCAAACCCATCCGATGGAACATCTTCGAGCTGCCGGATCGTGGGTCTGGGAGATCTCCATGAACCTGGCGAAAGGACTATGGGGTCGAGAAGGCCCAGTCTCCGGGATGTCTGAAAAGGGGGGGGAGGGAAACGCGCCCTCCAAAAGGGCAACGGTGTCTTTTGGTTTCCCATGAAAACCACCTCCAAAGACAACCGGATTCCCTCGTGCTCGCATCTGGGGTACACAGAAAAGAATATGTTAAGTATCGGCTGCACATGTTGTCTACCCTTTTAACTGAGACCCCAGAACAAGGGGTAGAAACCATGTTTCCCTTTTCTCGATGTTTGACCAAGAACGGTATCAGGCACCTTTGCTGCGAAGTGCGAATTCTTATGCACCTCATCGCCCACCATTTAGCTTTCTCGCGGTACCTGTTGAGGAGCGAGTCCTCTACGCAGTACTAGTACACGCGGCCGTCTGTGGCCTGCGCGTCCGCACGTGGCTTGATTTGGTCTTGGAGCCAGTACCCAGCCACTTCTGGTCGACCCTGCCACTTCGGCGGCAGGCGCGTTGGCTTCCTTCGTGGGCGCCGGATCACGAAGGCGCCGGATTGGCCGATTTGGCCATGTCACCGCGTTTGCGCAGACAGGAAGAAGGAGCAGAAAATTGCCAATGGAAAGGGAGAGACAACACGGGAGTCAATCAGCATCCAATCACACTAGCTTTACGATGGCAAGAACGGCTCGATAGGAAGACCGTCCCCGGGATGGCCCTAGTAGATGATCAAACCAAGACGGTCTACCAGCGCCCTTTATTTCTCAACTAAACTGAACAAAAAGGACACCTACTGTGGTTGGACGAAATCCATTTCGCACCACCCAAGAAGACCTGGAATGATACACATGGCGAAATGGATTTCGTCCGTCCACCGTTTACCCACCAAGGGAAACCACAGATGTAAAAGGCCACAGCTTCAAGAGTCCTGGTTTTTTGGTAAGTAATGAGGGATGTTGTTCAAAATTGGGGACGTGTGGGTGGTGGTCCTTTTGGCTTCCTTTTAAAACCATCCAAAAGGGGATCCCCTATTTTTAGGCACAGCCGTTTTTTTCTGTTTGAGGGTTGTCATCCCAGAGTCGGTTTTTAGGGAAGCCAGGGGAAACCAAAACATGGGTTCCTCACTCCAGGACGAGCGGAGCTAAAAAACCATTGACCAACATGGATATGGGCGTGTTTTTGGAGAGCACCAAAAGGAAACCATGATTATTATGTTTTTATTTTATATATTTTTTTGGGGGGGGGGGCGCAAAACAGGACACAGCCACATTTTTTTTTTTTTAGCCTTGACCCCGCCACCACGAAAAGGCTAGAACCACCTACTCCACACATTCGCAAGCGAGATGGAAGCCCCCCGAAGAGTGACCCCAGCCCCAATCCATGTTCTTCCTGGGTGAAACAGAGTCTCTCACGGCATTTGGTGTGAGACATGTGAGGGCCTTGGTTTAGCGGGTTGCCCGTCCCAAAAACAAACAGAACGACCAAGACAACCCAATAGGGAGGACAATCGGTTAAGCCAAGGCCGAACCCTACTTGGCAAAATAAAAATCCGGCACACACGCAAGTAAGTTTGCAAACGAACCATATCAGGAATGGCGGCAAAACCCCTGCTGTGGCATGGGTGCGCTGAAGGTGCTGCGGCTGCCACTTTACCTGGTTGCTATCTCCGCCAAAGCTTGAGCTGCCCCCAAGTCACACATGTCGGCACCTAAAAAGGCGGAGGGGGCAGGAGGTAATTGCGGCCTGAGCAAAGGCGCCCGCAAGTCTCAAAGACCCCGAAGTATAATTTTCTTTTTGGTCTAGGCTGTATCAATCAAGATGGTATTTTTGGGACGTCGGGATGTTCTCCCAGGTGCTGTCGTCCGGATTTTGGCACTGTGTCTGCAATGTGTTTCTCCCTTTTCAACCAACGGCTGGCACCGACCGTCGACGTTTAAGATCGCGAGTCGGACTTCTGCTTGTCCACGTCATCCTCCGACTGGATCCGCTGCATGTAGAGCACTGCCACAACCTGCCGAACTGCGGAAAATCCCAACGGGGTGGGAAGATGCTCGTGGGTGTGTGTGTGGAGAGGTTAGAATAAGGGTACCAACTTTTTTCTGTAGTCTATTTTAGTAGGGGAACCCTCCCCAAAAAAATGGTAAAAGGGCCCTACTGGGGGACCTTGAATATGTCAAAATGCAATCGCCATCGTTTCGCCTCTTCTCAGCACATGTCCCCAAAGCCTTTGAAAATTGAGGGCGGGGTGGAATACAAATGCTCATAGTGGTTTTTAGATCTGGTATAGAGCCGGCACGGAACATGTTGAGACCATCCTGCAAAAACAAGCAAATGGCAATGTGACACTCGCGACACAGAAATTCCAAACAGTATTTTAAATGACCTGGTCAACGGAATGGGGCGGAACCGGCAGCGGCCTGCCCGTGCTGCCCGAAAGAAAAACTACGTGGAGACTCCACGACCCTTCGAAAACAGCTGGTTGCCTAGTTCTGGATAGTGGGGCCAGAACCGGCGGAGTCTTTTCCTCCATTGGCTTAAGTCCGCTGGAAACACATTTGGAAAAAGTATGTCCAGTAACACCTCCCCTATAAAACCAACAGGGCCAAACAAAAAACACATTTCTGCAAATGGCTCCGTTTTCTGAGGGGCTCCATTTCTGGGTTGCTTCAAGTGGAATCCAGCAAGCCTGATTCCCTTGGCTTGAGCGCGCGGGGTATGTCTCAACATGAGGGAACCTCTTAGAGCGGCTTCGCTGGGCGGCTTTGCTGGTCAAATGTCCCTTTCAACCCAATTGAAGAGTGCCCTCCAGAAACAAAGACTCATATTAGTCCACCTTAGAATAGAAGATGACAATCAGAGTGGGTTCCATTTCCCATGTTCCGGGGCAATCCAGGACGTCGGGCAACATTCTGAGGGGCCTGCACACGATTGGGCCAACTGGCAAAAAACATGTGTAAACTTGAGAGAAACGGTTGGGACAGTTTAAACAAAAACAAAAAACTCCCACCTGCAGCCAGCGGAATTTCGGACCCTGCCGGGGTCTTCCACCACCTGGCCCCTTCCCTCAGTTTAGACACCTCCTTTTCAGGAAGGGTAAATGGAACCCTTTCTCAGCAAGGAAGGGGAAGTAGCCTAACCTAGGTTCTCCAGTAGAGAGGTTAGAATAAGGATGCCCTTTCCTCTGTAGTCTATTTTAGTAGGCGAACCCTCCCAACCAAAAAAGGGGTGAAAGGGCACTACCGGGGGACCTAGTAGCTTTGGCCAGCTCAACGCAACAAGCAGAAAGACCCGAAAACTTCCGCCGGCGCCTTGCCATCCATCTCGCAGACCTGCGTTCGGAAGTCTCGGGCTCGGAAAGCCCACGCCGGAAACAAGGCTGCTGCTGCTGCTGCTGGTGGTGGTGGTGGTGGTGGTGGCGGTGGTGAAAAGGACGGCAGTGAAGCCTCCAAGGCTCACCTCATATTGACCCGGACTAGTTTTAGCCTCCTGAGATATGTCTTGCAAATGTTTCCCTCAACAAATGGGGCATCCGGGTGTGTTCTAAAATAGGGAAACCCACACAAAATGTGTGGTTTCCCTATTTAAACCAAGAGAAATCGGTGTTGGGCGCTGCTCAAGTGCGTGCAACCTGCGTCCTGGTGTCTTCCATGTCTGTGGGGCTCACTGCATCTGGGCTGGTCGGTCTAAGACCCCCACTTTGGGGCGAACTTGTTCGGGAAAACAACCCAATCCTCCGCACCCTGCATTCACTTAAGCCCCCCGGATAAAAAATACACAGATTTCCAGTGGTGAAACATCCCCTTCAAAGCCAACCGGGAAAATTAGTCATATTCTTCAGCAAACGGAAGAAACGGAAGCTTGAAACCACAACCTGGATGGTAAAGCAGCTAGGTCAACCTGCCACGAGTAAAGCTGGTCAGAAAAACACCAAGTCACGGGCCCGGGCGAAACTAGTTTTGCCAGACAGGCATAGTAAGGATGTTTCTGTGATACTCAAAATGCAAGATGCATTCAAATGAGATCCCGATGACAAAATGTCGCAAAAGCGGAAATCCCCCCCCCCCGGTTGACCTCTCAAGAAAACCCCCAAGACACACACACACAAACAAACAACCACTCCAAACAAACTACCAACCAACCAACCAACCAACCAACCAAACAAACAAACAAACCGACAACACACACACAAACAAACAGATTCAAACAAACACGCCCAACAAGCCAACCAACAAACAAGCAAAATCAAACAAACACACCCAACAAGCCAACCAACAAACAAGCAAATTCAAACAAACACACCCAACAAGCCAACCAACAAACCAGCAAAAAGAAGAAGCAAACCAAAAACACAAGGCCCCCCGTCAGACATTGGCCCCGCCAGGTTGGTGGTGGGCGAGGTCTCCAGCCGTGTCTTCAGCACTGAAGGCGAGGCCTTGGGTCGCTTCGGTGTGCCTTTGGGGGAAACCAAAAGGAATCCAAGCACGGGGTCCCCCCCCCCCATGTGGTTTAAAGGAAAACCCATTAGTTGGCAAAAAGTCAAAGTCCTAACATCCAAGCAAAATGTAAGAACCGGAGAATTTTAGAGAAACCGAGATTTTGTTTAAAGGGAAACCAAAGGAATCCAAGGAATTTTGGGGGTCCCCCTTAAGACACCATTCATAATAGAAACCGAAAAGAATCCAATAATTGTGGGGGACCCCCATTTTGAGACACAACCGTAATGATTCAGCAACGGAAAAGGAGTCCCTATATCCCTATGACAGGAACTTTCATGGGTTTACACGTCCAGAATAGTAGGTCACCAAGCGAAAATAAGGAGGTCCTACAGGAAACTTCATGGGCGATGGATTCATTGCGTCGCAACCCCCGCCCCCCGGTGGCGTTGCTGATTACAGGCCCAGACTGATTGGTCTCTTGTTTACTAGAGAAATGGGTGTGCGTCAAACAGAGGCACTCAAAATGAAACCTTGGTTAATGGAAACAAGGACTCAAACCTGCAGTACATTTCCTGGTGGTTCAATTTTGGCCCATCATCTGGGCATGGTGGGTGTCAATTCAAGTTATGTCATTTACGATGTCTTTGTGAATTGAATAGATGTGGGTTGATCTGGAGAACCGATTGGCCCCGAGGGAATCACAAGGAAGCTAAGCCAACTTTCTACCTTGAGCGCGTGCCATCGTTGAGAGGCTCGGAACAACATTGTTTAACACTCGTGACCGTTTCCTTTGAAATCATCAATGCAAAACCACGTACCTGAAGTACGACGCCCCCAACAAAGATTCGTCGCAAGCTCAAACTTTTCATGAGCGGCTCAGGAACATTGCCAGCCATTGCAGATTGGACAAAACAGATCAGCCCCAAAACCAATCCTAAATCGACCCTTAACCAAACCTACACCAACCCAAATCGAACAACCTGGACCCTTGTCTACACCAACCCTTAAGCCAACCCTAAACCAACCCTAAACCTAGCCTAAGTTGAACGCCAAACCTAAACCCCAACCCCAAACCAACCCTAAACCAACGCCTAAACCCACACCGACTGAAACCAAACCTAAATCGACTCTACACGAAGCCTGCGCAACCCCCAAACCAACCCTAAACCAGCCGAAAGCAAACCCTAATCCAACCCTAAACCAACTCTAAACAAACCCTAACCCACCCCACACCGACCCTAGACCAACCTAAACCGACCCTAAGTCGACCTTAAACCAACCCTACCAACCCTAAGCCAACCCCAAACCCCACAGTGTATTTTTGGGAGTTAGTATTCTGTTTTTAGGCCAAAAAGAATTGCCCAAAGGACCCAGAACTAAAGGGTGAACCTGTTGGGCCCTTTGCCAAAAATTGGACCCAAGCAAGGTGAGGAAAACCACCAAGTTTGGGTGTTTGCCATTTCTTGGGGGACGGTGGGTTTTTGAAGGGAAACGAAAGAAGAAACAAAAATCCATGTTGGACAGGGATGTATTTTGGTGTTGAAAAAGCCGCATGTTTCAAATGGCGGCAAAAAGAAATGGTGGAGAAAAACCATGTTTCAAATGGTTGCATTTTTTAGTTATTTTTAAGGAGCCCTGTTGGAGGTCCCCGAAAAAAAAAAAAAAAAAAAAAAAAAAAAAAAAAAAAAAAAAAACAGGGCCGCCCGAAAAAACGGATGATTCTTGGAGCCCCCGGCTTGGAGCTGCTCTGCCCAGGCCAGCGACTCCAAGCGCTCCAGGCCTCGTTTGGAGAGAAACCGAGTGGGTCCATAGGCCTGTGGTGCCCGCAAGGAGGGGGGGGAGGGGGGGAGGGGAGGGGGTGAGACAAGGGGGGTGGAAGGGAGGGGGGTGGGGGGGAGGGGGGTAGGGTGGGAGGGAAGGGGGGGAGGGGGTTCGGTTGTATGACGAAACCTTAACGTGGAAAACGCCGCCTGGTTTGTTCAAGGCAATTCAAAGGAAAAGACACCCCGACGGACATTTTGTGTCTTGGGTTTGTTCCCAAAACTAACCCCCAACTCCTCCCCCCCCAACAAAAAAAAACCTTGGGGCACGCCACTCCCGCAAACACTGCTATTGTGGTCTGCAGTCTTCCAAATAGGTCTTTGGGGTGTGCTGTTGGGGCTCTAACTAGTCCACCTTCCAGGTCTGTCGATCACCCAGAGACAAAAACCGAAGGGCCCGATGCTTCATTGAATGGCCCCATGGCCCGAAGCCAGCTTCCAGAAATCCCCGAAAGACCCCAGCGTGGCTGGATCCCGCATCCCTTTGGCCACCGGGAAGGCCAGGCGCCCAAGCCAACGGGATGGCGCCGAACCTTCGGGTTCCCAAAGGGGCGCCGAGGGGTTCCAAAGGGATGCGAGGCTCGTAGGCTGAGCATAGAAGTTCGGTCCTTTTACTCACTTGCCCAAAGGACCTGCAAATAAAAGGTTAACCTTTTGGGACCTCTACTAAAAATAGACCAAAATTGGAAAACCAAAAGGTCAAAAGGTCGGCTTTGAGCAACTGAGTTTAGGAAAAGGACGATGGTTCCGGTAGATTTCTGGACGACGCCCGGGGTGATGGCTCGATAGCCCTTGGGAGATAGCCAGCTGCTCGCGATGCACTTGCTCCCGTGCTCTCTTGGCTACTTTTTGCTGGGGGGGGGGGGGCGGGCACCACCCTTCCAGTACGCTGTACAGTTGGCGACTTGTCTTTGCCAACCATGGCATTTAAACTGCAGCACCTCTTACATTCATTCAAATCACAGGAGGTCTCGGCCCTCAAATCTCTCAGATGGCCCAGGGCCAAGCAATCCGGAGGAAGGCAAGGAGTGTCTGACTCAAGCTCCTGCCTTACGAGGCCGGCAGTGGGGCAAGATGGGCGGGTTCTGGAAATGACCATCGGCTGGGCTGGGTGGGAATGATATAGATATATATATATATATATATAATATCACCATACAAAAAAACTTACGTGACTATCTCCCCTCCCCCTCCCCTCCCTCCCCTCCCTCCCCGCCCTCCCCTCCCTCCCCTCCCTGCCCTCCCTCCCCTCCCTCCCCTCCCTCCCCTCCCCTCCCCTCCCCTCCCGTCCGATCCCTCCCGTCCCGATCCTCCCCTCCCACTCCCGTCCCCTCCCCTCCCTCCCCTCCCCTCCCCTCCCTCCCCTCCCCTCCCGGTCCATCCCGTCCCTCCCGTCCAACATCCCTCCTCCCGGCGGGATCCGTTGTCCCCTCCCCCTCCCCACTCCACGATCCTCCCTCCCTCCCCTGATCCCTCCCGTCCCATCCCCCACTCCCGATCCTCCCGTTCCAGATCCCTCCCACCTCCAGTCCCCTCCCGTCATCCCCATCACTCCCGGGATCGATCCCACATCCTCCCCCTCCCACTCAGATCCCCTCCCCCTCCCCGTCCATCCCGACCTCCCACTCTCCCCTCCCCCTCCCCTCCCGTCCCGTCCATCCCTCCCTCCCCTCCCCTCCCGTCCTCCCTCCCCTCCCCTCCTCCCTCCCTCCCCGAATCCTCCCTCCCGATCCACTCCCCCTCCCCTCCCCTCCCACTCCCCTCCCTCCCTCCCCTCCCTCCCCTCCCAGATCCGGGATCCCCGTCCATCCCCTCCCCGTCCTCCCGTCCCGCTCCCGTCCAGATCCCCCCTCCCTCCCCTCCCTCCCCCTCCCACTCCCACCCCCTCCCCTCCCCGATCCCTCCCGATCCCCTCCCCGATCCACTCCCACTCCCACTCCCGTCCCTCCCTCGCTCATCCCCGATCCTCCCCTCCCCTCCCCCTCCAGGTCCGGGTCCCAGCACCCCTCCCAGGACTCCTCCTTGATCCCATCCTTCCTCCCCTTCCCCTCCCCCTTGGTCCCCTCCCACTCCCCTCCCCCTCCCTCCCATCCCCGCTCCCCTCCCACATCCCCGTCCCCTCCCCTCCCCCTCCTCCCCTCCCCGATCCCCCTCCCCTGTCCCATCCCCCTCCCCCTCCTCCCGATCCACGATCCCCTCCCTTTCCAAAATCCCTTCCCTCCCGGCCTTCCGATCCCCTTCCCTCCCGAGATCCCCTCCCCTTCCCTCCCCCTTCCCCCTCCCCTTCCCCTCCGGGTCCCCTCCCTTCCCCTCCCTTCCCTCCAGTCGGAATCCCCTTCCTCCCGTCCTCCCCTTCCCCTCCCCGTCCTCCCTTCCCCTCCTTCCCGTCCTGGATCCCCTTTCCCGTCCTTCCCATCCTTCCCCCCTTCCCAGATCCTCCCCCTCCCCTCCCCCTCCTCCCCATTCCCCGTCCCTTCCCTTCCCTTCCCTTCCCCCTTCCCCGATCCCTTCCCCTCCCCTCCCCTCCCTGGGATCCCACTCCCTGATCCCCTCCCATCCCCACGTCCCTCCCCCTCCTCCCCCTCCCCTCCCTCCCCTCCCCTCCGATCCCCCTCCCCTCCCCTCCCCTCCCCCTCCCCGATCCCCCCTCGATCTCCCCCTCCCCCTCCCCGTCCCTCCCCTCCCTCCCCTCCCCTCCCCCATCCCCTCCCCGGATCCCCAGATCCCCTCCCGTCCCCCTCCCCCTCCCCCTCCCCTCCCCCTCCCCTCCTCCCCTCCCCCATCCCCCTCCCCCTCCCCCTCCCTCCCCTCCTCACATCCCCTCCCCCTCCTCCTGAATCCCCCTCCCCCTCCCCTCCCCTCCCTCATCCCCCTCCCCACATCCCCCTCCCTTCCCCTCCCCTTCCCCTCCCCTTCCCCTCCCTGATCCCCTCCCTTCCCCTTCCCTCCCCTTCCCCTTCCCCTCCCCTTCCCTGATCCCTCCCCTCCCCTTCCCCTCCTGATCCCCTCCTTCCCCTCCCAGATCCCCTCCCCTTCCCTCCCCTTCCCTCCCCCTCCTTCCCCTCCCTTCCCTCCCCTTCCCTCCCCTTCCCCTCGCCCCTCCCTTCCCCTCCCCCTCCCCCTCCCTCCCCCTCCCCTCCCCCTCCTCCCCCTTCCCCTCCCTTCCCCTCCAACTTCCCCTCCCCCTTCTTCCTTCTTCCTTCCCCTCCCCTTCCTTCCCTCCCCTTCCCCTCCCTCCCCCTCCCCTCCCCTCCCTCCCTCCCCCCCTCCCTCCCCTCCCTCCCCTCCCTCCCTCCCTCCCCTCCCCCCTCCCCTCCCCGCCCCTCCCCCTCCCCTCCCCTCCCTCCCTCCCCTCCCCTCCCCTCCCCTCCCCTCCCTCCCTCCCTCCCCTCCCCTCCCTCCCCTCCCCTCCTCCCTCCCTCCTCCTCCCGTCCCCTCCCCCTCCCCTCCCCTCCCCTCCCCTCCCTCCCCTCCCCTCCCTCCCCTCCCCCCCTCCCCTCCCCTCCCCCCCCCCTCCCCCCCCCTCCCCTCCCTCCCCTCCCCTCCCTCCCCTCCCTCCCGCTCTCTCCCCTCCCTCCCTCCCCCTCCCTCCCCTCCCCTCCCTCCCTCCTCCCTCCCTCCCTCCGCCCCCCCTCCCTCCTCCCCCTCCCTCCCTCCCTCCCCCCCTCCCCTCCCTCCCTCCCTCCCCCTCCCCCTCCCCTCCCTCCCCTCCCTCCCTCCCCCCTCCCTCCCCTCCCTCCCTCCCTCCCCTCCCTCCTCCCTCCCTCCCTCCCCTCCCCTCCCCTCCCCTCCCTCCCTCCCCTCCCCCCTCCCTCCCTCCCCCCTCCCCTCCCTCCCTCCCTCCCTCCCTCCCTCCCCCCCTCCCTCCCTCCCTCCCTCCCTCCCCCCTCCCCTCCCCTCCCTCCCTCCCCCTCCCTCTCCCTCCCTCCCTCCCCCTCCCTCCCTCCCTCCCCTCCCTCCCCTCCCGCTCCCCCCTCCTCCCTCCCTCCTCCCTCCCTCCCTCCCCTCCCTCCCCTCCCTCTCCCTCCTCCCCCTCCCCTCCTCCCTCCCTCCCCTCCCACTCCCCCTCCCTCTCCCCTCCCTCCCCCTCCCTCTCCCTTCCCTCCCTCCCTCCCCTCCCTCCCCTCCCTCCCCTCCCTCCCCTCCCTCCCCTCCCTCCCCCCTCCCTTTTTTGTCTCACCTATTCTCCGTTTGCATACTCTTCCCGCCCTCCGCCTTTTCCGCTTCCGCAACCGGCGCCCCGGGCTCGGCAGGTCCGCCACCTCCGCGAAGCGGATCGAGTACTTCCGCCTGCGCGGATCGACGCCGGGGGGGCGGCGGGGGGGGCGGCGGGGGAGTTTCTCCACTTGGGGGTCGTGGTCGAATTTTGGTCGGGGGTCGAACACAGGCACGCCGGAGATAATATATTTTGTGAGCGGGAATTCTCTTCGAACTGGGTTTAGAAGGTTCTCTGAGTCTGGAGAATATACCCAAATGGATCCAAGTGGATACTTGTTCCCAGCTGAAAGCTATTCAGCAGCTCCGTGGGGTTCCATGGAGCGGTGCCTGGGATTCCGCTCGCTTCGGATCCTGGCCAGGTTTCCGGAACCTGGGGGCTGGGAGCGTGCGTCCAAATGGCGAGCTTCGGAGAGCTCTCCGTCTGGCTCCCCTTGAAAAAACCCACACAGAACAGGGATCCTCACACCGATCGAGCATGGCAACTTGTAAATGGTGGAAAATCCCCCAACTTTTATCTTGGTGTTGAAAAAGCCGCATGTGTCAAATGGTGGCAAAATGAATTTCTTTTAAGGAGCCCTGCAGAAAGGCGTACCCCCAAAGCCAAAGCCAACATCTGCATTGTGTTTCTCTGTCAGAATGCCCAGCATCAGCATCCAACATCAGCATCCGCACTGCCAGTACCTGATCGCCAGCATCTTCGTTGCAGCCATCCTCTGCAAGTTGCTGGTGTCCGCAACTTGGATCCAGTCCAGCCAAAAGATGTTTGTTCAGTGCCAGATCGGCATTTTACAGGCATTTTTGGGCAGCAAGCATGGATTGTCTCATTTGGTGACCACTACGCGCGCATCAAGGTGTTCATTGCCATGCTGGAACCCAAAGCGGCAGATCCACAGCTACGGGAGATGGCCACGTAGGTTCAACAAACGTCTCCCAGAGAGATTTGACTATGGGTGATCAATAGGTGGTCTGGCCCCCAAGTAGCAGACCCCATACAAGATGAAAAACTATGCCGTTTGTGCTCAAATGACTCGCCATGCTTGGGATGATTGAAAGCACCGCCATATGGTTCAACTCTAAAATCATCCCCTGAGGTGTTGACGTGTTGAAGCGTAGGGTACCTCGTAGTAGAACCCTTTTGTGGGCTCCGTGGAAAATTTTGCCGGGGGCCACCCAACACAGACTCACCCATTTCGCCTCACCAGGTGCTGGTTGATCATCCGGCAGTAGTTGCCCTCCTCCGGATAGATCTGCACCGACCTCGGAAGAGAAAAGATGCGCGTCGCCAATTGCAAGCTTGACTTTTTGAGGTTGGCGTACCCCAACTAAAGGTTGGAGTGCCATACTCAGCGATTTTCTGCGACAAAGACATTGACCAGTGAGGGCTGCAAGCTTGTCCTATGACGGGTGCGGCACAAGGCTGAGTGTTGACAGGCGCCCACACATTGCACACTGCTAAGGAATGTTCGGGTGTGTTTTCTCATACGATATGGCCCCTCCCCCCGCACATGGATTCCTCCCCCACCAGAAGCTGTGTGGGCTGAAACCAAAACCCTGTTTGGACAAAAAGTCAAACACGGGGCTGGGACCCTGTATATCTGGGAATCGCAACTGGAACACCCCGCGAAAAGACACTTCTTTCCGTAGCCAAAGTTGCGGCCCTCGGAAGTCTGGCATTGCCCTGCTTGTGGGTCCTTCTTTGCTTCGCGTAGATCCTTCATGAGGCGCGGTTTTTTCCCCCCCGTGGAGGGGGAGAAAAGGGCAAAAACCCATTTGTGGGGGTCCTGTATTTAGAGACAAACACATTTGACTGTGCTAAAATCCAAACCAACCCCTCCAAGGACCCAAAATGCCCAAAAGTGGGGCTTCTCAACCCCGGCAGTTTTGGGGACCCCGATTCTCTTTTTACCTCTCCCTCTGCTAGCCCCACTATTTCCCCGCTATCAAAGTCACAAGTGGCAGGTTAAAGGGAAACCACCTCCCAGTTTCTGACTTTGCCCCCCCAATCGTCAAATCATTCACCCCCCCCCGAGTGGTAGGTCAAAGGGAAACCACTCCTGCCTTTCTCTTTGAGCAGTCCAAAACGATCATGACCCCTCCCTCTTCCCCCGAAAACCAAAACCTCCCCACGAAAACCCCACCACCCGCCCGCCGGGCAGCTCGGGAACTCCCGGGAGCCCGGGCTTCACGTTGCCCGGCACCAGGCCAGCCATGGCCGCTCCTAGAGCACTGCTTTGCTTCGGCCATGACGAAGGGAAGCTCTTCCCATGTGGGACAAATATGGGTATGGATCAAAACTAAACCACCAGAAAAACCGCAAGCTTTAGTCCTTGACCCACAGCCATATCATCTCTTTGGTGGCTTCCCCAATGGTTGAAGAATTCGGTGGATGACTAACTCCATTTCGCACCACTGGCGAAACCCAACGGAATGATATGATTCCCAGGTAAATGCCAAGAAACAACGGTTTCCTGTGGTTTCAAAGTGGTGCTGGATTACGTCCATCCATAGTATTCCCTTCGGCACACAAATGACAAAGGGCAACTATCCCCATTTCGTGGTTGAAATATAGCATCCTTTGAGCGTTTCTTTTGCGTGTTTTCCCCCCCAATGGTATGTGTTCCGATCAACCCCCAAATGGCAACCAGACCTGGAACTGTGGAGCTTAGCCGAAGCCCAGACGAACATGGAAGCTCCAAAGGCCTGGAAGCTTCCAGACCCAGTCTGAGATACCTTATGGCTGTGGGTAAAAAATAGGTACCTAACATCGAACCCTGGTAAATGGAAACGAGCAAAACCTGTGCTCCCCTGGTGGCTCAATTTTGACCCGTACCCATATTCCACGTATAAATAAGGGGTATATGCCGCCTTACAAGCGTATATTATCGTATATTGGTGTAGCAGCATCCACACCTCCAAAGCCCGGTACCTAGAAATGCCCCTGATCAATTCAAACAAGCTGTAAAAGATGGTCAGACAACCTTTCTTGGTGTTCGCCTTCCAACGGGTGTTGTGTCTTTATATATATATATAATATATATTTTTCGGGAGCCCTTCAAAAGGGGGCGGGGTGCCTGGGAAAGGGAGGAATCTGAGATGGGTGCATCTGAAAATAGGAATCGGACTCCCTAAATTGGATCTTCGTTTACGGCTGGCAGCAGGTGTCTCCACCTGTATATTGGTTTATCAACCAGTATTCAAATCGGGTTGAACGGTTGGATTGTCTCCACCCACAGTAGGACTTCTTTGATTGGGGGAGGCCAACCTGTGGATTCTCAGAATGCAAGGAGCAAGGCCGACCCTGGAGTTCCGTGTGATGTCTGTCTTGAACCGCCTCGATCCGAGCATCGATCAGGTCTGTCAACATAGAGATGTGGATTCCTTTCGATGTCCCTAACCACCCGAAAAGTGGAAGCCTCAGAAACATACATGTACATATTCTATATATATATATATACATGTATACCTGTCAATTGCGTAAGTCCCCTGGACAAAAATGTAGTGGCACATCCCCTTTAAAACTAACAGGGGAAACTAGAAACATATTCTTAAGCAACTGGAAGTATATTATGATTGAACAACAAGGCCATGGCTCCTTCAGAGCGAATCCCTAATGAGTTGATGCAACAATGGTTGTCAGACAGGCGGAAAACACAGCTCGGCCGGCCGAGCATTTTGTCCTCGTCCGTTGCGCAGAAGGGAAGTTCATGAAAATCATTTTGCGGGAATGCTTGCCACCCTGTGGGTGGACAAAATGGGTGTGCTCCTTTTGGTTTCCCTTTAAACCAACCAAAAAAGGGGACCGTCAACAAAACACGCACCACAATTAGGGCTCTGTAGCCTCCTGACCAGAGGTTTGCGGAAGCATGGCTCAATTTTCGGCGTTTAACTTCCTGTGCAGCATCCCCTTCAAAAACGCCCCAAGGGCAACCCCCTTTAAACCCGTTTCTTTTTTCCAAAGGACCTTCACAAGCCCCAAAACCGCCATCCCGGTCCGGCCCCGGGCAAAACCTTTCGGATTCCCCCCCCAAAAAAAAAAAACAAAACAAAAAAAACAACAGAAAAAAAAGAAAGAAAGAACAAAAACAAAGACAAAGCACACCATGGCCAACCTGGGGCCCCGCACCCATGGCGAAGGCCGTCGCAGAGGTCATGTACTGCCGGGAGAGGCCTCGGCTAGAGCCGGCGATCGCTCCGGATGTCTTGGCGGACACTGGACCCGAAACGACACGACTTTGCCGCGACCAAACCTTCTTCCACACGGAGGGGATCAATCCGTGCCACTGGTCGAAAACAAATTCTGCTGAGTTGCCTAAAGGAGAGCGGAGTGATTTCGAGGTTGGACCAAACCCAAACATCAAGCACCGATCATAGCCTCCCACCAATTAGCATGGAACCTCACAGGGCTTTTTCTTTTGAAGGGACCCCCGAACGTCAGGTTCCATGTGAATTGGTGGGAGGGTACATGAGCCATGAATTGCGAAAAGCTGGACGCCTAGTCCTGCTGGATGAAAACTTGAAGGACACGCCAAGTGCGGGGCACTGGACGATATCGAAGTGGAAGGACACGCAGTCGTTGATGAAACGCTTGGTGGTGGGCACGTCCAGCATCATCACCTGCAATGAAGGTTGAGAAACCATACTGGATGGGCCAAATCTGGTCGCATCAGTTGGTAGGTGGTTTATGTCGGTATTCGGTATTCATTGGGTTTCATCCCAATTGGTGCAGGATGATGGCCATCCAAAGTATGTCTCAAAGTGGGGGGACAAAGGTCCCCAAAATGATTGACTTTCTTGTGCCTTCTATGAAACAGTGAGTGCAAAAACAAACAACAAACGGGCGCATTTCACACGAGCTGGACGGGCCTTTTGAAGAGTCCGAGGGCGCAATCGGCCCGGTAGAAATTTGGGCCCTGGTAACAGTCATTCTCCTCTCTGCAACAGTACTGGATTCTGCTGTCCTTTTGGGAAGCCCCCGACGGAGGGTAATCATTTAATGGTCAGCACTGTGGATGGACAACATCTGATCCGCAGTTGGAACGTGGCTTAGTCAACCAGTATTCATAGAGTTGTTTCCGGGACTTTGTCCATCCACAGCATAGTCAATGAATCATCACTTATACCTTCCTTTCAGGAATCCCAAATCTCAGTCGCCCAAAGGACCCAGAAATAAAAGGTTAACCTTTTGGGGCCTTTGCTGAAAATAGACCAACATTGGAACACCAAAAGGTTAAAAGGTCGGCTTTGGACAACTGAGAAATAGCTCCTTCCCAAACCCAAGGTGGTTTCTCAAGATGTTGTCCGGACCGCCTTTCTTTGGTGGGATTTGTTGAGGGGTTTCCCAAGAAGAAACGCTCGCCGCTTTTTTCGGGGACTGATTCCTAATCAACGAAACCGAGCAACCAACCACTTTGAGAAGCCAAGGTTTTTTATTGGGGACAGCCATGATTTCTCTTGGAAACCAACCATTTTGAGAGACCAAGCGTCTTGTTCCCCAACAGCTGAAAGCTTTGGGGTCTCAGCCCAAATAGGCTCCGGGCACGAGGGTGCCACCAGGGTTCCACGAGGTTTTGTGAGGGCTGCCGGGACCCCCAAATCAGCGAACCTCGTGGAACCCTGGTGGAACCTTACCTCAGGGCCGCCCCGGACCACCCCGGAGCCTATCTGGGCTGAGACCCCAAAGCTTTCAGCTGTTGGGGAAAAAGCTAGAGTGCCACAATACAGGAAACCAAAACCAGCAGAAAGAAGAAACCAAGAAGGAAAAAACACAAAAACAGACCCCAGCCCTCCGCGCGCTCCGCGGGCCCCGGGCCCCGATTCGGCGCCTCCAGCAGGCACAGCCCAAAGGAGTCCTGCAGCGCGTCGGACCAACGCCTGGCGTGAGGCGTGGGGGTCCGGGCGACCCTGCTTGGTTTTTGAAGGAAAGAGGAACACAAGAGGAAAACAAGAGGACACCAAGAGGACACCAACAGGAAAACGACAGGAAAACGACAGGAAACCAACAGGACACCAACAGGAAAACGACAGGAAAACGACCGGAAACCAAAAGGAAACTAAAAGGACACCAACAAAAAGACACAGGACACCAACTGGAAAACTAATTAGAAGGAAATTTAAAGCCGGACCGACCTTGTTTGGAGGTCTAATTTAAGACAAACCCAGATGCCTCAGTGGATTTCTAGAAGAAATGAAGGTCTGTTCTCTCCTCGGGCTGTGAAGGCCAAATTTCCCTATGGATGTTTTGGGGGTAAAAACTGTAATGCGGTTTTTGTTTGCTTGATTTTGAAGGGAGACCCCAGCAACAAACAGGCCTCTCAGGCCGCTCCCATGGTTTTTTCTTCGATGCGGGTAATAACCTACCCAGTAGATCCCAGGTACCAGCATAGAAGGTCATTCGTGAATTTGTTCTCTTGGTGTTCAAAGGCTGGTTCCCTTACCTCCTCCACAGGTACATGGATCCACTGGGCGAACAGTCCGGTTACCAAGAACGCCGGCCAAACACCCCCCCCCCAAAACAAAAATACGCCTTTGGGCCCCTGCGCGGTGGTCTGGTAGTGCAAACCATCTGTCCCATGGTGGTTCCCAGCCATCCCCTCAGCTTTTTAGCTTCTTAGTGTGTTTAGTGGTGGGGTTTCCCATTTCATCCACTTCAAGTTTGTCACTTTTCGCATCAGAAAACGGACCGAGAGCCCAGCTCTCCGACGGGTAGCCCAGCCATCCGCGGCTCGGCGAAAGAGGAAAACTCTCCGCCTGAAGTGCTCCACCAAGGCCCCGAAGCTCTCCTCCGGCGAGAGCCGCTCGCCGGCCCTCAGGGCCGTTGTCGCGCCGGCGCCCCAGGAACGGGGCCGGGAAAGGGAAAAAACGGCGTGAACGTCACTCCAAGAAACCCAGTGATTGAAACAAATCATCCAAGACCATGGTGTGTAGTTTGTCCAAACACATCAGGAAAACGATCCAGGAAGTTCGCCCCGACCCCTGGGATGAAGAAGTGTGTTTATGTTGTCCAAACACACCGGCAAATTCTCCAGGAAGTGAGCTCGAATGTCTGGGATGTTGTGGGTTGGGGACAATGTCCTGACGGAATTCCTGGAGTGCGTGTCTTAGAAGGTGGAACGGGGAAAATGGAGCACATGGAAATAGAGACATATTAGATATCAACAATGCAACGGAAAGGATATGGGGAAATATATGGTATCAACTAACATGGACACATATGATAAATGTTGTTGAAACACATGAACAAGCCATGAAACAAACATGAAAAAGGCATGCCCCAACGCGGAAGCATGAAAATAATATGGAAATAATATGGACAGGACATGCAGGAATTGAAATTGGAAAGGGCGCTTGTACTGCTCACAGGATGACGACGATGACCTTTTTGCTGTTGTCAACATGGAGTGCTAAGCTGCATGATTCTGTTTTGACACAGACCGCCTGCACACATTCACCGAACACAAAGGGAAGGCACCAAGCAACTGGGGTAGAATCCCCAAAACGATTGCCACTGCGCAAAGCTTCCCCGAAGCGGTGTTGCTTTGGAAATTTACTTCAGGACCCCCAACCACCCCCCTTCCCCTCCCCCCCCCCAACACCCCTCAAAGTCCAGCCCTCAAAGACCAGCCCTCAAAGACCAGCCCTCAAAGACCAGCCCAAGTGAGTTACAAGCAAAACCCGGTATTAAAATGGTCTACCCAGAACCATGCAAAGAATTAAGAAGGCGGCCGCAACTATTTCTGGCTGGGACTGCCACTTGCTAACCTTCATCTACCCGGGTTTTGATTGTGGCTCAAGTGCTGAGGTCTTGCCGAAGGTTTGGCGCGTTTCAGCCTCAGGCCCTCAGAGGTGGTAGGAGGGCTAGGTCCCAGAGACCCCAAAAGCCGGCGTGCAGCAAGCGGGTTGGGCACAGCGCTTAAAGCGAAAGAGTTACCGATGTAGGGGGAGAAAAACTAAGAAGGGGCCAACAAAAACGGCGAAGGTTTGGATGTGCCTAAAAACTGGGACCCCCCCTTTTTGAAATAGTGGTTTTTCGTTTGGCTTCCGATCGATACAACCCCCCAAAAAAAATGAACAGAACCATTTAACCAGTCAGGACCATGTCGCTTGACAACCACCTGCAGTTGGAGAGATGCAAAAACATCCGTTCCAGGGAACCTGAATTGGTGTTTCTCTTTAGATCCTCGTTTGCGCCTCATGGTGCCTTTGGGGCAAGTGTGGTTTCCCCCCTTGGATACCACCCCCCCTCCTCTGAGGCCCGCGCTTGTCCAAATGGACGCAGTCCTGCATGGCAGTCCTGCAGAACAGTTGGGAGAACACAACGGGAGAGCCGAGTGGATGTGGTCATTTGACTCTTCCGTTGATCTAGTGGGCGGGAAAATTGAGAAAACCTGACGGGGGCTTCCCCAAAATCATGTTTCTGGTCCATATTTAGAGAGCTTTAGATGTAAAATCATTTGAAAAGAGAGAGAGAGAGAGAGAGAGAGAGAGAGAGAGAGAGAGAGAGAGAGAGAGAGAGAGAGAGAGAGAGAGAGAGAGAGAGAGAGAGAGAGAGAGAGAGAGAGAGAGAGAGAGAGAGGAGAGAGAGAGAGAGAGAGAGAGAGAGAGAGAGAGAGAGAGAGAGAGAGAGAGAGAGAGATGTCCCTAAATTACCCTTCACACTCCACCCCCAACACCAAAAAACAAACAACAAGCAACAAACAAACACGACCAAAGGCAACTCACCGGAAAATGATTGCCAAAAATGTGATGAAATTAAGTCTTTAAAGCCTGGAATATGAAATAAGCTCAGGCGATATCCCCAACAGCACCACACCCTGCGGAGCGCCCCGGGACCCACCTCACCGGCGGCCTTCCTGATGTAACTATATAAAGCAAAGACGCACTGATCGGGGCCCGACTGCGCAATCGGGCCCGATCGGGGCCCGACGGTGCCGATGGTCCCATAATGCAAGCGGGCCCCACCAATCTTAGGATGCGGCCTTACAACTGTACCTAGTTTTTGCTGGCGATGCCAGCTTGGTACAACTGACCCGGCTGAGGGGCCCGACGGCGAATAAAGCTCAACGCCGGCTTTCCTTAGGATGCGACCTTACAACTATATCTGGCAAAACTAGGCGACGCCAGCTTGGTACAGTTGACGTGGCCCGAGGGCCCGATCGGGCCGATGGTGCAATCGAGCGGGCCCGACGGTGCAATCGGGCCGGCCTGATGGTCCCGTAGTGCAAGCGACCAACCCCAGCCGCCCATAATATAGCTCAACGCCGGCTTTCCTTAGGATGCGGCCTTACAGCTGTATCTAGCAAAACTAGGCGATGCCAGCTTGGTACAGTTGACGGGGCCCGACTGAGTCGGGCCGGGATTGGGGCCCGGGGGCCCCAACGGTGCAATCGGGCCCCGACCTGGATGATCTGATTTGCGACAAAGCCAACATTTCGGGCCGCGTTGTCTGAGCAAGTGAGCAAGTGTCAAAACAGTGAAAGTGTGCTGAAAACCATTGATTTCGGTTTTGCTCAGTTTTCCACCCATGAGCAAAGCGATCTTCTGAGCCCTCAATTTACTGCTCCGATGGCTTTTCAGACGGCGGGCGCACGACACATTGCCTCCCTCCAGGGCAAACCACGGAACCTTGCAGAACATTTGTGGAATCCTTGTGGATTACCTCGGGGCCGCCCCGGACCATCCCACAGCCCTTGCGGAACCTCGTGGAACTGTGGTGGAACCCTGCTGCAAGCAGCCTGGACCACCCCGTAGTCCTTGCACCACCTCGTGGAACCTTGTTAGAACTTTGGTGGAACTCTCATGGAACCTTACCTTAAACCACCTGGTGGAACTCTGGTGGAACCCTCATGGAACCTTACCTCAATCCCAGCCCTCGCAGAACCTGGTGGAACTCTGGTGGAAATCTGGCGGAAACCTCGTGGAACCTTACCTCAATTCACCCCAAACCACCCCGCATACCCTGGTGGAACCTTGGTGGAACCCTGGTGGAACCGCTTGTGGAGCCTTACCTCAGGGCGGCCCCGGACCACCCCGGAGCCTATCTGGGCCTATCGACCCCAAAGCTTTCAGCTGTTGGAATTTTTAGCTCGGGCAATATCCCCAACAGCACCACACCCTTACCGCCGGTGTTGCTGAGGATGCCGCCTTGTAAAGCGGGCTGCGAGTGACAGCGCAATCTCGCCCTGATCGGGGCCCAACGGCGCACAATCGGGGCCCGATCGGGGCCCGACGGCGCAATCGGGGCCCGATCGCGGCCCGACGGTGCAATCGGGGCCCGATCGGGGCCCGACGGTGCAATCGGGGCCCGATCGGGGCCCGACGGTGCAATCGGGCCCCGATCGTCCCGTGGTGCAACGCTACCCATATGATAGCGCAACGCCGGTTTTCCTTAGCATGCGGATTGCAACTGTATCTCTAGCAAAACTAGGCGATGCCAGCTTGGTACATGACGGGGCCCGACGGTGCATATTATAGCTCAACGCCGGTTTTTCTTAGTATTGGTACAATTTGACGGGACCCGACTGAGTTGGGCCTCGATCGGGGCACGATGGCGCAATCGGGCCCAAACGGTGCAATCCGACAGTGCAATCGGGCCCCGACCTGGGCCCGGTGAACTTTCGTGGAGCTCAGCGAACATTTCCCCAGGGCTGCCCCATAGCTTTTGCAGAATTTGGTGGAAACCTTCTGACCTCATAGCCCTCGCAGCCTCGTGGAATTCTTGGAACCCAAAGCCCACCAAGCAGCAATGCCAAGCATTTACTGCTGCACCGTGAGTTCCGCAGCGACGTGATCTGATTTGCCACAAAGCCAACATTTGCCCGAGCAAGTGAGCAATGGCAAGTCACAAAACAGTGAACGTGTGCTAAAAACCATTGATTTCGGTTTTGCTTAGTGTCCGCCCATGAGCAAAGCGATCTTGATCCGATGGCTTTTCAGACCACGGAATCCTTGCAGAGCTTTGTGGAACCCTGTGAAACCTCAGGCCCAACAGCCCTCGCAGAATCTTGTGGAACCCTGAAACCCTCATACAACCTTACCTCAAACCACCCTGGACCACCCCGCAGCCCTCGCAGAACCTCGTGGGACCCTGCTAGAACCGTGCTGGAATGGAACCTTACCTTGCAAAACCTGGTGGAATTCTGGTGGAATTCTCATGGAACATTACCTCAAACCAGCCCGGACCGCTGGTGGAACCCTAGTGAAACCCTGGTGGAACCCTCGTGGAACATTCCCCGGACCACGCCGCACCCTCGAAGAAATTGGTGGAACCCTGGTGGAACCCTCGTCCGGAGCACGACGGGCTGGTGGAACTCGTGGAACCTTACCTCAAACCACCTCGGACCACCCTGCAGCCCTCGCAGAATCTGGTGAAACCCTGGCAGAATTCTGGTGGAAATCTGGTGGAACCCTCGTGGAACCTTCCTCAAACCAGACCACCCCAGCCCTCGAAGAAATTGCTGGAACCCTGGTGGAACCCTCGACCACCCTGCAGCCCTGGTGGAACCCTCGTGGAACCTTACCTCCACCCAGACCACCCCGCAGCCTGGAACCCTGGTAAAAGCCTGGCGGAACCCTCGTGAAACCTTCCTCAAACCCGCAGCCCTCGAAGAAATTGGTGGAACCCTGGTGGAACCTTCGTGGAACCTTACCTCAAACCACCCCAGACCACCCCGCCCTTGCAGAACCTGGTGGAACCCTGGTGGAACCCTGGTGGAACTTTGGTGGAACCCTGGTGGAACCCTGGTGGAACCCTGGTGGAACCTTGGTGGAACCCCTGGTGGAACCCTGGTGGAACCTTAGCTCAGGATCGCCCCGAACCACCCTGGAGCCTATCTGGGCTGAGACCCCAAAGCTTTCAGCTGTTGGGGAAAAAAAAACTCGCGCAGGCCAGCCGCCCCCCCGGCCTGGCAAAGTCGATTGCAGCCTCACCGGACAGCTTCTCCTTCGGCGCCTCGAATCCGACGACGCTGGGTGGGTTCATGGCCCAGTTGCGTTTGGTTCTTAGCCTGGAAGCGCCTATTACAACAGAGGGGTCACATGGTCACATGGGTGTGGGCAAAAAAATCGGTACCCAACATGGAACCCCGCTAAATGGGGTTTAAACTGGCTCAGCTTCGCGGTCTGGTGGTTTAATTTTGACCCATACCCACATGGAACCTGGGGCAAACATAGATGGCAAAACCCCAAAATGGCTTGCCCTTGATGGGAAAGGACATCTAACCTGTGGTCTTTATCCTGGTTTCATTTTGACCCAGACCCACCTTAGAGCAGCGTGGCCTGTTTTTTTGGGGTTTCGCGGCAAGGCCTCGCTTCAAGTGGAAGCCAAAAGGAAGCTGAAGCCACCAAAACGGGAGGCGGGCGGGGGAGGGGGGTCCATATCCCACGTTTGAGACAAAAAGTGGGCGGTAAGGCAAACGCAAGGGGTTAACCCAAGGGTAAACCCAGTGATGCCAGCTGCTAGGTGAAGCCATGTGGGTCTCTTTTTCTCTCTCGCTCTCTCGGCCTCTCTCTCTCGCTTTGTGAGGGTACCCCTTGTAGGGCTTAATCAAAGGCAAACCAAAACGGAACGAACCATGGTGGGGATCCCCGCAAAAGAAGAAGGACGCATGTAGAACCTAGCGGTGAGGTAACCAGACCATTCCTCTCCCAGCCCACTGGCGCCCCCAGCCACATATGGCCGGTCATGGTCCAGGAAGGACCGCACGTGCAGCCTTTGGAGTCGCCGCGGGGAGAAACCACAAGCAAAGCTTCGACAAGCATGACTTGGCCCAGCCTCATGAAAGACCCGCCTCAACTTAGGGATGAGTTGGCCCAGCTGGAAGTCGCAGCGAAAATCACTCTTTTTCGGTTGCTTGTTGCAAAAAAAATGTCGGGGCCACAAGTAGTTCCCGCTAAAGCAAACCGCAAAACATCGGCCTGCCTTTGTTCGAAGTCAAAGAAAACCGACACTTCTCTAGACTTGCACCTTTGGAATTCCTTGCAGTCCCCTCCCCACCCATTTCCACCCCCACCCCCAAAAAAAAGAAAATAAAAGATGCAAACCAAACATATTCGCAAGTCCAACCCAAGAATTGGAACGGCGCTGAGTTGCGTTGAATGCCCATGGACTGAAAGGCTCTGATGAACCGCTCCGCGTGTCTTGAAAAATGAGACGAAACCCCTCCGAAAACGACCAACGACCAACCGGGCCTCAGTGTGATCCCATGTTTAGCCAGTAGCAGAATTACCGTCTGTAAACGTGTTGCCTATCTGGCTGCGGCGAATTCAAAACAAGAGGAGCCCGGGAACCCAAAAGCAAACCAGCCTCACTCCCCATGGCATGTGGATCCCGTTGTTTTCCGGCTCAAGGGTCCAAAGGCAAACCAAGATTTAAGTTGTTCACAGTTGGGAAATCAACCCCAAACAGATGAAGAAGGGGAGCAACCGCGACTCAAGCACAGAGAAACAGGCAAAGGCACGGGTGAAACATGACAGGCCCCGCACTACATGGAAGGCACGAAGTCATCCGATTCATCATGAAGAACCAATCGCAGAAATCCGAAAATTGATCCGCACAAACTACCACTCCCAAATTGGAAGCAAGGCATAAGCTCGCTCTACACCCATCTGAAACAAGTCTGAGACACAGTGTTGCAACACGATCTGAGTAGACCGTGGTCAGCTGTTCGGATGTTCATGCGCCCTTTTGTTTGGGCCGAGTGTGCTCAGCATATTCATGTCAACGTGCTTCCAGGCTGCTTCCAAATAAGTAGGGCGAACCCCAAGAGGCTACAGCTTCTGAAGAGAGGGTTTGTCCTAGAAACACATTGGCACCGTTTGTTCGGGTCAGGTAGCGCCGGGCTGTTCACATGGAGCCGGGCATGTCACGAGCGTCCACCGCGCCAGTCTCGCTCGCCGGCATGTCACGAACGTCCACCGCGCCAGTCTCGCAAGCGGGCGGTTTCCGCATGTCACGAGCGTCCACCGCGCCAGTCTCGCTCGCGAGCGATTTCCGCATGTCACAAGCGTCCACCGCGCCAGTCTCGCTCGCGGGCGGTTTCCGCATGTCACGAGCGTCCACCGCGCCAGTCTCGCTCGCGGGCAGTTTCCGCCTTTCACGAGTGTCCACCGCTTCACAGTCTCGCTCGCAGGCGGTTTCCGCATGTCACGAGCGTCCACCGCGCCAGTCTCGCTCGCGGGCGGTTTCCGCATGTCACGAGCGTCCACCGCGCCAGTCTCGCTCGCGGGCGGTTTCCGCATGTCACGAGCGTCCACCGCGCCAGTCTCGCTTGCAAACCGTTTCCGCATGTCACGAGCGTCCACCGCGCCAGTCTCGCTCGCGGGCGGTTTCCCCATGTCACGAGCGTCCGCCGCGCCAGTCTCGCTCGCGGGCGGTTTCCGCATGTCACGAGCGTCCACCGCGCCAGTCTCGCTCGCGGGCGGTTTCCGCCTGTCACGAGCGTCCACCGCGCCAGTCCCGCTCGCGGGCGGTTTCCGCCTGTCGCGAGCGTCCGCCGCGCCAGTCTCGCTCGCGGGCGGTTTCCGCCTGTCACGAGCGTCCACCGCGCCAGTCTCGCTCGCGGGCGGTTTCCGCATGTCACGAGCGTCCACTGCGCCAGTCTTGCTCGCGGGCGGTTTCCGCATGTCACGAGCGTCCCCCGCGCCAGTCTCGCTCGCGGGCGGTTTCCGCATGTCACGAGCGTCCACTGCGCCAGTCTCGCTCGCGGGCGGTTTGCGCGTGTCACAAGCGTCCACCGCCCCAGTCTCGCTTGCGGGCGGTTTCCGCATGTCACGAGCGTCCACCGCGCCAGTCTCGCTCGCGGGCGGTTTCCGCATGTCACGAGCCTCCACTGCGCCAGTCTCGCTCGCGGGCGCTTTCCGAATGTCACGAGCGTCCATCGCGCCAGTCTCGCTCGCAGGCGGTTTCCGCATGTCACAACGTCCACCGAGCCCGTCTCGCTCGCGGGTTCCGCATGTCACGAGCGTCCACCGCGCCAGTCTCGCTCGCGGGCGGTTTCCGCATGTTCCACCGTCCGCATGTCACGAGGGTCCACCGCGCCAGTCTCGCTCGCGGGCGGTTTCTCCATGTCACGAGCGTCCACCACGCCAGTCTCGCTCGCGGGCGGTTTCCGCAGGTCACGAGCGTCCACCGCGCCAGTCTCTATCGCGGGCGGTTTCCGCATGTTCCACCGCGCCAGTCTCGCTCGCGGGCGGTTTCCGCATGTCACGAGCGTCCACCGCGCCAGTCTCGCTCGCGGGCGGTTTCCGCGTGTCACGAGCGTCCACCGCGCCAGTCTCGCTCGCGGGCGGTTTCCGCATGTCACGAGCGTCCACCGCGCCAGTCTCGCTCGCGGGCGGTTTCCGCATGTCACGAGCGTCCACCGCGCCAGTCTCGCTCTCGGGCGGATTCCGCATGTCACGAGCGTCCACATACGCGCAGTCTCCTCAGCTCCCCCGGGCGGTGTTTCCGCATGTCACGAGCGTCCACCGCGCCAGTCTGCCTCGCGGGCGGTTTCCGCATGTCACGAGCGTCCACCGCGCCAGTCTCGCTCGCGGGCGGTTTCCGCATGTCACGACCGTCCACCGCGCCAGTCTCGCTCGCGGGCGGTTTCCGCCTGTCACGAGCGTCCACCGCGCCATCTCGCCCGTGGGCGGTTTCCGCCTGTCACGAGCGTCCACCGCGCCAGTCTCGCTCGCGGGCGGTTTCCGCATGTCACGAGCGTCCACCGCGCCAGTCTCGCTCGCGGGCGGTTTCCGCATGTCACCAGCGTCCACCGCGCCAGTCTCGCTCGCGGGCGGTTTCCGCATGTCACGAGCGTCCACCGCGCCAGTCTCGCTCGCGGGCGGTCTCCGCATGTCACGAGCGTCCACCGCGGCAGTCTCGCTCGGGGGCGGTTTCGGCCTGTCACGAGCGTCCTCCGCGCCAGTCTCGCTCGGGGGCGGTTTCCGCCTGTCACGAGCGTCCCCCGCGCCCGTCTCGCTCGGGGGGCGGTTTCCGCTTGTCACGAGCGTCCACCCCGCCAGTCTCGCTCGGGGGCGGTTTCGGCCTGTCACGAGCGTCCCCCGCGCCCGTCTCGCTCGGGGGCGGTTTCGGCCTGTCACGAGTCTCCCCCGCGCCCGTCTCGCTCGGGGGCGGTTTCCGCTTGTCACGAGCGTCCACCGCGCCAGTCTCGCTCGCGGGCGGTTTCCGCTTGTCACGAGCGTCCACCGCGCCAGTCTCGCTCGCCAGTCTCGCTCGGGGGTGGTTTCGGCCTGTCACGAGCGTCCCCCGCGCCCGTCTCGCTCGGGGGCGGTTTCGCCCTACGAGCGTCCCCCGCGCCCGTCTCGCTCGGGGGCGGTTTCCGCTTGTCACGAGCGTCCACCGCCCCAGTCTCGCTCGCGGGCGGTTTCCGCTTGTCGCGAGCGTCCACCGCGCCAGTCTCGCTCAAGGGCGGTTTCCGCTTGTCACGAGCGTCCACCGCGCCAGTCTCGCTCGGGGGCGGTTTCGGCCTGTCACGAGCGTCCCCCGCACCCGTCTCACTCAGGGGCGGTTTCGTCGTCCCCCGCGCCCGTCTTGCTCGGGGGCGGTTTCGGCCTGTCACGAGCGTCCCCCGCGCCCGTCTCGCTCGCGGGCGCCTCTCACGAGCGTTCCCCGCGCCAGTCTCGCTCGCGGGCGGTTTCCGCTTGTCACGAGCGTCCACCGCGCCAGTCTCGCTCGGGGCGGTTTCGGCCTGTCACGAGCGTCCACCGCGCCAGTCTCGCTCTCGGGGGAAGTTTCGGCCTGTCACGAGCGTCCCCCGCGCCCGTCTCGCTCGGGGGCGCTTTCGGCCTGTCACGAGCGTCCCCCGCGCCCGTCTCGCTCGCGGGCGGTTTCGGCCTGTCACAAGCGTCCCCCGCGCCAGTCTCGCTCGGGGGGCGGTTTCCGCTTGTCACGAGCGTCCACCGCGCCAGTCTCGCTCGCGGGCGGTTTCCGCATGTCACGAGCGTCCACCGCGCCAGTCTCGCTCGAGGGCGGTTCTTGTCCTTGGCCAGCTCCTCCTTCTTGAAGTCAGCCTGAGACAACAGGGAAAAACATGTTTCAGCTCCCTCCCAGTCCGTCTCTTGCAGTGCCTCCCTCCCAGTCCCAGTCCCTCCCTCCCAGTCCCTTTTTTCCAGTCCCTCCCTCCCAGTCCCGTACTCTCGTTCCCTCCCTCCCAGCCAAGAAACGCACTTTGTGCTCATACAGCCGACCCGCCAGCAGTCTTAGAGCACAACCTGCAAGGACGCCACCAGGTCCGGTTATCCTCGGTCCACTGGTCAGGACACCATGGGCGAGGAGCAGCAGGCGCAGCGTCCGGGGCAGCTTTGGCAGCCAAAGCCTCCTGGCATGCCTCTGTCACAGTGGCATGTATGGCAGCCAAGCGTCTCGCTCGGGGGCGGTTTCGGCCTCTCACAAGCGTCCCCCGCGCCAGTCTCGCTCGCGGGCGGTTTCCGCATGTCACGAGCGTCCACCGCGCCAGTCTCGCTCGGGGGCGGTTTCGGCCTGTCACGAGCGTCCCCCGCGCCCGTCTCGCTCGGGGGCGTCACGAGCGTCCCCCGCGCCCGTCTCGCTCGGGGGCGGTTTCGGCCTCTCACGAGCGTCCCCCACGAGCGTCCACCGCGCCAGTCTCGCTGGGGGGCGGTTTCGGCCTGTCACGAGCGTCCCCTTGGGGGCGGTTTCGGCCTGTCACGAGCGTCCCCCGCGCCCGTCTCGGGGGCGGTGTCGGCCTGTCACGAGCGTCCCCCGAGCCCGTCTCGCTCGGGGGCGGTTTCAGCCTGTCACGAGCGTCCCCGCGCCCGTCTTGCTCGGGGGCGGCTTCGGCCTGTCACCGTCCCCCGCGCCCGTCTCGCTCGGGGGCGGTTTCGGCCTCTCACGAGCGTCCCCCACGAGCGTCCACCGCGCCAGTCTCGCTGGGGGGCGGTTTCGGCCTGTCACGAGCGTCCCCCGTGCCCGTCTTGCTCGGGGGCGGTTTCGGCCTGACACGAGCGTCCCCCGCGCCCGTCTCGCTCGGGGGCGGTGTCGGCCTGTCACGAGCGTCCCCGCGCCCGTCTCGCTCGGGGGCGGTTTCGGCCTGTCACGAGCGTCCCCGCGCCCGTCTCGCTCGGGGGCGGCTTCGGCCTGTCACGAGCGTCCCCTGCGCCCGTCTCGCTCGGGGGCGGTTTCGGCCTGTCAGCGCCCGTCTCGCTCGGGGGCGGTGTCGGCCTGTCACGAGCGTCCCCGCGCCCGTCTTGCTCGGGGGCGGTTTCGGCCTGTCACGAGCGCCCCCCGCGCCCGTCTCGCTCGGGGGCGGTGTCGGCCTGTCACGAGCGTCCCCGCGACCGTCTCGCTCGGGGGCGGTTTCGGCCTGTCACGAGCGTCCCCGCGCCCGTCTCGCTCGGGGGCGGCTTCGGCCTGTCACGAGCGTCCCCCGCGCCCGTCTCGCTCGGGGGCGGTGTCGGCCTGTCACGAGCGTCCCCGCGCCCGTCTCGCTCGGGGGCGGTGTCGGCCTGTCACGAGCGTCCCCCGCGCCCGTCTCGCTCGGGGGCGGTGCCGGCCTGTCACGAGCGTCCCCCGCGCCAGTCTCGCGCACCCAGTCTGCACCACACCGCCTTCCCCCCAGCCAGCCTCGTACGCCCGGTCTGCACCCCCAGCCAGCATCGCACGCCCGGTCTGCAGCACAACGAAATGGAAATCCCTTCTTATCTCCGTCGTCACAGCTTGTATCGCTCCCAGGCACCTTAAGAGAAAACCTAAAGCAGAACCCAAGCATCAGAGATGCTTTTGGGAAAAACGCGGAATTCTAAAACGGGTTGCCCGATCGGCAAGTGGAAACATGGAAACCAAAATTCCCGCGGTTCCCCGCCTCCGATCGTTTCATTTTGAGCCACATATGCCAAGCTTCACCAAAGGAAGATCTGGCCTTCTTCCCCCGAGGCCCAAGCCACGCCTCTCTAGGCCATGGAACCAGAAGGGCGAGGCGTTTTGGCTGGAAGCTGAACATCTCAAGGGATCCATTCCCCTCCGAAGAAAGCTGAACAGGGTTGTGGGATCACTCGGGGTTTCTCCCCACTTCTGTGATACAAGGGAATCCCCCTTTATATGAAGAAAATAGTCTTTGGGAAGCCCTTTCTGCACAGCCCTGAAGCTGAAAACCGCCCCACTGGAAATCTGGGTAAACGAATTGCGGAGAGGTGTTCGCATCGCAGGCTTCTCGCAGGCGTGCCCCTAAGAAAAGGAACATCGGCCTGAGGAGCCTCGGCCGAATCAAACTGAAAACAACATGTTCAGATGCTGTTTCAGATTATTTTTCGGCAGCCCTTGCAAATCGACTTTGGCTCTTCCCCAAACCCCCATGTGGTATGTCGAAATAAGGGTTTGGACCCCCAAAATGGGTTGGGTGTCATTTTCGGGGTTCCCTAAACAACCAACCCGACAAAATTGCCCTCCCTCCAACAGTTCCTGGAAGCTGACAGGAGGCTTCCTTCCTTTTGCTTCCTTTTTCCACGTCCAATTTTGTTGGAAAGAGGGCACCAACTCAGACAGAAACACAAACCTAACGCCCGTCTTCCACTCATCCCTCCCGTCCCCAACCTGTACCATGGCCAAGGGGCGTCTTCGAGAGGTCTACGCCCTTCTTCTGCAGCCTGGCGGAAGGAACCGACACGAGGGGCCGGCGGTGTCGGCTGCCATCTCTCCGACCGTCGTTCCGTTCAACGTTCCCAAGGAATTGTGAGGGGTGTCTGGAAAGACTCGATCCTTGGAAAGAAAGAAAAGATGCCCCTCGAGATCAGAGGCATCCAGGGGTTGCTTTGCCGACTCCTGAGCTTGTAAAAGGTAAGCCAACTTTGACACCTAACGGGTTCTTACAAATGAAAGTGGGTCAAATCAAACCACCAGGGTATGGACCGTAGGTTTTAGTCCTTGGTTCCATTTGCCAGGGCAAGCCATTTTGGATACCTATGTTTGACCCACAGCCAAATGGGACGACTCGAGCTATTTTCTTTAATCAAACGGGTCTAAAAGGCAAGCCGAAACCCCTTCGCACGGGTCTCCAAAAAGGAACTGGAAGTTTCCAAGACCAGTTCCTTTTGTCACAACCCAAATAAGCTCACGTGGTATCTGCAACCCTCTGGAACACTTTTCCCAGGGCCTTTCTGGGCCTATCGACCCTATAGCTTTCGGCTGTTGGGCAAAATCGGTTACTCAAGTTCTGGGGGCGAAAAAGCAAAGGCGTCAGTCCTTCCTTCGCCTTCCCCTGTCTCTCTCTCTCTCTTCTTGGCTTCCGGACGCTGCCATGATCTGCTTGGGCTTGCCGATGTCCCCGAAGAGCACCATGTGCGTGATGTTGCTGGCCCGGTGTTGAGTGTTGAGGGCGTGGGCTCCGGTTTGGGGCACTGAGGTTTGAACCTCAAACAAATGGCACGAGACGAGTTTCTCCCGGAGCCCACGGACAGGAGATGAAAACGCGCTTAGGATGGTGGTTTTTCCAAAAAGCGATAGCTTTGAACCGCACAAACGACGGGAAGAAAGGGACCCCCCCAAGATGAGTCCCTTGAAATGACATCCTCAAATTGGCCGACAAACGGTGGTTGAAATGCAAGCCCTCCCTGAAGTAATCTTCGGAGCATCCAAAACATGTTCACGTTAAGGGGCCCAGCCCAATTCTGGCCCCATTGTTTTCACCATCCAAGTCACCCAAATCATAGGTTCAGGCAGGCGACCCCAGTCTCTGACTATGATATCCAGAGAAACTGTGAAACTGTGTTCAGGCCCCGCCCCCAATCGTTGCAATGAAGGGCTTGAAACCCCAGTCCACGCGGCCAACTGCAATGGTTGATCCTTCCGGGCAAAGGTCGCAGGAAACAAACCCGGCGAGTCAATAGCTGCATATGTCCCCTACTGATTTACGTGGAACACAAAACGGGGGACCCGAAAGGAGATTCGTCTAAGAACGATGCGGAAGAGTAGATATCTACATACAGATACACTGTGTGCATATACATGTATGTATATATATATATATATATATGCATATGAACACACACACACACACTTGTACAGATATGTACATACATTTGTAGATATCTAGATAGATATATTATAGATACTAAATATCCATAAATACATATACATGGCAGGGACCTTTCTAGCATATTTGCTGGGCTCGGTTCCGCTTGCTAAATGTTCCGATTGCTTTTTGCAGGTTACATCAATCAGATCAACTTGAGCATGCGCCGAAACCCTGAACGGAGACCTCGGCAAAAGGTCTGCCGGCCCAGAAGCGTTGTATGTATGTATGTAATTATGTATGTATGCATGCATGTATGCATGTGTATCTGTGCATGCATGCATGTAATGCAATGCAATGCAATGCAATGCAATGCAAGGCAAGGCAAGGCAAGGCAAGGTGATGTATGTCCAAACCCCCGCGGCTGGGAGGCTGATAATGGGATCTCTGAAAGGCCGACTGCCCCTACCCTAAGTTCTGCTCTAAAGCCGCAAAACGTGTTCTCATGGGTGAGGAGGATGTTGAGCTTTGGACCCCCCCCCTCCAGCAAGGAGAGACAGAAGCAACACGTCTCCATCAAAAAGTCCCAAATCCTGAAATGGGGGTTGATCAATATTCCTGGTCCCCAAATGAGCATGGGATTTGTTCCTATTGAGTGGTGAAAGTCATCCTTTTGGTGGTTTCCCTAATATAATGGTCACCCCATGTAAAGGACCTTTTGATCAACCCCGAAATACAGAATTTTGAGAGGAAACCGTCATATTTGTAGACATAGTAGCACCATCTTATTTACTAGTCCCTGAAGCACTTTTGGATTACAATCAACATTAAAGATGATTCCGGACGAGCCAATTGATAGGCGAGGAAGGGAGATATTAAAATAGAAATAATTGTTTGTTGTCTGCTGTAAAATCCTTGATGTAGCATCTTAATCCGAATGTCTTTAAGGGGTATGTATTGAAGGGAGGCGAAGAGTCCATACCAACGGTCCATATTTATGTCAACGGTTTTGTCTGGACAAGAAGCGGACAAAACTCGCCTCTTGGTGAGGTTCACCGCCGTAGCCACGCGTGCCCTCAGAGTGCCAAAGCTGGAATCTTGCATGGGCCGAGGGTGGGGGGGCGGGGGGGAAGGGGGGGGCTGGGTTGGTGGGGGCTAGGGGAATCCACTCAAAAAATCACTGAACAAAGGCAAGGGAATATGAACTTGGGCGTTCCCCTCCTGTGGAGACGTCATGGTTAAGCCATGGTGTTCTGAACAAGCAAGAGGTAAAGGGCACTGTTTGAAAGTTCCAACTGAGGCTCATTGCGGAAAGTGCCGGATCCCCGCTTTGATGATGTTCAAGGGAAGCGTAGGAAGACGAGGAGTTGTCTCACTGGTGTTGTGGGAAATTGGAGCGAGAAAAAAGACAGAGAGCAAGAGGAGAGAGAGAGAGAGAGAGAGAGAGAAAAAAAAGAGAAACAGAGACAACGACAACGAGCAAGAGAGAAAGGCAGAAGAGCGAAAGAGCAAACGAGAGAAAGAGAGAAAATAAGAAAGAGAGGAAGACAGAAAGAGAGACAGAGAGCGATTGAGACAGAGAGACAGAGAGACAAAGAAAGAGAGAGAGAGATAGAGCGACTGAGACAGAGAGACAGAGAGGCAAAGGAGAGGGCAAGAGGAAGAGAGGGAAGGGAGAGTTTCCCGCGTCCAAACAAAAGTGACCATAGACTACCGGGAATCTGGAGTGAACCTCAAGCACAGAAAGGATCAGCTTGACCACGAATGAAGCCGCCTACAAAAAAAAAGGTGTGTTCCCAAAGAGAGAAGGACAAGTCCCGCGAAACGTTGCACCCCCCTCTACTTGACATGAGCTTTGACAATCTTTGTTGGACGGCTCGGAGCAACCCTGTCCAACCAGCCTGAGCCCTTACTTCCCCGCAAATGATCAGAGAAGGCAAAACATGAAAGGGGGAAAACCTCGAAAAAATGCTTGTTCTGGGGTCCAGACCTTCCAGATACCCCCAAAAAAAATCCCAGCATATCCCACCTACCCTCTGAAGGGGTCAGGTGCCCAGCTACCTTGGCTGGAAAAATCGGACCCCGGCAAAAAATATCATTTTTGCCTGGAAAGTGGAAAACAAAGAGACCCCAAAAATGCAAAACAACAGAAAGGGGAGCTAATTCTGGGGAAGTTACCCCCAAAATCTGCCAGCCGCTTCTTGGCCGATCCCAAAACTTGCCAAGGAACTCCTCGTTGAAGTCTACGCCCACCATGATCACCGGGAACTCCTGGCGCACGGGCCGAACGGCGGTGCTTTGGCGTGCGGCTCTTTCCGCCAGGTGAAATAAAACATAGAGGAGCCTAGGGGCCCAAGACCCGAAACATGAGGGCGTTTGACCCCCAAACACCGCAAATAATGAGGTCTGTGGTGTTTCTGTGGGCATGTTTTTCATCCATGAACCCACCGGACTGTGTCTGTTTTCAATTTCAAGACCAAGAAAAGAAAAACAAAGCGATGTCGTGGCTTCTCGTCTCCCAACGACCAAAATACATAAACACTGCCATGGTGCAGCCCGCCAAACTCGGGAGAAAATGACAAAATCTTCCTGATTCCCCATTTTGGGGTTGGAGTCCAATCCGCACTGAACACAATGGTGGCCATGCAGACTAGACGTGTCCGAGTCGAAACCAACAAACAAAGAAACAAACAAAGAAACAACATCCAACAACCCCCCCCCCCCAAACAATACCCCAAAAAACCTGAACCCCCCCCCCCCGCCCACCCCCACCCCCAAAAAAAGGAATGAACAAACAAGAAGCAACCTCTGAAGCTCCCCCGCAAAACTCCGACCCCCCTCCTTTCAAAGGAAAAAAACACAAACCAACAAACCCAAACCCAAACCCACCACCCCAAGCCCACCCCAAGCCCACCCCGAAACCCACCCCAAACCCTCCAAAACTCCAAGCCCACCATCCCTCAAGCCCCCCCCAACCACCAAACCACCACCCCTCCCCTCCCAGCCTCCAGGACACGGCCGCGGGGGGTATGCTCCTTGATGTGCTGGTAGATCTGCATCAGCAAGTGACCTCGGGCTCCGACCCCCCCGACTTCCGACCCGGGACAAGCTGAAAAAACACGGGTCTAGGGCTACCTTCCATTTCCATTCTGAAACCAGGGATCCTCTAGAAAACCTCCAGAAACCCAGGGAAAACGCCGATCGGTTTTGGAAGAGAACGATGGTTGAAAAGAATGGGGAATCAACCCTAGAACATGTGGCCAAGCAAAAACGCAGCTCAAGAGACCATACGACAAACCCGCAGGTCCAAAATGCAAGTCACTTCGCCAAAGCAAACACTTGAACGACTTCCCCGAAGTCTTTGGTGGGAATAGGGACACCGGCTTTGTCAGGCCTTTGGAGGCACACTTCGCTGAAGGACCGCAGGGGTCCCTCAAAAAGACATGTGAGCTCAACCCCCCCCCTACCGCCCCCTTTCGGGTAGGGAATTTTCAGGACGACCCCCCCCCCAAAAAAAAAAGAAAAAGAAGAAAGAAGCTCAGGTGATGTCCCCAACAGCATGCCGTGCTCTTTTTTGTGCTCGCACCACCCGCAGCCCTCGCAGAACATCGTGGAACCCTGGTGGAACCCTGGTGGAACCCTGGTAACCTTGGTGGAACCCTGGTGGAACCCTGGTGAAACCTTACCTCAGGGCTGCCCCGGACCACCCCGGAGCCTATCTGGGCTGAGACCCCAAAGCTTTCAGCTGTTGAGGAAAAGGAAGGTAGAGAACCGCATGTGACTCCATATCTTTCCTTTGAGGTCCACCCCCATTTTTGGTTCGGCCCTCCCGAATGTGACTCATGCTTCCAACCGCTGCTGGGCCTCCCTGCCGTCCCCGGACCCGGTATCCACCACATACCGAGGCTGGCCGGCATAGTCCTCCCCGCTGAAGATGACGTCGATGTGGCGCCTCACGTGGGCGGAACTGACAAACTTAGACCCCCGGAAAGTGAAAACTAGGTGCTGGTTTGCAAGGGGAAACAGAAGGAAGACAAAAGAACGAAAGAATGGATGTAAGTTAAGTCCGGCAATGGAAATGTGAGTTGGGTGCCCGTACTGTGAATAGACAATTTGGGCTTGTTGTTTTGCGTTTTGCGGGAAGCTTGGAGAGTCTTCCATGTGCTCCTTGACGATAGACGACTGGAGATTTCGACCAAACCTCATTGAGGCACCAAAGGGACGGACAAAATTCAAGAAGGAGCAGAAGTGAAGGCCGTGATGCAAAGAGCAAACAAACATCTGGAGGCGCATCACTTGGTGGCTTTTTGGTTCCCCAAAGGACAGACAACACCAGCTTGCGGAAATGGCGCGGTTCGAGAAATATCCAAACCCCGCAGGGAGGGTGCAACAAAACGGACAAGGGGCAGGGGAGGTACAAACATCACCGAGAAATCTCGGAGTTTCTCAAGATGGCGGAGCTCTCAAAAACAACTTTTGGTAAATGAAGGGAAGCCCAACGGAAAAAGCCTTGCCATAGGCAATGCGCCCATAGGTATGTGTCAAAATAGGGGAATCCAAAAATGCGTCCTTCCTTCCCTGAGCCAACCCTAGAATGGGGCTCCAACCTAAAACAGACCTCACTTCCTGAGTGGCGTGTGACGTACCATTCAAAAGGTCCAACCCCAAAAAGTGACGAAAGTCCGAAGCGGAACTCAGGGAGTGCGTGAGAGACACGCCACTTATTTTCGCAGTTCCTCTTCGCGTCACAAAACGCGAAAAGGGACCCCTTTGGACCCCGGCATGAGATCCTTGAAGAGGGTCGCGTGTTGGGCCCCGCTGCCCACCACGTTCAAAGTGCGCTCCACCTGTCGGGCACCGATTTCGCCGATTTCGTCCCGGCGGAAAGGTGTGAAAAAGCGACATCCGACGTTGGAAAAGGAAGTTGGCAAACTTTCTCCAATTGTCCACTTTTGCAACAAGGGGGCCCTTTGGACGACATGGGGAGTTGTGTCGTCCAACAGGTATGCTCAAACCGCTCCAACAAAATACTGCTCAGCTGCCGTTGCTTGTCCAGGCGCCCTCTGAGAATGGTCAAACCGCTCCTTTCGGGAAACCAAAAACTGGTTTGCCTGGTTTTACCATCAAAGACACACCTTTGAGTGGAAGGGAAACAGCAGCTCCGACGAGGATACCCAACCCTCACATACATGGGCGCCCACATATTGCATCCAGAGACCAGCCAAATGGTCAAATGACAACCCCGCATGAATAAACCCCTGCCTTTAGTGAAGGGGCCCCCCCCCAAGTGATGGGACGGGACTGCCCCACGAGCCCCTGAGACACCACAGCGTCTCAGAAAAAAAATATATATATATATATATATATATATATATATATATATATATATATATATATATATATTTACCTCAGAAATCGTCGAAATCTGATTGGCATCCAAGAACCAAACACGAGCACCTCCCAATTTCGGGACAGCATCCGGGGCATACTTCCCTCCATACTCCACTCTACAACATAGACGAAAAGGACATGTTGGCCAGTTTGTAAGGGGCCGAGCAAATGCAAGCTGCCACCTTCACAAACTGCTACTAGGATGGATGCCGTCTTCGGGGTGCTATGGTCTGACAAGGTTGGCATCTTCTGAAGGAGTCTTGCACCTCTCGAGGCCGTCTTCGCAAGTTTGATGTGTCCCTAGCCCAAAACCCTAGATATGAGGGAATTTGACCCTCAAAGACCCAATACCTCAATTTTCTGAGGTCTTGGGCCCCTAGAGCGTTTGAGTTTTGAGGGACAAACTTCAAAAATATTCAAAAGAAAAGCGGGGCACACGGTAGAACATGTTTGGCTTAGAAAACCCAAGCCTCAGTAGCAAAAACCAAGGCTATTTAAACCACCCAAATTCTGCAAGTTTGAGGATGTCATTACGGACCCAGCAAACTTCTCCTGCCTTCTTCCGTCAGCGTATAAATATCCACAAACATCAAAAACCAAGGGAAACACTGGGGGGGTTCTCAAAATAGTGGTCCCCTATCGGAAAAAAAAAGAAAGAAAGGCTAAACCGCCTTGCTCTTCTTATAATGAGGTCCCCCCCCCAAAAAAAAACAACAACTCAGCTCCACAGCCTTCCCGGTTTTCAATTTAGGGACACCTGGCGGCTCAGAAAAACCGCCACCCTCTTCTTATTTAGACGCTCCGAAAGAAAAAAAAGAAGAACAGAACCAGGAAAAAACATCCCTTTGGGCCCAAGCTCAACAACCTCGCCGTTTTTATTTCGGCACCCCTGGCCCCGAAAAGAAAATGAACGGAAAGAACCAAACAAGAAGAAGAAAAAACGCCGAGATCCCGGCGTGGATCTCGCCCTCCTCGTCCAGGTCCTCGAAGCCCCAGCCGGGCTCCTCGAAGAGGATGTTGCTAAACTCCCCCTGCGCTGCGCCAAACGCGCGCGGTGGCCCCCGCCGGGTCTCGGCGCGCCTGTTTTTGGGGCTCCGGTGTTACCTAGGTCCTCCAGATTTGAGAGGTTAGAAGAAGTTGGTACCCGATTGTTTTTCAGGACGTCTAGTTTAGCAGGGGAACCCTTCCCCAAAAAAGGGGAGAGAAAGGGCACTATTGGGGGATCTAGTTACAAAAGCCAACAAGGCACACAGACACAAGCACACACATACACATGCACACGCGCACATACACATGCAAAGGGCTCCGGCGTTTTGTTTGTGGAATTACATATGTTGAAATCAGGCCAGGGGGGTACCTGTGTTTTTTTTTGAATTCACGCCTCTGGGCCCTGATGCGTGTTCTTTGGAAATCCCGCCGGGGGGCCCGGTGTTTGCTGGCTGAAATCACTCCTGGGGGGGCTCGGTTAAAAAGAAGAAAAACACTCGCCTGGGGGTCCCGGTGCTTGTTTGTGTTGCATTCATGCCTGTGGGCCCGGGTGCTTTTTCTTTTGAATTCACGCCTTGGGGCGCTTGGGGGCTCTGGTGTGTGTTTTTGCAATCACGCCCAGGCGTGATGTAAAAAAGGAGAACACTAGGACCTCCAGGCTTTGCTCAAACCCGGAACCTGCTTGTGTTGGCCAACAAACCGAATAGAAATGCTCCCAGCAATTTCTTTGCCCCTGCCCTCTCCTTGAGCGAGGGGGGCGAACGGCTTTTCTTTTCGGGCGTGCTGTTCAGGCATTCCAGCGCATAGCCAGAATGAGTGTGCAGTCGGCAAGAACCTTAAAAACCTCATGCTTTAGGCAGAAATCGTTGGTTACACCCCTCTTCTCAGATTGACCCCCAAACCTCCAAAGCAACAAACCAAACCGCCAATTGGGAAGCTGACCTGATGTCACATCTGGCGTCCAGTCTCCGGACCAGGTTCCAGGGGAAGGGTCGAAAGGCAAGCCCAAATGCCTTCCGGGATGAGAAACATCCGTATGTCAACCACAAAAACATCCGAACCCGACTAATAAAACATGTGTTGAAATATATATTTCATCCCTATAAAATGGGAACCACCCCCATGTTTCGTATGGTCCGGACGAATCCGCTGCATTAAGCCGATGAAAGCTTCCCCATGGCCCAACCGGCTAAAAAGGGTTTCCTCTATCATCCTTTCAACCACCTTTCGGTCTCCGTCCATTTGCTTAAGCCCCCTGGAAAAGGAATGTTTTCAGTATAGTGCTAGTGTCCCTTTTAAATCAACCGGGGGAAAATAGAACATATCCTTTTCAGCAACTGGAACCGGGTCCGCGGACCCGCGGACCCGGTCGCGTCCGGTTCGCCCGCGTCGGAACTTCGGAAACCTCCGGCTCCAGGGGCCCGGGCCATGAGCGGGGAGTAGGAGGTGGGCACGTAGTAGGAGTAACACCTGGCCGGTTGGCCGCGTGCGCAGTCGGAAAAAGGCGCCCTTGCACAGCCTCTGGGAAAGCGGGGGGGGGGTGGGGAAAAATGCGTCTCTCTTCTTTTGTCTCCTTGGTTTCTTCTTTCTGTGCCCTTTGGCGTCCTGTATTGTGGCAGTCTTGCTTTTTTGGAGGCGGCTGGGGGGGGGGGGCGTCTGAATGTGGTTTTAAAGAGGTAAAGCGACCGACGCCGTTTCGGGGGTCCCCGAAAAAAAGGCAACTTATAAGTTTCAGGGGGGGAGGGGGGGAGGGGGCCTGGTGGAAAATCCATCGACGGCCCCTGGGCCACCAGTTTCGGTGAAGTGGGGGTTGATCAAAAGGCCCAATAACACGGGGTAACCATGAGGGAAACCAGCAAAAATCATCGACTTTCGCCAAATGGGGAAAGTCGCCCATGGTCATTTTGGGGCCAGGAATATTCAACCATCCTGGGGCCAGGAATATTCATCAACCATCCTGGAATCCGGATAAACAAAATCCGAGTCACCAGCGTCTACCCTCGTGCTCCCTGTTTTGTGCTGGGAGGTCTGCAACACCGCGCCGGGCCTCCTTCAAACCGCACAGTAACTGGCCAGACTTCGAACCCACGGACAAGCAGCTGGTTGCTGGCTGAATGGGAAAATAGCAAAACCCAAGGGGCAACAGAGAAAACAACCAAAAAACATGCTCTTGCCCAAGGGGCAACAGAGAAAACAACAACAAAAGATGCTCGAACCCAAAGGGCAACAAAGAAAACAACAAAAAAATGGGACCCAAAGGGCAACAAGGAAAACAACAAAACATGCTCGAACCCAAAGGACAACAAATACAAAACAACAAAACAATCCTCGAACCCAAAGGGCAACAAAGGAAAAACAACAAGAAAATGCTCGAACCCAGAGGGGCAACAAAGAAAGCAACAAAAAATGGAACCCAAAGGGCAACAAAGGAAAAACAGAAAACGACACATGTTTCTCGGAAGTTCATGTAAAACCAAGCCGTCGAGCACTGGAGGCCTGCATTCCTCAGAGTTTGCGACTTGCAGCGAAAAGCGAAGTTCGCTTGACAAACTTCGCCCAATGGACTCAACTGGCTTCCCTTGGCGGGCCCACAGACCCGCCCGCCTCTGCAAGGCCAAGGACCCGCGAGTGGACAAGGACACGATGCCTGCGCGAAAACGGTTCGAGCCATGGGCTGAAGTGATCCCCTTCCGGCACCTCTATGGACCAAACTTTGGGGAAACCAAAAGGTGAACAGGTTGGTTTTGAGTAATTTTGAAACCATTCTAGGGCTGTCTTCCCCATTCATTCCAGGGATCCTTCTTTTCAGGAAACCATCGAGAACCCAGGGAAACCGCTGGTTTTTGAAAAGAACGATGGTTGAAAAGAATGGGGAATCAACCCCTAGCACCATGCATGAACCGTCAACATCAAACCATGCATTTCACCTGGCAGATGATTTACCTGAAACCAAGCCTTTTGGGTGTGACCTTTGAATGGAAAAGGACACCAACGCGCGAAGGGAAACCCATTGAGGACATCACAAGCCAGAATATGTCTGAAGTCCGGGCGAAGGCCATGCCAGATAACAACTTGGGAAGTCAGCATAGGGCACACGCCTAAACTCAACCTACTAAGGAAGCCTACCACCAGAGGAGCCCCTTGATTCCCATCCAGCCTTTGGGGCTCATCGCACCCACTCCCAGCTCCTGAGGGACCCAGACCCACCAAGCGGCAAGCGGAAAGGCTCGGAGGTGTTGTGTTTTTTGGCGGCGCCCCGAAGAAGTGAAGCGCCAATCTCAAGTCGTCCTCTAAACCAGGTGGATATGTACCCATACGTTTCGGTAATGACCAGAAATTGTAGTGGACACGACGGGTATGTCCTCAACCAACACCGGAGACTGGCCTGGCGACTTTTTCATTTTGCAAATTGGTTGCCAGCTGTGTCCATGGTCTTTTCACGATGCCCAAAACATACTCGGTGTTTTGCTTGGCTCTAGCTTGGTCACTGCGCCGGGCTAGTGCAATTCCAACGGAAAGACATTTGGAGGGGACTTCCGGCGCCGAACAACGCGCCCCAAACTGGCAGCATGGGCGGCTCGTCTTTTTTGGGGGAACCCCTGCTTGGTTTTAAATGGAAGCCACAAGGAAATCACTCATTGTGGAGGGAGTCCGATTCCAAAAAAACAAAGCGCACCTTCAGATGCCTGGCTGAAATATTTTAAGGTTCCCAGGGTGTTTCTCAAAATTGGAGACCCCAAGCAGGTCTTATTTCCTTTCGGTTTCCCGAGAACCCCCCGATTTCATGCTTCCAGGGAATGGGCAAGGTCGTGCAACCCCGTCCCAAGAATTTACCCTGAGGACCAAGAGAAGCCGAAACACACAATTTCCGCAGCTCCATTTTTGGGGAAACACGCAGGAGCAACAGTGAAACTTGGGTGTTTGCCAAATTGGGCATGGAACATACGGGGCGTTTGTGGTTGAAGGTTGGTCACGCCCATGTCCCTCACCCCACATTCACTATATTACAATAGGAAAAACAAGAGACTCGACCGAACCTGGTGTGTCCTAAATCTGAAAGCCCATTTCACCTTGGCCGCCTTGGAGTTCTGTTTCGAGCCGTCCAAAAGGCTCCCAAATATTGAGGCACGCCCCATCCGGAAGCAGACAACTGTCCAGGCGTGGGAAGTCGCGGGAAAGAGCCGAAACCAAAATCCCAACGCGAAACGCACGGCTCAAACGAGATGTTTGACCCTTTTCGTGCGCCTGTGATTTTTGAGTATTTCCCCCGTTGCGTGTTCCCCCTCCCCCCCCTCCTCCCCTCCCTCCCCCCCCTCCCTCCCTCCCTCCCTCCCCCCCTCCCTCCCTCCCTCCCTCCCTCCCTCCCTCCCTCCTCCCTCCCTCCCTCCCTCCCTCCCTCCCTCCCTCCCTCCTCCCTCCCTCCCCTCCCTCCCTCCCTCCCTCCCTCCTCCCTCCCTCCCTCCCTCCCTCCCTCCCTCCTCCTCCCCCTCCTCCCCCTCCCACCCCCCGCAGCTCCAAAGGCCCACCGCCGCCCGGGTCCTCGAAGATCTCCCCGAGGGCGGTGCGGCTCGCGGCGTCCAACTTGCTGAAGTCGAAGCGGTCCATGGCCTGCGACGCGTCGGCGACGCATGCGACGCGACACCAGGGGGCTCCAGTGGGTTGAGGGGGTGACTGGAGCGGAACTGCCAGGCGAAGTCAAGAACCGCTCAAACAGAAAACTGCGTATGATGCTATGATGCAGCCATGGGTTTGGGGCACTGACCACAAACTTTGGAGATCCGTAGACTCCAGGTACCTGGATAGTACGGGACAAGCCTCTACAAAACTGTCGAGAAGTTGAAGGTGTTAGGTGTTAAACATCAAAAGAAACAAGTAAAAACTAAAACTCAAAAAGTTGGCGAGAAGTCACAAAGAAGCTTAAAGGTTCTGCAAAACCCAATTGGTAAGGCGGATTTTTTGCGTGGTTTCCACATCTTCCTGGCCATTTGGATGGTTTTGTGGCTTTCCTTTGCTTGCTGCGGATGTTTGCAGGCAGCTTCGCAGGATGATCACAGGCAGCTCTCGTGGAGGTCTTTTGCTCTTTGTGTGAAGCGCCTATGTACAAACCCAGATCCGACCCCAGAACTGCTGGCTGCAATGGAAGATGAAGGAAAGCCAGAAAGGCAGAAAGAAAAAATACAACGCCAGCTCCAGTTGTTATACTTCCAAAGCCTAGGCGCTGTCAAGTATGGAGTAGCCGATGCCAACTTGGGGTTCAAATGCCCCAGGTACCGCCGGTACTGCTCACGCCGTGCCGTGGAGACCACAACAAGTCCGGCTAAACTTCCGAACCCTATGATTGTGGTGAGCGCACTCTAGCTCCTCAGGCCATGACCCAGGCCAACTGTGATATGTCAACATAGGTGACCAGGAGAAAAACAAAAAAAAGAAGAAAAAAAAAAAACGGAAGAGGGTAGCGAGCCCGGGGGGGGGGGGAAAAACTCATCATAAAAAAACATGCGCACACACGCGTCCACATCCAACCTGATCATTTCGCCAGTGTAAGTGAAGACGGGGCAGCCTCTTGATATGTCTCAAACCCTTGGATTCACCCATCCATCGTTTCGATGTACCGGTCGCCGCCTTGTCCTTGCCATAGTCCAGACCCTCCTCGCTCCAGCGCGCAAAGTAGGTGATGGACGTCAGCCTCATTCCCAGAAAACGGCCATCGCGGGGGGGGGGGGGGGGGGATTTTTTGCGAGTGAGACGCAGTACCCGCGGTGTTTTTTTCTGGTGGTCTAAAGGGACACCAGAAACGCTCAGAGAGGTTCCCTAGTTTGAGGCAAACTATGGCTTCGTCGAACCGAATGGGATATGTGGGGGGCGGTCACGGGCTTCCCATTTTTGGGTTTGTCGCTTCGGCAAATTTGTTACTCCCCCAAAAAGACTAAGTGCAGCCCACAAGCGACACACCCTGTTTGGGGGAAAAACAAAAGACCCCTCTGTCTCCATGCCTGGCAGGCTACAGAAACCGATTGAGCATTCGGTTCTCCTGCTTGCCTTTTCCAGTGCCCTGAAGCAACGGAACCTTTTGGGGCGTTTTTGGAGCCCATCGAGGGAATGGTCAAGACTTGAAGTGTCCGCAAAACGGTTCTAGCGCCAAACTAATGAACATAATGAACAGGACCACAACAAAGCAATGAGCACCCGCACACGCTGAAGAAACGGCAGACCCCGCAAGCGGGAACTTGGGCCCCTTTGTTGCCGTTGGCGGCAATTTTCTCTGCCGAGGGGGTCTGATGGTCTCAAATTGGCCTTTTGACTCCATATTATTTTGGAAAAAGTGGGATCTCTTAGAAGCACATTCAGGGTTGGCCTCCTCAAACATGTTTAAACAACTCTTTAAACGGCCTTTCGGTTTCAACAGTACAATTCATATGGACCTGTGTTTTACCATGCGTTTAGCAGAACAAACGAGAATCATAAGGTTGAGCAAGCTCCTCCAACTTGACGCTTTTCACGTGCATATGAGCCAAGAACAATATTACTTGCAGTTGATTCAATTTGGTAGGCCCTATACTTTTTGTGAGACGATATAAGAGGAGATTGGGTAGGACCCCGAAGATCTGACCAAAACATGAACCATGGACTATCAGTGCAATTGTCCGATCCTTGTTTGGGATCGAAGCAAGAAGCGTAGGACCAACGTGACGCGAATTTCGCGTCGGCAGGGTCTCGGCAATTCTGGCACCTACCATTCTAAGGGTGGAAGTACATGCCCCTTGTTCATACCTTGGCTTCCGTGGTTTCCAACCCACTTTATAAGGGGTATCTACCCTTTTACAGGAGAGGGGTATGAACATCAGCAGGCCTTTTGGGTTCATTTGTCCAAGGGATATGTAAAAGGGGTACCAGCACCCCTGGAACCATGCAACTCAACACGTTTTCACTTTACTCTGCCTTCACAAGCCACTCCGCGCGGGTGGCTTCATTTTGAGAAAAGCAATGAAGATTGAGAGGAAAAAGGCCCTCACAATTGCTGGAAAAATCGGACCCCGGCCAAAAAATATCCTTTTTGCCTGGTTAGTGGAAAACAAAGAGACCCCAAAAAAACAAAAAGCAGGGGAGCTAATTCTGGGGAAGAATTCTGCACGTTCAACGGAGAAACCATTGGCTTCAAAAAGTCTAAGGGGCTCAAAGTTAAGCCATGCTCTAGACCAGCGGCATCATCAGAGGTTGCAACTTAAGCATCATCACCGCCAGCAGTTTGCCAGCGTCACTGCAAAATTCGGGCACTCGTGTAGCGCTAGCGTGGGAAAACTGAGCTTGTCATTTCAGAGCCAGATCATTTCAGACCCAAAAGCAGCAGTCTTCCCGTCTTTTATCAGGGTTTGTTGTAACACATTTTGCCCAACCATTCCTTTCAGAGGCGCCAAAATATTTCCCAAATCGTTTCTTTTGCAGGGCCAACTGCAAGGCAAGCGACAGTGGCGCCAGCACAATGCCGTCCAGCAAAACAGGCAGCACCTGGCCGAATGTCCAACGAAACTTTGCCTACGGGGTTACGCAGAAAGAAAAATGTTCAGATTCTGGTTCGCATTTGGCCTATGTTTAGGAGGACACCTCAATGTCCTTCCTGTGAACTGGGTACGACGAGTGGAACTTCTGGTTGAAACGTGCTACAAGTTGCTGCTTGCAAGAGAATACAAATCCGAAAACCAAACAAGCAAGAAGTGAAAAGGGTAAGCTAAGTGTACGGTGTAGCAATGCTGTATAACTTATTTTAAACATCCCCTCGCGAAGGAACCCGCACAAGGTCTGAAACGAGCATGTTCTCTTTTCATCAGAGACAGTCCCTGGTCACCTTTCAGTCTCGCTTCAGGGCCCCAAAGGCTAAATTTTGATCACCCGTGAAAAAAAAGAGCTTAGGGGGAGAAAGGGACGAGAAGATCTAGGGGAAAGGGAGGAGAAGATCTTGCGGGGGGGAAGATCTTAAACCGTGTTGCAGCTTTCAATATCACCCCAGCAAGAAAGGAGACTTGTTTCAAAATCGCAATCCCAAAATGGTGCTTTCCACAGCCCTAGAGAACATATGCATTTGTCTCAAAACCCCAAAAATGGTTCCTCTTAGTGTCCCTTGACAACCAACAAACTGGAACCCCCTATAGACACTACTAATTGGTTGTGATTTTTTTAAGTGGGAACCGCTTGGTGGACACCATCCAGGTGAGGATGTATGTATCACTGTTGAAGCGGTGTTTGATTGAATTTCATAGCCACCCCTGAAAAAGACACCCCCATATTCAAATCAATATTTGTCAACCAAACAAGAAACAGCTGTTGAGGAATTCTTATTATTGCCAGGGAAGGGATCCTGTTCTACAGCCTGGGCTTCATGTCCTTTCGCCGTGATGCGCGGCACGACCTCCGTCAGGTCCGTGGACCATTTCATCCCTTGCCACAGATCTTCTCCGCCAGACACCCCAGACACGCGAATGATTGCAACTGGCCCATGTTTTGTTGGATGCAATGGAAAGACAACAGGGATCAACAACCTCTCAAAGCTTGGTCTGTCACTGCAAATTTGAAGACTCGTTGGGCTGGCATCAAATCTATGCGATGCCAACAAAATAATCGCTGCTCCCCAGTTGCCAATGAAAATCAGATTCGGATGCCCTAGAAGCGCATCCTCGCCCGAAGTGTTCCTCAGATGGTACTCTCTTGACTTTTTCCAAACAGGCTCATCACACCAGAAATCACCCCAAAAAACACCGAAAAACGGGGTACCATGCCTCCAAGAAAGACAGACCCATCAAACAGGGTAAGCCACATGTTCGGATCCCTTTGAGACTACCTGATTCGCCAGGGGAAGTGAAGGTGACCAGGCCCAATCAAAGAGACTTTCTTGACCTGTGAACGGGCAAACCACCAGGCCATCCCTGCCCTGAAAAAGATTCTCTGGTTTGCCAAATTTAAAGGGAAACCCATCCAAAAAGGGGAGGACATTGGAGCCTGTTTGCCTTTTGTGGGAAATCCAACTGCCCCACGACGGGACATGCTGATGGACATGTTCTCTTCAGACACTTGGGGTTGGTGGTTATCAACCATTCAAATCCGGTTTCATCCAACGATGCCTTTTGTGGATTGTGCAAAAAAGGCTTGGATGCGTTTTTTTTGTGTGGATTTCACCTCTTCGTTCTTTTTCAGTAATCGTTTAGTACTCTTTTGGATATGAATCCTAGAATTGGATCCACAAAATGCGAACCACATCCAAACCATTTTCTGGAACAGTGAAAGACATCTCCGTCCGACATCTCCGTGCGATGGCTCCCAGGCCTTGCTCTTGGAGTTGGTCCAGCCGGGTCGGTGCTCCGCCCACACCACCAGACAGTGCCTCGAAGGGGGGGGGGGGGAGGGGGCTGCGGGTTTTGCCCTCGTTCAACCACCCCCCCCCCCAAAAAAAAAAAAGAAGCGGGGTAGCTACCGTGCCGCACGGGTTTTGCCCTCATTCAACCACCCCAAAAGAAAAACAAAAGTAAGTGCCGTGCCGCGCCAAAAAAGACCGAATCATAACATGTCCTTGGGGCGAGTGAAGGTTGGGCCCCTTCAACAGCTCCCCTCGCAAAGGGTGGTGTGGAGCCCGCACAAGCCTCTACAAGAACCAGAGGGTTCAAATCCAAATCCAAACTCTCTAGGGGGGTGCCTGATTGTAACCTCCCTAGATATCAGGCGTCCTTTGGGGAAACACAAGAAAAGAGCCAGACTGAAAGCAGTGGAATGCATCGATGTTCAACCAAACTGACCGTTAGGAACCTGTGGGCACTGGGTTGTGATAATGGGAAAGCGAAAGGAAACCAACCAGCTTGAGAAATCAATTTCCATGTTGTTTGCAGACTTCGATGGATCAGCAACCGAAACCAACGACAAAAATGATCTTGCAGAAAACAGGTGAGGCAAGTCCATTTGAGGAAGCCACCAGCTTCCCACTTTGTGGTTTAGATTGGTTGTTCGGAGGGGGTAAGGTGTCTTCCCATGTAGCCCAAGAATCAAGGGTTCAGATCCTGCAATCCAAGCAGTTGAGGGAACCTGAAACCAATGCATAGCTGCCCCCTCGGTTGGTGATTTGAGGAGTTGAATCCCAACCACTCCAAACCCCCTCTCGCATTGCCTGAAATGCGCGTTCCCTTCCCCCAAACCCGGCAAGGACATCCCCAGCTTCCCTCGAAAGGGAGCTTTGGAGCCCGGTGGCTTGGAGGTGTACCGGGGAGGCGTCCCATCACAAGAACTCGGGGTTCAATTTTTGACCTCTCCAAACCACCAGCCAACGAACAGAGTGCTGGCCCGACGCACAGGGTTCCCGAGATTCCCCCGAACATACGCATCTCAAAGTGGCCCAAAAGGTGTCTTTTTGATCGGGCGGAAAAGGGCTATGCAGAGCGCTGAGCAACGGACAAAAAGCAAGCAAACAACAAACACAAAACAAAGCACAGCCGAGCAAACCAACCAACCAACCCAACCCAACCCAACCCAACCCAACCCAACCCAACCCAACCCAACCAACCAACCAACAAAACAACCAAAGCCAACCAAACCACTAGAAAGCAAAAGAAAGAAAACAGAGGCTTAGTCTACCCAAGGAAGAAAAAAAACAGGGGAGAGATCGACTCTCTTCGGCCGCTTGAGAACGCGGGAGACTTTGGGGATCCCGGGCGTGGCAGCTTCCGAGGGCACCTTGAAGGGCGGCACCGCCTCAGAGCTCGACTTCGCTTCTCCGTTGTTTAAAAAAAAAAAAAAAAAAAAAATCTGGGGGTGACCTCCCTATGGTTTTTTTTTCCCGTGGTTTGCCTTTTGGTTCCCCCCCCCCCAAAAAAAAAAAAACGGTGCCCTCAAAACAAGACACCTCCAAATGGCACCTTGGCAAATGGAACCAAAGCCCAACACCTCGTAACCCTGGCCCTTTAATTTTGAGCCGCACCCAGATTTGGGGGGTTTGGGGGGTGGGGGGGCCTTATCGCAGGGGTTTCTGAGCCATGCCCCTTCCTTGGAAGCCACCCAGCAGATTGATCAACTTTTGGGCGGGGAAATCTAGCGAGCCCTGCATGGGATGGAAAAAGGAAACCGGTTGGATGGTGCAGGGTCATTCCCCTGAGTTCTTAGCCCCAAATGGGTTCGTCCAATGGCAATTGAAGCTGGGGAAGGCGGGGGGGGGTCCTTAAGAAAACGCCCCAAAGGAAAACCACCATGTTGGGGGGTCCAACTGACGGTCCTACCTTACAAAAAAGAAAGACACGCAGAGCGCGTCGCCACAAACCTCGTCAGCTCATGAATGGAGAAGGGCTTGAACAGAACCTGCTGCGCCAAGAAATCCACGGTGCCTTGCACGAGGATGGACCTCCACCGAGGATTCGTCAGCAGCTTACGGTTGCCCGGGTCATCCAAGACAGGCTCGCCGTTCCACATCAGGCACTTTCCTTTCGGCGTGCCACTCCAACTTGATCGCCGGGTGGACCCAGGATCTGACCCCCAGGCAACGCAAAAGGCCGACCTCCGAACCGAGCGGACTGACTCCAACATCTCGTCACCGGTGGGGAGCGATCAAATCGAGGCTAACGCGCCCCTCCGGCTTTCCTAAGGGCTTTAGACCCAAACTCGCCTTCAACTCACCAGAAGAAAGGCTGCCTTTTGCTTGCTGGCTCTCAGGGAATCCACGGTTTTTGAACAAACCGGTTTGGGATGCCCCTTAAAACGTTGGGATGGTTAAAGCCTGTCGAACCGGCGAGAAACAAAAAAGTGTCCCAACAACAACCATGCTGTGGATGGACGTCCATTTCCCACCCTTCAGAAAGAAACCCTGGAATGATATGATTCCCGTGTAACTACCAACAAAATGCAATGGTTTCAACTCCATGGTTTCATTTCATGGTGCGAAATGGATTTCGTCCATCAGTATGTTTGCTATGAGGTAGAATCTTAGAAGCCCTTACTGACTTTCTGGGCGAATTGCCAATCACAAACCTCAAATGGATGTCGGTCTAAATAGTGTAACCCCAACATGGGTTGCCCTGGTAAATGGAAACATGGACTAAAATCTGCGGTCTAGTCTGGTGGTTTAACTTTGACCCACACCCAAAGAAGGACCTCCCCCAGGAACGTTGGATTTTTGCTCGTCGCAGCTCGCCCAAGTTCCAGGGATGCAAAAAAAAGAGACTGCATGCCTGAATCGAACTTGCCTCTCAGCTTGCGGTAAGGGGGGTTTGGGTCTACAATCCACTCATGACAAAACCGGATGGTCAAAACTCGCACTTCTCGGATCATGGCATGGGGGTTTGGGTCTACAATCCACTCATGACAAAACCGGATGGTCAAAACTCCCACTTCTCGGATCATGGCATGGGGGTTTGGGTCTACAATCCACTCATGACAAGATCGGATGGTCAAAACTCCCACTTCTCGGATCATGGCATGGGGGTTTGGGTCTACAATCCACTCATGACAAGATCGGATGGTCACGGCATGATTTCTTTCTCTCGAGTCGGGGAGCTCTTCTACTCCGCGATCACAATGCCTGCAATGTGCTCGAGGACCGGACACCGATTGGCAGCCGTGGCCCGCCGGAAAGCCCACCCAACACATGGGGCGGTTTTCTTTCGTTGGTTTCCCTTGAACACCTCCAAACACGGGTGGTGTTCCTTCCGTCTTCCCTGGAAGGCCACGAAACATCCCGCATTAATAAACCCCTGCTTATTCATACGGTGGTTTCCCTGGAATTTTAGAAGGGATTTATCACTTTTGGAGGAGAACACCCCCATATTTATTATTATATTATTATTTGTTTGAACAAAAAAAAAGGTTAAACAAAAAAGTCTAAAAAAAAAACAGGGGTTGTTAATCCGGGGTCAACGACATCCCCCTGAGTCGGTAAGTTGGCCCAAGCCATCGCCTCCGTGTAGACGCTCCTCAGCGCCTTCGCAGTACCGATACCCGGCCTGGCGAATTCGCTGCGAGCGAAAATCGGCCGCGCAGCAACCAGCTGCGCCGTGAAGGACACGAGGCTGCAATATGGGTGAGGGTCAAAAATATGGTAACCCCAAAATGGGTTGCCCCTGGTAGATGGAAACTTCAACTACCACCTGCGGTGCCCTGGTGGTTTATTGTTGACCCACACCCACACGGAAATGGAGTTCGTTGCTGTTAGAGGAAAACTGTGAATGGGGAGGGCTTATCAGACCGTTGGGGTACCCCCGGCAAGAACGGGAGATGGGGTCCCTGAAAGTCCCCTTGGTTGCGGTTCACATTGATTTGGAGTCCAATGGCAGCATGTGAACTCGCTGGCAGCATGCTTTTTGGACGCATCCACCCTTCCGACAGTCTTCCAACAAGGCGTGCGCACGTGTGCGACCAACCTGAAACGCGTACAACAAGCCTATGAAACCAGAACACGTTCCCAAGCCAACTGGGCCAGCGACGAGAAAACCACACACACCTCTGGCATACCTCGGTGCCCTGAAAATGGAAAAGCCTCAAGGGGGCGGACCGCCAGCAACCGCCATAAAGGACACCTACGGTTCGCTCACATGGGAAGTAAACTATGGTTTGCCTGGTAGAAGGCAAACCAAAGGGGCGGCGAAGGAAAAGCGCCTTGGCACGGGTGCGAGCAAGCAAGAATCTGCGTGTCTTTTTCTGGAGCCAAACCCCTTGCGATTGGTTTTGAAACCAAAACGCTTTCCGAAAAGCAGCCTCCGGAGTCCATTTCGTGTTGAGACTATCCTTGGCCAACTGTGGCAAAAAGGGGCGTTTGCCCGAGAGGCGAGCCTCACAAAATGTGACGGCCAAAAGAAGAAACGAACACCGAACAAGCACAAACCGAAGAACAGGAGACTGAACTGGCACCCCAAAAGAAACCGCCAGAGCAAACACAAAGAACACACCTCCGACCAACAAGCTTGCACGCGTCTAAAAGGCAAAAATAGGGGGGGGGGGGGGGGGTGAGGCCCACTGCCCCAGGTGCCTATCCCCGGAGGGAACTGGAACCGTGTGGCAGTTGAGGTCGTTGTTGGTCCCTCAATCTATTCCGACGGAGAGAGTCCAAAATGCCAATAATGGATAATTGGAGGATGGATTGTCCCTGGTGGATTGTCTGATGGATAATCCTGTAAGCGGCCTGCAATGGCTCTTTTGTCCTCACGCTCGAATGGTCGCGATTATGCAAAAAGGGGCCTTGAGCCAAATGTTGCGGGAGATCAATAGTCTGAGAAACAAAACACAAAACAGACACAAATTAAATTTCTTTTGATCTCCAGCACAAAGTATGACATACTATTGGCTTCATAGCCTTTGACCGTAGCCTTAATGTGTGCCGTAGCCATGTGATTAAAAGAGCCGGATTCATCCTTTTTCTGCTGGATGAAATGTCTTGGCCTTCGAAATGGGAAATACTATGTGCGCTTCTTTTTGGATACCTAATTGTATCAAAGGGTGATGTACAACGCTATGTACACGCGGAACAATTGTGAAACTATTGATCACTCACTCATGGTATAGTCTTGTAGACGAGGAGGATCAATCATCTGTATTGCTCGGGATCGACGATACCATCGGCGACTGCTGTCGGATTGACTGCCATGGTCTCCATAATCATTCCAGGTCGAGCTGCTGTAGTCCTTCCACTGCTTCTGCTATCCCCACTGCTTGTTGTAGTCCTTGTACTCCTGCGTGGTCCAGGATTGTCTCTTCTTGACGTAATCCTGGTATCTCTCAGAGCGGCGTTTGCTGGTTGCAGATCTGCTGCGGGTGTAAACCATGAGAGGACTGTGGGAGTCGGAGTCCTGCGAGCCGTTCATGAACATTTCATTGTTCACGTGCTTGTAGCGCTCTGCGGATGAGACCTGGTAATCGAAAATGGCCTTGTTCGGATGGTTCCGCATGAATTCCAGTTGTTCATCATCCATATTGTTCATCTCGATCTTCCGGAAGTCCTGCTGGATGTTCGTTTTGCCCCATCCAAATACGATAGTCATCATCACATCTGGGAATGTTCGAGCATTTCATGTACAGGTGATGACGGACAATGGATTTCAGGGTGCACGAAGTCTCCACCGTATACTCCATTCTGTCCACGAGTGGCAAATTCTTCGTCGCATTCCACAATCTCTGATATGCTCTCATGAGGATGTTCACGAGACCGTTGGTTGGATTGTAGACATGCTGGAGTTTGCTATAGGTGTTCGCCGATTTGTTGGCGTCTCCGGTGATCGCATCGCATCGGTACAAGGTCACGAGCGGCATTATTTCGTTCTGAAGATCTTCTTTTGCTGCTCCATGACTAAGTGAAGGATGGATGTGGAAAACTCCAATGGTCGCGAATGGCAAGTCTGCCCTCGTGATTTGGTGAGTCTAGCAGTTGTGGGGAATTATGGCGGTCGTCATACTCGTAGTATGATTTGTCGGATGATTTCGGGATCATGCCGCGAAACTCATCACTCTGCTCGATGTGGAGAACGACGATCTCCTTGTCTCGGCCATGTCCTTGGACAATGGTGCGTGCTGGCAATCTCGATCCAATGTACTTCTTGGATTCGGTAAACATGGATGTTCCTGTGGTTGCCAAGCAATCCGAGGTCGGAATTTCGTATTCGGGATCAGTGCCATCTTCTTTGGTTCCGAAGAAACATCTGAACATTCCGAATGTGGTTCCCCAATTCTGGCTCCTGGTGGAAATGTGTCTTGCCAGAAGTTCCACTCGTGCAGAGGGTCCGCCGCGGACAAAGCATGCGATCGGTCTGGATGACCATTGCTTGATCACAATGCCCCTGTAACCGTATCGGATGAACGTCTTGATGAGCTCCCTGGATTTCTCATCATTCGGACTGAAGAATGCGTCTGCCTCAATGACATTGCACTTGTGAGTCGTTCTCTTTGTTGATCTGACAACTCACTTTGTATAATGAAAAACTGTGCAATGAGATTATCCCCGAAGGGAAATGCGTCCCGCTGTCTGTCCTGCATTCCTTGGATATATTGTCTGAGGACTGTAGGATCGTCCTCATTTAGCAGGGCTGGAGGCGGTGCTCGAGCACCGGCTGCTTGCTGATGTCGAGCAATTGTTCTCGCGTTTGCGTCCTGTACGGACTGTCGGAATGATGGAGACTGTGCCGTAAAGATTGGCATCAAGTCCATCCATGCTGCCTTCAATCTCATGAGAAGGATCTCGAATTTTGAGGTAAAAATGAGGAACTCTTGGTTCTGCCTTCTGTGGTTGAAGAAACTGAGGAGTCTGTACAGATACACGTTGGTCGCACCTTTCAAAAAGTACTTCTTCAGCGTGTTCTTGAAATAGTTGACTCCTTCATCAGGATCTTGCAAAAGGTCACGGCCTTGTACATGTAAGCATCTCCAGTGAGTCTGCTCTTAAGCAATGGACCTCGCTTGGCTGCTTCTACTGTGGTGATTGTCACCCAGTCGTCCACGATTTCTTCATGCCTGAACCAGCTGACTTTTCCGTCGTACGATGGCGGCTGCTTGGCGGTCATCGATAAATTAAGTGTTTCCTCCGTGTAGCTCGGCTTCGCCGAACTTGTGTAGGCTTCCATGAAACCTTCTCCATCTGCGGAAAACCCGCTCCGCTACCACAAATTGAGGCCCACTGCCCCAGGTGCCTATCCCCGGAGGGAACTGGAACCCTGTGGTAGTTGAGGTCGTTGTTGGTCCCTGAATCTATTCCGGAGAGAGTCCAATATGCCAATAATGGATGATTGGAGGATGGATTGTCCCTGGTGGATTGTCTGATGGATAATCCTGTAAGCGGCCTGCAACGGCTCTTTTGTCCTCACGCTCGAATGGTCGTGATTATGCAAAAAGGGGCCTTGAGCCAAATGTTGCGGGAGATCAATAGTCTGAGAAACAAAACACAGGGGGGGGGGGGAACCTGGCGCACGTGGGGAAAATTTGGCGAACAGCTGCCACGGGTTGGGCGGTTTGGTGGTTCTGCCTCAGGCGAAGCTGCAGCTCTTCGAGCTCGACGCCTTGTACCGCCGAGTAGGCGCCCTGCGCGACCGAGGGCTGGGGGGGACTGGGGGGCTGGGGTGGGGGGGGGGGAGTCTGGGGGGGGGGAGCTGGTGGGGGGGTTGGTGGAGGGGTGGGTTGGGGGAAGGTTGGGGATTTTGGCGAGGGTGTTGGGGGGGGGGGTTGGGGGGTTGGGGGGGAGTGGAGGCTGGTGAGAGCAACCTGCAAAGGGACGCTTCGTTTGGCTGTAGTTCAATTCCATGTGCGGATACATGTGAAACAAATGAAAAAGAAGTGCCCAGTAGTATCTTTCCCTTGAAGTGCAAGAGGAGAAACAAAATACAATGTCGTTTAGCAAATGCAAGTCAACTGTTCACTGTGGTGGGCATGAATCCACAAATGATGTCCACCAAAGGGCCCCTTGTTGAAATTCACACCCATGGGCCATGAGGGTAAGTCCCAAGCCACACTTTTAGGTGCTTGCACTGGTCGAGCGAAACTGCTCGAGGGTTAAAAAGGTAGACCCCATCAATGAGCCGAACCAAAACTGCGAAACCTAAAAGATTATACCAGGGACAGTGACGCCAAAAAAAGGACACTTCTTCATGCCATGTGACAAGCCCCCATTGCCCCCACCCCGCCCAACCCGCCAAAAGGTCGATCAACCATCAAAACAGAAATACAATGGCCAGACAAAAGTTGCGAGTCTTGAAGGTCAGAGCGATTACAGCCCTTTCCCCTCAGGATGAGACCTGCGGGGGTGCGGGTGGACCGTGCCACACAAAACTCGCTTGTTGGTTCGATCCACGTCTGGCTGAAGTATGACATGCCTGTGTCTTTCTCAAGGCTCGTTACCCTGTATGTACCTCTTATTTACTGATATGCGATTTGCCCTTGACCGAGTGTTCTCCTTTCAGAGTTTGGTGTGAATCCTTGGGACAGGCAACAGAATAGATCCGGTTCGCATCATGACTCAAACCGAGTCATAAGCCGTTCAGCGGCTTGTCAAGGAAAAGGAAAGCCTGAAGATCAAAACGGCAACTGCCTAAATCAACTCAGACCTGCTTGGGCGGACCAGGAGACCGAAAGGTGCAAAGGCCGGCCGGCAAGCAAAATATAAGGGTCACCGGTTTCCCCAAGTCAAAAGTCGATCAATTGCTGGTCGTGTCCAAACAAAACTGCCACCTTTGGAGGTCCCCTTTAAAGCGAAATGGCCCGGAACCCCTGAGATCAACGCCTGTCCCAAATTCAAGAGACTAGAACTCCCTGACCTGAGGCCTGGATCCCTGGGCCGCGCATGCCAAAAGCTTCACTGAGAAACTCTCTTTGCGTCCTGAAAAATTCTCAGGTTTTTCAAGGGCTGGCTCTGTCGGAGAGAAATCGGTGTCTGACAGTCCAAATGCAATCCCATTTGGCTCCAAGCCCCATTGAAATAATGGCAAGGACCCAATTTATATAATGAAACTCCATAAGTAAACAATGGGAGTTTCACTAAATCCGTTGTTTTTTGATGGTTGGAATTTCAGGGAAATGGATTGTCCGATGTTTGAACACTGCCGCGCGCAGAGCGCCCGGCCGTATCATCTACCTCCACGTAGCCCAGGATGCGGCAAGTCCGCAGCATGACTGCCAGCGGACCCGCCTCACGGCAACAAATATTGGCCGTTCTTCAGTCCACCTGCCGGGGATGGACGAAATCCTTGGAAAACCATGGTTAAAACCACTCTTTGTTGGTAGGTGTCTTAGGTGGTGCAGGATTTCGTCCATCCCAACTGTTGCGCCGTGGACGTTGTCCAAAAGTAGTCAAGAGCCAAGAGCCCAACAAAAAAATCCCAAACCTTGATTTGGGGAAATCCAGTGATCAAGCGCTTTCTTCAACACTCGAAGTGGACAAGGGGCCGTTCCAAGAGGGTGGCAATGGTATGCCTCAACTGTAGATGTCCCGAGCGACCAAACCCCATGGGCTGTTGGTTCTCCTGAGATGACTAGAAAGGCTCATAGGCCTCACTTTGATCCTTTCTCCACTAGGAACCGAACCACCTACTAAAACGGCCCTATTGGGAATGGGTTTTGGGCGCTAAACTCTTTTAGCAAATTTTCCATGGGGCCCGTTTTGCTTCTTCATTCCCATGATTTCTCATGGTTGCTCTTGGTTTCCCATCATTCTCTGTAGTCTCTGGTGGTTCAGAGCCGTCTCTTGTTGGGCTTCTCAAAAGGACACCGGTTGAAGCATATACAAATACAAGATGAACGGATCATCGTACGTGTAGGTCCCCTCCCGTGCCGAGGACTTCCCATCCGCTGGGTTTGTTTTGTCGCGTTTTTGGATGCTGAGACTGGGGGGGGGGTCCGGGGGGTGGTGGATGGGTCGCGCGTCTACATGTGCATGTTCATGTTTTGTATACTCGCAGAAACTGAATTTTGCAACCGGCGAGGCCGCCGGGGCATCTGCTCTTCCGGTTTTCTATCTCCGGCCGTGGACGCGATGAGGAAAAAAAAGAAGAAGATGCAGAGCCCGAGTCCCCTTTCCGGAACAGACTCACGCCGCCTGCGGCCTCCCTGGCAACTTCTCCAAACATGATTTCCCATTTGGGGGGGACACATACAACTTTTTAGATAGACGTGCATATATTGAGACATGTATATAAACATATGTACATATGTATATATGTATATATATATATATATATGTGCACGCATATACATATATGTAAACGTGTATACTATCGCTAAGAGTTGCTTGGGGCTGCAATACCACGCTTTCCGGGAAGGGGGAGAAAGCATATTTCCATTTGCCGAAGGCACACAGGCTCCCTCCCCACGTCGACCCTGGCGGTGAAGCTCGTTTGGCCGAGCCAAGAAAAGTGCGTGGTGGAGGCTGCGAAGTGTGGGTTGAGCCGCGTTCAACTCATGACGATGGTATACCGATGCATACATATGTATCTGTATAGATCTATATATATATATATATACATGTGTAACATGTATGTATATCGCGGTTGTCTGAATCTCGTTGTTCGGGGCATGCAAGCTTCGCGAAGAGCCAATGAGCGACCTTCCTCGCGGAGCTTTCGCAGGGCCAGGGTTCGCAAAACAGTTGCCAACCAAGAAAAAAAAGCTTCCGCCAGGCCTGAAAATATCTCCATGCAAGGACCCTCCGAAAGACTCCGATATGTGTAGTTGAGGTGCGTCTGAAACTTTCTGCTGAGGGGGCGGTGAACGACACGAAACAAGTCTTAGCCCCTTGCTCCAAAAGTAGAAGAGGAATGCTCCAAAATTAGCTCCAAAATTGGAGGATGGCCAACCTTGTTCGCATGTTCCAAAAGTTGGAGGGCCACTTCGCCCCGAGTCCAAAACCCTACCAGCAACGAAGGCCGCTGGGGCCCGTGGATTTCCCCGGACGGTCGAACCAAGAAACAGGCATGGAACCCAACACAACCATGAGCTCGTGAAACGGAAGGTATGACAAAGAAGCAAAAGTAGAACCCAACAGGAAGACGGGCTCTTTGAAAGGAACACGGCGACACTTGGCCGTGGCTCAAACTAGGGCTGGGTCCTTCGCGAAGAGCTGGCCGAGGAAAAAAGTGTGAAAAAAACAAGGTTTACAAAAACAGGCTGCCAAAGCGAAAGCGACCAGAAACTTGGGCAGTAGAGAAGGAGGACTCAACCTTTGGTGACTTCAAAGGGAACCAACAGGAGCGTTTCTGGGATCCATATCCATGGAATCTGATCAAATTCTGAGAGTGAGACACCAAGAACAAGACCGAGGTTGTCTTCTGTACAAGCAAGCAGACGGAAAATGGCAGGAGTTTGTCCACAAAGCCGGAGGAAACCCTCCGGCCTTGGCGCCCAGGTCTGCACACATCTCCTGCCAGCAGAAATTTGAAAGTTCGACCTGTGTCAATTCCTTCCGTGGGGTCCGCAGTGACAAGGTCCAGACAGAATTGTTGCATGTCTCTGTGGATTCCCATTCAGGAGTCCAATTTCTGGGCGATTGGCAGAAGTTCTTCCCGAACCAGGAGAAGAACAAAAAAAGGAAAACCTAGCAAGGGACCTTCATGTGTGAGCTCGTTCACCCCGGTGACGGCCCAGAAAATTTGTTGGTTGGGGTGGAAACGGAGTGAAACCTCAAAGATTCCCAGATGACACATGGGCTGCAGCGGAACCCTTTCCAAGAAGACATCCCCGTTGGAATTATTACTCAGGCAAGCATTTCACAGTTTGGGTATGTCTTTTTTGAGAGTACCCATTTTGGGTTTGATTTGAAAAGGATTCAACATGTCGACTGATCCGGGTTTGGAATTTGATTTTTTAGACGCAAAAGACAAGCATCATTGCTCTTGTTCAAACAACACATTTCTCCCCAACAACTTCATGAAACGTGGTCCAACTTCAAAGTGATTGAGACTGCAAGAGGAGGAAGTTGCCTAGCTGGCTAGCTGCTCAACTGTTCTCTGAAAGCAAGCCACTTTGGTTCCAACGTCTCTCTCAAGGGATCCATGGCAACATGTTCAATGCAAGTCTTCATTTCACGTGCGCTCATCAAAGCCCGGTTGCTCTCTTGCAGAAAAACATGGAACCCAAATGGGTGTTCGGTTTGTCTGTGTTTTTGTAAGGGTACCGTCTTCTTTGGGTTGAGTTAAAAGGAAACCAACTGGAAAATGCCATTTTGGGGTCCTAGCCATAGTGTGGATGGACAAAACCCGATTCGAAGCACCACCCTTTGTTAATTTTTGGGGGGTTTATCTCTCCCACGTGGTGTACGTAGGATTTCATCCACTTCCAGGTAGCTTTAGGCGTTGTGAACTTTTCAAGAACGGATCCCTTGCTGGACATCATTTGGGGATTCATATCCACTGAGGGGGCTCCCAAAAATTCCTAGCATTGGCTTTTTGCACTTCACTTTTCTGGATCCACAAACCAAGGGAACTGGCTGGCCACTCTGCAAACCCGAGCGGCGTTTTCGTATTTTCTGCGTGTCAGAATGGGGGGGGGGGTGTCCCGGGGGTGTCACGGGGGGATTCGCAGTGCGGCAACGCCTCTGGGGTCATCTTCCGCTTGGAGAGAGGCTCCGCGAAGGACGCGACAAAGTCCAGCAGCAGGGCCCCGCACTGGGCGCGCCAATTGGTTTGAGGCCGAAAACACCTATACTAGGTCCTCCAGTAGAGAGAATAGAATAAGGGTACCCGGTTTTGTTCCTGTAGTCTATTTTAGTAGGGGAACCCTCGTTACTGAAGCGCTGTGCCAGGGAATTTTGGTTTGTCTTTAAAATGGGGAACCCCCTCCCCCCCGTGGTTTCCCACATGGGTTCCCTGAAGACCGCCCCCCCCAAATTGGGTTCCTCACAAAAATGTCACCCACAAGCCTTTGGGAATGTGTTTTAGTACAGGGATATTGCCAGGTCTTTCAAAGGCAAAAAGCTTGAGTTCTTCTTCCAAAACACCTTGACAACTGAGAGCCAAACAATTGGAGCTGCTCAGATAGCCAGCAACCCACACGCTCATTCTTGGGACGCTTCGTCTTGCTTCACCATCGATTGGTCACCATAAATGAGGCAATAGGTCTATATACCAGTGCTTTACATAGTAGGTCCGCCAGTAGTGCCCTTCTCTCCCCTTTTTTTGACCAACCTGCTTCCAGCCCGAGTCAAAGAAAGCTTCTGACGGTCCAGGGGGGAAGCCCTCCCAATCTCTCTGACCGTATTTTGAGTGAGCCATCCCCGGCTGGAGTCTGCATTTCACCGTGCCAGGATTTGTAGTGATAATCAACAGAACCCAAGGCGCTTGCCATGTGCTGACTGATTGTCACTCACGAAGGTTGACCCCGGATTCAAAAACCGGCCCTATGGATACAGTTGGGGGTGGTCCCCTCCAAAAGTGATGAATCCCACGAACAGGGGACACGCCTCCATTCATCAAGCAGAGGATCTGTGAATCAGAACACGCTTCTGGACTGCACTTGTTCGCATTTGTTTCCCGCACCGGAACTGCAGGCCAGTTGAAAATGAAAGTTTTCGTCAGTGCCCACTTACCATGAACGGGAGCAAACAAGTCAAACGCGTAAACAAATGCAAGCAACAGCTGTAGAGGCTCCAGTTGTTTGCTTTTTCTACCCTGTTCAACGTGAGAGTCAAAAATCATCCGGGGGTCCAAAATGCAAAGAAATGATCATAAGATAACAACCAAGCGCCCAAGAAAACAAGCAAAGCTGAAAGTCCGATGTCAAACATTTGAAAGCCCAAGCTATTTGACAAGCCATGGAAAAAAAGGGGGGTCTTTGTCTTTTCGACTTTGGGCGCTTAAGCCAGAACTCCCAGCCCCGCTCTTACTCCCAGCCCCGGATGTCTTGTCAAGTCCCCGACGGTCCAGCCATGGATCAGGATGAAGGCGTTGCTGCTGAGGTCGATGCCGTTCTCCACGGCATCCTCGCGGGGTCGGGAAACCAATGAATTCCGAATCGAGGATTCGTCCACTGGACGATTCGGACCACTGACTCGGACAACTCATGACTCCAGTGGGTTTGTCTCATCCTGAAAAAAAGCAACACACAGTAGGGAGAACATGTGCAGGTTGAGTCGGGAGATTCCATTCCACAATTGTCCAAGTCAACTGTTCTGAAGGAACCACCTCTCGTGCCCTTCGAGTGGGGCTTTTGGGGGGACTTCGTGCCAAACAAGAACAGCGTCACGCGGCGGAGTGTATTTTGGGAGGAGTTGCCTTTCAGGGTGTGTTCTTCTTTGGGAACGTCCTTTTCCGGTTGGACTGACAGCCCAACTTCCGCTGGGTTCTTCGACACGCAGCCCTTTTTTTTGTCTAGAAAGGGCCGTGGTGAAAAAAGGAAAGCATCGAATCGCAGAATCTGGGGCAACCATTTTCTGCGACCTCGCCAACATCCCCTTGGCCCTCCGAAAAGCATAGGCTCGCTGGGCATGGTTCTCGACAAGCCCCAAACCTGACGCTAGATGTCAAGGACGTCCACCCCGGAAGCGGATATATAAACCCTAGTTACAACCAAACGCTTCGATGCGTTCGATTCGCTGAGGCCCTGGAACAACTTGCAGGACTTTACTTCCTTGCGGCTTCGCTAAAATGAGTATTGACGTCAATGCGTGTCTTGCATTTGGGCCACCAAGGCCGGGCGTTTTTTCGAAGCCCCTGGTCTTGTGGGAAAGCGCCGAGCCCATGAGCTGAGATCACCATGGTAGGCTTCTACGGTGGTCCGAGCCGCCAGGTTTTTCGCCGTTGCTTCCGCAGTCTTGACGGGAAACAAGAGCCGGACACGGGAAACCAAGCGATCGGGGGGATCCGCTTTAGACCCGTTAAGGTCGAGCCGGAGGAAACCGACCAGCTCGAAGGAAACTAAGCAACAAAAAACGGTGGGGGCATTTGACCCAGAGGGCCCCTGCTTCGGGCAACCCCCCCTCTTGTTTGGTCCATGTCAACTGGGAATCTGCGTGGGGGGGTACCAGGGTGACCCGCAGCAAGCAAAAGCGGCCGATCGGAATCGGATCCAGAGCCAGCCACGGAAACCAAAGGGCGCCAGTACAGGAAACCAAATCCACAAACACCCCCCCCACAAACAAAAAGAAACAAGCCCTAAGATGTGCTAAGAGAAAAACAAGACAAACAAACAAAAACAAAAAAAGGAAAGCACAAAGCCAAGGAAAGCTTCAGGTTTCCCATCCCAAGCGGTTCTCCAGCTCTTCCAGCCCTCCGAGCCTCCAGAGTGGCTCGATCACTCATTGTGAATGAAAACTCCGGCCAGCGGGCCAGAAACTCAAAATCTCCCAACCAACCGCTGGGTTTTCCCCTCTTGCGCTGGTGCGGCTGTGTTCTCCCTGGTCGGCTTTGCGGGATTGATGCTGTGCTGCTTGCCTTGTGCCTTCTTCTTCGGGGTGGAATGGGTGTGCATGCCTTTTCTTCTCCCCCCCTTCGGCGCCGCATGGCCGACGGCCCTCAGGCTGTGTCCTAGCGATGCAACCGATGCAACCAACATGCCCGCAAGCCAATCTAGCACGAAGCTGTACGGGCCAGAAGGACCCGCACTCGCGGCGAGGCCGTGGCAAAAAGGACGCAAGCGACATGAAGCAAGCGACATGCACGAACCTCCCAAGGCAGAGAGAATTCAACAAGGCTAGGTCCTCCAGAAGAGAGGTTAGATAGGGGTACCCGATGTTTTTATGTTGTCTATTAGGGGAACCCTCCCCCAGAAAAGGGGGCAAAAGGGCACTACTGGGGGACCTAGAAGGGTAGGGAGCGCCAACAAACTGCATGTCGAACTCCAAGAAAACCCATAACCGGCAGCGTCCATCAGCCCAAGGAGGCCCAAAAAGAGCCCGGGCAACTTGGCAACGGGAGGCTCGGCTTTTTGACACTCTTTTTGGGGTGGCTTTGAAATGGAAACAAAAAGGAAACCATGTTTGTTGTTGGTCCCCGAAAAAAGACATACCAAATCCGGACCATGCTTGGACCCCAAAGACCCATGGGGACAGGGATGGATGGAAAAAGACCTGCTTCACAAACCAAGTCCTGAGATGTGGAGCTCCCAAGAATATATGCATTTGGTTTGTTGTGATGGCTTCAAAAGGGATTCAGAACCTAGGCCTTTTGGGAAAATACATGGATTTCCCTGGTATAAAATAGAGCAACTAGATCAAACAGACATCGCCATCTATTTTCTGCCAAAACAACCAAAACCGACACCTATGCCTATGGTTCAGAATCACAAAAGGGCTGCCTTGATTTGCAGCTTGAGCATCACCCCAAACAAAAACTCTGGAACAAGCCGGCAACCAACAGAGGAGAAAGGTTTCAGCATTGGGAAGTTTGGAGAGGCTCTATAGGTTCCAAGAACCCTAAGGTTCTAAGAACAGAGGGAGGGCCTTGGGTTTTGACAACGCTTGGAACCGCTAGGCTCGACTCCATGGAAGTTCGAACATCCTGGTTCAAAGGGCCCCCCAAAAAAAACTGCTCCTTCTGGTTTCCCTTTAAAACCAGCAAGGGGGTACCCTCAAAAACAGACGGACCCCACATGCGTCTTGAAATTCCTCCAGCCGTAAGAAAACTCTCAAAAAACTTTCCTCATCGAGCTTGCTTGCCAGCTTGGCTCGAGCGCAGATGTGATGGGAACGAGATGTGAATCTGTCATTTGCTCTCCTTCATCGGCAGTGGCGCCAAGAAAACTATCATCTGTAAGCATTACTCGTGCATGTGTTGCGGAAGAGAGCTGTGGCGTCAGAAAAGAACCGTGGTGTCAGAAACGAACCGTTGCGGAAAAGAACCCCCTTTCTATGATACCAAAGTTGGCCATTCCCATGACAGGTTTAGCACAGGGGGAATCTCGTCACAGGGAAAATCAACCACTGGGTTTAAGTCTAGGCTCAAGGTGGCAAACCCAGTTTGCGAATTTCCCATGACCGCCATCAAGTGCGGACCTCTCAACATCAACCTGTGGATGGAAAAACTGGGGGACCTCTTGGGAGTTGCGTCCTTTCTTGGGGGAGATCCTTCAGCTCAGAAAACACCACTCCGAACTGCATCCTTGGCCAGTTCCGGGCGCCGCATTTCGCGCTTCGGGGGCACAAAAACTTGGGGCTGGTTTGAAGGGAAGCCCAGAGGAAACCAACCAAGCACCCGTTCCTACTGTGGATGGGCGAAATCCGTTCGCACCACCGTTCAGAAACCCAACGGAATGATACGATTCCAACCCGTAAATACCAACAAGCAATGGTTTCAACCATGATTTCAAAGTGGTGCGAACGGATTTCGCAACCATCCACGGTATTTCTCACGCATGACCTGACCTGATGCCGGGTTGAAGCCCGATGCGCTTTCAGTCCCAAAACCATCGACAAGGCCCGAGCTTCCAGTCGTAACCCCTGGGCTCCTGAAACTCCTCCTCGAACGCCCTTCAGCCCTTCTTCGGGGCTAAAGTTTAGTTCCGTGCCGAGAAAGCAGCTGAAAAGTTTACTCACTGGCTGAGTGGATGGTCCAAAACAAGTCCGAACTTTAGATGTACCACTAGAATGGTCTTCCCCCAAAAGTTTAAAGTTCACGAACTCAGGAAGTGAGTATATGAATTCTCCAAAATTCACCCCAATTCAGAGACCCCCAACAAAGAAGCCTTTACTTTCGGCGCCAGCCTGTCGCAAGGCTTTGCAAACCAGAGTGGTGTCTGACACGGGACCTGAGTTCAGCTCCTTGAAACCCAATCCGAGACCTTCGGATGGCTTGTCAGGGATGGTTCTAGGAAATGTATGAGACCCTGGGAGGGTCCGGATTCTCAAGTTCACATCGGTGAGCCCCGGCGCTTGGGAAACCCAACTTGCTTCAATCAGCCCATTCTTGAAAACCCGCCTTTGGGTGTCCCTTGAGGCCTGGTCCTTCAAACTAATCCCCCCCCCCCCCCACACTGGCCCCACACGCCCTCTTTCCGGCGGAAGTGCTCCACGCCGCGGCCGCGGCCGCGCGCGTGCGCCCGCCGGCCCGTTGCCGGGTGCGGCTATCGGAACATCACTCTGGGAGTCGAAGACCGTAAGACAAAGGTCCACTTACAAGGATTTGACTTGCCCTCCTGTCCACAAACGTGGAACCTTACTATGGGTTCCTGGAAGACTAGTTCCTGTAAAAGGGACGCTGGCTCCCCAAAGATCCCCACAAACAGCGCCATAAAGCCTTGTCCCCCACTACCTCCCTGAGTCGCATCCAGGAGGCTAAAGCTTGGTCCACACGGAGGATGCCTTAAAAAATGCAAATAGACCAGCCTTGGCAAGTCGTCATTTGGAAGGTTTCCTGGTTCCCTTACTTGCAATCTGGGTTTGTCTTTTCTTGAGGGTACCCTTGTTTTATTTTTATTTTATTTTTTTCCGAATGAAACCAACAAATCGGAGGCCCGTTTTGAGGCACCCCCCGCATGGGGCCTCTATGCCGAGCTCCTGGTCTCACTGGCCTGGAGTCTCTCAAAGGTTCAGGATCCCCTTCGCCAGCAAGAGCCTCGGAACGAGCGAGTAGACATGCGCGTGTGATCTTCTTGTCGGGGAACCAACCACGTGTGGCTTTTTAACGTTGGAAACCCCGAGGACCAGAACAAATACTCCAGGGGTACTACCTTCCATGTCCATCCTGAACCCAGGGATCTTTCTTTTCAGGAAACCATTGAAACATCCAGGGGAAACGGCCAGTTATTGAAAAGAACGATGGTTGAAACAATGGGAAATCAACCCCTAGAAACACCGGGAGGTCCCCAATTTTGAAACAAAGCCATTTGGGTGCTTCTTTCTGAAGGTTGGACCCCCAAAATGATGGTTGTTCCTTCTAAGCCACAAAAAAAAGGGGGGACCGACTCCACAAAACACACAGACCCATTTCGGTGGGGACAAAAGGCGACCTTGTTGAGCTTGATGTAGGAGAACTCTCTCCGGAAAAAGGCGGAATCTGGGCCTGCAAAGGCGTGGAAGACATGTATGAATTTCCCTAGGAACTGGAACCGTGAAAAAACATGCGTCTCTGCGTGTGTGTGTTGTTCAAAGTGTCTTGTTGCTTTCCCTTGAGACACATACATCCAAGGCCCGTGTCCCGGGACAACAACTCCGTAAAATGAATATTGTTCACTTGGTGTAGGGGAAATGGGGGCCAATTTTGCTGAACATCTTCATAACGAATGTGGCAGGGGCCCTGGAGTGCTCGGATGGATCTTCAAGAAAGCTCCCCAAGTTAACCCCCTTCCATATGCCTCTCATCAGAAGCCTCACCAGGGTGTACCTTTTGTGGATCCACCCTGCGAAAGGCACTAAAGAGCATCCAATAAACATTCACCAACTGCGACTACCGTTAGACAACCAGATTTCACCACCTGGAATCAGAATAGGACTCATGGCAAGCTCGCTTCACAACTTGACCCCCCGTTCAGTGAGCTTTTGATTTGGCAACTCTATAGAAGAGGCTGCCGGGCAGGGCCAACTGTTTAAAGCTGATTGCTGCTCCGGCAAGCGCCCATATACATATACATATGTATATATATATATATAAACACCAAAAAAAAAAAAAAAAACCGGTTCGTTCAATTTTGCCTGCGGTGTGACATCGCAACCTGCTCAAGTCCTCCCAAGCCAACCAGCGTTTGTTGCTCGGTTTTTTGAGGGTCTGCAACAAAAGCTTGGAAATTCTGCGCACCCATGCCCTCCCAAATGGACGACTTGTGGATGTTTGACTCAACCTCAGAAAGAGGAGACCGAAAACAAACCACCCGCTGAAGCAAGGGAAAGCCGTAATCTGTCACCGGACACCACACAAAGCAAACCGCCACCATCTGGCAGCATGCAGGATTGACTTTGAAGAACCCACAGCCAAGCCACCTTTCCCTCCATTTGCGTTCTTGTCCCCTGGGAAAACTGAAATGTGTCCAGTCATGATTCAGCAAGAAGTTTCCCTTCGACCATTCGACCAACCCAAGCGCACGGGTGTTGAGGTCCTTGGTGCGTGTCCCGCTGGAAGCGTCCAAATTGAGAGGAACCGTTTGGGCCCCTCACACGGAAAGGTTCAGGAAACGGGTGCAAAACTCTTTGGGGGAACGTATACAACTTACGGATGCAAACGTTGCCGCCATTGCATCATGTGGACCGTGATGTTGCTGCCACGCAGCGCAGGGTTGCCGGCATGGAAACCGAAGCA